AATTGTTACGATCATATTATATTATGTATTGTTCCACGGTTTCTCGTGACATTACATCAACATTTTCTCAAGTTATCGTTCGGAAAACAAGTGTATTATTTTCCCCCCATAAAAAAAAATTGACTTTCATTGGGATTGTATTTTACGCGGTAACGCACTGGATTGTTCGACCTATAATATTTTTATTGTTTGACAATTTCTCTAAACAATCAATAGATTTGTGTTATATATCACAACCAAACAACCAGTCAAATTTCAATTCATTACATCAACATTTTCTCAAGTTATCGTTCGGAAACCGAGTGTATTGTATTTTCCCCATAAAAATTTACTTTCATTCGGATTGTATTTTACATAGTAACGCACCGTTTGTTCGAGCTATTGTATTGTATGATAATTTCTCTCAACAATTAACAGACTTGTTATATGTGTTATATATCACAAACAAACATACAGTTAAATTTCAACTCAATAGGCCTACATCAACATTCTTTTAAGTTATCGTTCGGAAAACGAGTGTATTGTTTTCCCCCGTACAAAAGTTGACTTTGATTCGGATTGTATTTTTCGCGTTGAACGCACTGGATTGTTCGAGCTATTATATTTGTATTGTTTGACAATTTCTCTCAACAATCAACAGAATTGCGTTATACACCACAAACAAATAACCAGACCAAATTCAGCCAAAACATGATAAGGTAATACTTCCTCTATCTACTTAAATAAAAGACAAATAAAAATCAAATCAAACCATAGTGCATAAGTAATGCAAATACATCCAAGATTGCAAATTTGACCACTTTTATCCATATCTGACGCTTCTTCGTTTTAATACTCCACTTGCAAATGGCAAAACAACTTGTCTTCACATATTGTAACTTCTCTTATGTCCAAAGGCTTGTGCTATGTACAACATAGTCATATATTAAATCGAACCAAATGTTACATTGATAATCAATTAAATTTGTTTTATTAAATTTGAGTAATATTTTACAAGTATTTACATCGTAGTTGACGACCAGAGGTAAAGCTATAAGAGAAATCTTGTAAATAACGTTTTTTCTTTTTTAATGCAGTCCTGAGCATGTTTCGCACATCATTCATCTTTCAACACAAGCACTGCGTCTTTCATCTTTTGGCAGTGATAAATTTTAATAATTTTTTTTTTTCAAGCTTGTTTAAAGCAAGCTGTGAGTGTTAAAGCTGTGCGGGTTGTTTTTAAAAGTTAAATTGGTAGTTTGTTGCAGCAATTTCAATTTGAAAAAAAAGAAGCTTTTCCTATCCCTCCGTGATGAGTGCAGTGGTAAAGAGCTACAGTGGTAAACATACAGGAATTTAAAAAAGAAAAGAAAAAAAAAGAGGAAGTGTTAGTAAAAGCAAGTAACACCAATGTCACAGTTTTACACACTCATAAAACAAATATCTGTGTCATGACCTTAACCCTTTGGCGCAAAGATGATGGGCCTTACTCACGAGTCGGCCATATTGAATTGAAAGTGAGGTGAAATCTTAATTTTTTGAACTTGAGAAGAGAAACGAAACCAAGTTAATTTCTAATTAATTCCAGTCTGCTTCACTGAATTAAACATTTCCTAATGTTTAAAGCCAGATTTAAATAATTATAGTAAATAAGGCTGCATTGTGCCTGCATAAATGGTCTGGTGCCAACCCATTCAACAGTGAACAATTAATGAAATACATTCAGGGAACTCGACAAAAATAACACATCTTGGGCAGTTGCTAGCAACTCCCATAAAATTAATGCCCGGCCTTTTTGAACTTATTGAAGAGAACATGGTTCTTTCGTATGGAACCTTTCCTTCTTGTGCTGTTGTAGTTATAAATGTAGTTACAAATAAATAGACATGCACACAATCTGCGTTAAATAATAATACATACATGTACACATTGCTTCATATAAGGGCGGATCCAGGAGGGGGGGGCAACGGGGGCCATGCCACCCCCCTTTTTGCCCCCCCCCCCCTCCCACAATTGTGTTCTGGATCCGCCCTTGGCTTGATAAACCACTTCTGCGAATAACCCAGCAATCCACACACTTGAAAAACCATTTTCTTAAGATTTGAAAGTTGAACAAAGAAATTGACTGGAGCGGGGTTCGAACCTGTGACCTCCCCTATAACCGTTCCGGTGCTCTACCGACTGAGCTATCCAGCCCTATGTTGGCGGTTCCCCGTTTTGTCAATGTCTTTGTTCAAGGGGCGCTAGTCAGAAGCCATAAACCTGTATATGCCATGCAGCCAGGGATCATGCCTAAAGGTGTGACGTTAGCAACATCAGCAATGCTGCAAACCTGGGAAATACCAAACTGGGATCAGTCAGAGAGGATAGGGTTTTTTATTACAAATTTTCAAATAAACCACACAGGGAAACTGACTACCAGCAGGTGAACTTAATCTCGAAGTCGAACAATCTCAACTAACAATCTCAAAGTCGAACATAGACATTTCTAAAGATTTTAAAAAGCTTGGCTTAAATATTGGCAAAATAATAATTTAAACAAATATCTTCCCTTTGTGTCATTTATAAACAAACAAGCAATAATTAAATAATTCAACTGCAGAAAGATTTTTTTTTTTAAAGTTAGTGAAACTCCTTTTTCTCAATTGTGAATCATGCTTTAATTTCTTCGTTCATCTGCTGGATTTCATTTGAGGAGAACATTGACTTTAAATAAACCAAGCATGGAAAATGAGATATAGGGATAAAAAGTGCAAACAAATCTACCTCTTTGTGAGAGTAAAGAAAAACTGCAATAAAAGAAAAGTTAAAATTTATATCATTTCATATAAATCCAACATGGCATGAAGATTTTTTTTTTTCAACTGCGGGTCCCTATTTCCAAATAACCAAAATAAATAACAACTTTCACAGGCGAAGAGTTGATAGTTAAGTTCCTTTCGTTCTGTAAGTAGGTGTCTGTTGATTTCAAAAATATTTTTTCCCAAACATGACAAAACCAAACCGAATCATTCAAATAAAATTAAACTTTCAAATAAAAACTACTTTTACTATTGTCATTTTACTGTAATTCTACTACTACAAACTTGAAATTCTTTTCCTCAAATTCCCTCAACAACAATATGGTCTGTAATGGACCTTCATACAAATCAAATTAGACTGAAAAAAAATCACTCAACGTGACAACTCTTTCAAGCTGTAAAGCACCATTCAATAACATTTTAAAAAGTATTCAAAAAGATTGTTAAAAAATCAACAAATTTACATCATTTTTTTACGGAATGACCAAGATCTTGCGTGGAACAATTTTTGTGTGTGTCATTCTCTTCCAGTTTTCAAAAGGTACAAAGCAAACTTTCCTGCTTTATTTTCTATTTTTTTTTTTTTTGGGTGTCTGTTTGTTGTCTACTTTTTTCAATTTGCTCTCTGAACAAATTATAATTTCTCAGTTTTGCATAAATCTAGGACATTTCTACAACATTAATAATTAAGATATTGCTTGAAATACAGCTGTTATTATTTTCAAAAATTTGTAAGTAATTGCAACACTTTTGAAGAAAAAAAAATCAGAAAAAATAGGAAGTTTGATGATCCAAGTTTTTGCACCTGCTTAAAACAAAATACTGTTTAGCAGATTGTCTTTCCAAGCACACATATCAGCTGGTGACAATTGTCAAGTAATGTACATCAAATGACATTTTGCTTGGTAGCCAGTTTTTGTTAAAAGGTTCTCTGTGCTAAGCTAGCTTGCTAAGCACAGAAGCTTAAATAAAAAATGGCCGCTCTTTCTGTTACGCAATTTTTTATTCTCAGCACAACAAATTTTTGTGCTTAGAAACACATGACGGAGAGACTTAATTGATATTGAAGGTAGAATGGACCATATGTCATTTTCTGCATTTTTTTCGTTTGAAGCAACAAAAGTGCTCAAACTCTAAAGACGGATGCTTAACAACTAACCTGATGTAGTTTTAACTCTGTGAATGCTGTATATTTTGAAAAAAACACAATACTCTGGATCTCGATTCCAGTTCAAAAGTTGCCCTCTCGTGAAACAATCCCGAAATCAACATTCGGGACACGATTCTTTAGCTACATGATGCCACACACTGAACAGATGAATAATAGAAGCTGCGCGTGTGTGTGCATCGTGTCAACGCTCTTGCAACCATTCACGGATTCGCCCAATTACAAAACAACCACAAACAGAAATGTGCAAAAATGTGTCATTCGACACATCTTTGGAAATGACCTTCTTTGATTGTTTTCTACAAAATGGCAGCATGCCAGTGGGAATAAATTTCACAGGAAGTTTAGTGCCATAACTATCTTCAACCCAAGTTAGCCTTTTAACGATAATTTGGTCAGTTACTTTTTGGATGGCTGCAAATGGTCCACTCTGCCTTTAAGGATTGGGCCAGCAAATTCAAGTAGGATTTTTGTAAATTACATACATGTAAAGACTGTTGCAAACAGTCCACTACAAAAATTGCACTGTAATGAACATGGTAGGATCCCCTAAAAGTTGCTATTATAACCAACAGCATAGACAAGTTGTGTCATCGCAAGTCAGTTATAAGTCACATCCCAAGTCAAGTCTTGATTCAACTCGCTAAGCTATCCGCTCCGTTCACAAGTACCCCCTCACCGGCAAAGAGAGTACAGTTGGGGGTGACCGACCGACGCCATCTTGCCTGACTGCAATTCATTTGCTGCGAAGCGAGGCCACTGCGTGTACATAGTACAAATCCCCTGGTGTATGTGCGTCACACACAAGGAACAGTGCGCGTCAACCAGCGAAATGTCCCGCCCATGGGACATTGTTGTTAGGTAAAAGGGCGCCCTCTTTGTCGGCGCACAGAGCCCATTCCAATGAACCGTGATAAAAAAACACTGCTTCTTCATTGAGTTTAACCCTGCTACTTGTAATAATACGATCAGGGATTCAACTTGGGATTGACTTGACTACGAGTCTATTGATCTGAAGAGAGACACACAAAAAGTTTGTGTAAGAATTATGCATTATGAAAAAAATTCAGAAGAATGAAGGTTAGGGAAATGTACATGCTTTTTGGGGGGCAGGGAGTTCAGTTTGAGTCTGGCGACCCGCTGGCTGGGGGGAAGACCAGTATGTGATCCATGCTGTGTGCCGGGGAACCACGCGCCTCGTAGGAATGCACAGCGCTGTCTGCCGATCCTGCACTGGAACTGAGTAGGTCCGGGTTGTCTAGTAGTACCTCCCTCTCTGGTGGAATAGATTACAAGATCAAATTTGTTAAAGGGAATGCACAACATTTGCTTTTGCTGTAATTTTCAGAAATAAATGGCTTTGGAGGAATAGTATGTTAAAGCAAATATTGTTACACTGACTTGTTTCACGTTTTGGTTCGTAGATGCTGGAAAAACCAAGAAACCCAATCATGTGCTTGTAGTCTGGTTCCCTGACCCCACTTAAGATGAGACGGAGCAATTTATAGACCTTGGGGAATTGTAAGGTCAGAGAGTCAGTCTAGAAGGCTTGTACCCCTTCACAGGTGTGTAATCAATTGCAGAGAAAATGAGGAATAACTAAATATGAAAAATAAGGAGCAGTTTTTGAAAAAAAAAGGCAGTTTTCTCCAACGCTGGTCGGCCGACCAGCATTGGAAATTGACACAAATATACCACTTTACTTAAAAATGTCAGCACACCAGGAGCCATGCTTGTAGTGGATGCTTTAGACTGTCATTCCCTAACAGTCCAGTAAAAATATTTGTGGTAATTTGATCATTTTGTTTTTTGACGTTTGCAAATGTATCTTCCCTTTAACCCTACAACACTTGTATTACATTGTACTACAGTGGAACACTGCTATACCAAACATTCAGCTATACCGAACATCAGCCTTGACTCCCGATTTTTGTGTACAAACCACACTGAGCATTGTTGCTTGAAAATGTCAATGCAAAAACCCTAAATCTACAGCGTATTCACAGACTATTTGGGCCATTTTTTAATTCTCGAACGTCAAGCGGCCAGTGCTAACATCAGGTTTTATGTTGAAGAGTGATAGGTGGCTATGATTTCCCCAAGGAATAGAAGGGGAAAGCCACCAGTTGCTGTAGATTTAAGTTGAATCGTGGACAAGTTTCGCCACTTTGCATGTTGGGTGAGAAATGCCACTAAACTATAACAATGATCAAAAGTGGGTACACTGATGTGTGAAAACCTCAAGTTATCAAGCCTCAAGCTACCTGAGCACCGACGGCTTAAAATCGCTACACCGAACGATCGCTATTACGAACAATTTCTGTGGATCCCGCGATGATCATTATAGCGGCGTTCCACTGTATTAACTCCTTGATGAGTCCATAAAACCGGAGTGTGCTTGGGGCGGTTTGGGGCGGTATAAAGAGTACACGGCCTACTTACAAAGTGTGAATATCTACCAACATAGGGGGTTTAGAAATCTCAAAGCACGGTCAAACGAGAACTATGGATTCCAGTAACTAATATTTTCGTTTACTATTGCAAACTGAGACTGGGGTTATTATTTATAATTTTTTTATTTATTTATTTCTCCCAGCCAACAGCAAATAACCGCCAATTGCAGGCCAAGTAAAAACATAAAACATACATAACAATAAAAATTGTGCGCATTATTTACAATAGTTTTAACCCTGACCCTGCCAGACGCAACACAGTGCATCAGGTGTATAAGTCTGTGGGACCTGTTAAGATTCAGCAGTTCTGTCAATATGCTAATCTGGCCTGAGCCCTTTTTAGCCTGCCCACCTTTGTGTCTTGTAGGCGGCGTTCTGCTCATCATGGGCGATTCAGCCATGGCGTCGGCGATGGTCTGCCGCAGTCTCTCCTCCACAATCTCCGAGCCTCGCTGGTAGCTGTTCTCTGGCCAGCTGCCGCAGCTGACCTCTAGAAGATTGACCGCCTGGTCAAAGGCTCCTAAGACAAAATGACCGGTCACTTGAAATGTTTATTCACAAGGCGTGCGCAATATTTACTATATTTTTAAATGAAGCTGATAGACAACAGACCTTTAACCCTTCAGTGACAACTGACCTAACGTGGTAGAATCGTGTTAGAATCGCATCAACGCAGCTTGTGAAATATTGTCTAATTACTTGATATACAAATGGATGCGAAATCCGCAATATCTGAGACAAACAAACTGAGTGTACAAAAACTCCATAGGGTTGTCTAAGGGGCGTGGCTAACTCCCAAACGGCGATAGGTCAATAGTGGACAGAAGCAGCCAGCTCTATTGCAGATGGCCAGCATTTTGAACCTTTTCGTTTTTAGCAAAACATTAAGAATTGAGGGTTTTAAGCCTGATCATACATGTAGACTTCAGGTAAAGGGCTTTGTATATATGTTTACATGCATGTGGTTGTGGTTGACATTTGAGTACATTTCAAAAAGTCTTGACATTTTGCCTCGTGGGAAATACTCTGAGACATAAAGCACTGTACACTGTAACAATAACATGCGTTCACTAAAGCATTAAACAAATGGCTTTGATATGGACAATGAGTCTTGCATCAATGTTAACATGTTAATATTTTCCAATGCTGTTAACAGTTTTAACAGCACGCCAGCACATACACACAACTAGTAGACGACAGGAATAAAAGCGGCATTTTTATAGATCCAAACAATTCCATACATTTGTTAATACTGATGAAAACAGAGAAACATTCAAGCCTGCAAGTTAAACTTTGATCATTCTGGCAAACATGTCGATGAAAAACAGGGGCAAAGCAATATCTAAATAAATAATCTTAAGAAAAATAAATTCAAATTGAAACTCTATCAAACTCAAGCAAGCAGTCACTGAAGTTAGACAGTAAATTCCGGTATGTGTGCATATGAGATATGGGTTCTGTACTACAGTCCTACGAATGTAACTGCAAACGTTGGATTTTTAATTGGAGTTGATGGGATTCAATTGGTTCTGACTACAAAATTCCTCATTCCTAAAACTCCAAACGTCAGTACTCGGCAACCATGAGACGTTTTTGTGAGTCAATCTACCCTCCTACCTTTGTGCTCAACCCTGTTCAAATCCTGTTTTGCTTTGGGATTTAAAATCTCTATTTTGTCTTCAATCTCTCGTGGGAAACACTCAGGTCCTGCTGCTAACTCTTCGGCGACGTCCCCCTCCGCCGTTTGCCTCATGTCCTTGGCCGAGTTTTTCCCCCTCTTCTTTTTCTTGCGCCTGCCCTTACTTTGCGCCTGCCTGTCTGTCTCGGGGTCTGTCACCGCGTCCGGTGGCTTTGCTGCTGCCTCACTGTCGGAAGGACCCATCGCTTTGCCCGCTTGGCTACGCTTTTTCGCATCTGCAAACACAAGTTGGTCGGCGGGTTTTTGGGTGAAAAAAATGGGTCACTGCTTTCGAAGGCAACATTACATGAGTCAGCTGTGTAGAGCTAGCAGTGACTTTCAGCCTTAATCGAAAGTCACTTAAGATGAGAAAAATTGGGGAGGGCAGGGAGTAGAAGACAGACAGACAGACGAGCGAGCAGGTTATTCCACCAAGACACCAACCTCTTCTTCTTTACATACAGGTAACTCCTGCATGCAGCTTTTTTTCATGATACTGAATTTCTACCGATGTAGAAAAATGTGCAATGTGCAAATTGACCCCTTCCAATCGCACAGGTCAATCCAGGTCGTTTTTGCTTTGGACCTTCCAGAACTTTCTGAAATCAACTGCAGAGCAGCAAACTCTAAGCGAAGGTAACTACAATAGGGAAATTTAAAGGTGGCTTCCGGCTATTTTATATTTAATATTTGACTCAAAGCCCGTTGCAAGTTCAAGACTGAAGAATGCGCAGTTGGATTTCTGCAAAGTGGTAGGGTTTGGAAGACTCAGAAAAGTCACTGGCAAAAAGGTGCATGGAGTTTTTTGTTTAATCCTTTCAGTTGTTCAACTAGGATATCTATAGGGGGTACCGAAGAGCATGTTGATGTGGATACTCACAGTTTCTATGATCTTTAGCCCAACTTTGTGTAAATGTGTAAAACAGGCGAAAGGATGATTGAAATAAATACTAGATATGAAGGAGTAACGAGAATGAATATCCATAACCGAGGGAGTGAGTTGCGTAGCCCAGTATAAGAAAGATCCACAGCAATTAGACAAGCGAGTCCTAGAGACACCGATGACAGACCAGGATAGAGCTATGCTGTAAATTGCAGGAACTTAGGATTCTACTGAGAGTTTAACACAAAGCGTGATGGAATGTTGGGATTCACATACCTGAGCCGTACTCTATACTCGTCGGCAAGGAGGAGGCTTCTTGGCTGGATGCCAGGGGCTGAGCTGACCTCTCGGATGACCTCAGCTGTGGGGTCGGGACAGGGTCTGACCTCAAGGGTTGAATCCTATCCACACAGAAAAAAAAGAGAAAAAAAGAAAGAAGAAAATCATCAAATAAATGACTGAGGAAATTGCTGTCATTCATTTCTAAGCAAAGAAATTGACACAAGTAGGATTCGAACCTGCAACTTACGGGACACTTTACTTGTTCTGCACCAACTTAGTTATCCGAGTTAAATTGGGCCCTGGCCAGAGTCACTATGCTAACGAATTCGGCAATGCAGCAAAACTAGCAACTAGAAATCAGGGAACATTCAGAGAGGATATATGTCTCACGAATGGACACACAGTACCATCTGCATGGTGTCCACAGCAAAAACTTTCTACGCTCAGCGGATATCTGTGCTAAGCATGCTCCACAAAAATTTCCCCAGTGGTAAATAATGGGGTCCAGGAAATATGTAGTAGTAGTAGTAGTAGTAGTAGTAACATTTAGTATGATATCATCATTACAATTATGTACAAACATGTATAAATTAGAAAAAGTCAGTAGTATAATATTGGATTGTTTGTCCTACCGTAGCGATTTAAGGTCCACGTCATCTTGCGTCATTTCCATGGCCGTTCGGTTGGTTTCCAGTCCGTCTGACAGCAACGCGGACGATGTAGAGGATAGTACAGTAGTGCTGCTGGGCTGAGGTACCGTCTTGAACTTAAACTGGGGACCCATCCATAGGCGTCTATGGGGGCCCGCGTGGGTCACCATCTCCACCTAGACATGCACAAAGTGAATTAGTTGTTGTAAATGTATTTAAGAGGCCACTGTAGTTCATTAATTATATTCCTCATACAAATTTGTTGCTAACTGCAAGTTTTTAGTTTGTCAATGTTTAAGTGAATCAGAGAATAGTAGGCAAGACATTGCACATGCTCTCTGTACTAACTCCTGGCTGGTTGACTGTACTTTATGTATGTGGTAATCCCCAACACTAAGGTGAGCTCCTAAACCCAACCACACAATTGTGATTCAAGTTTTTAGAAGAACCACACAAAAGCCTTCAGTGTAGACCAACTGGATGTAATATGCCTATTTAAGGAGTCTTACATTTAGTTTTCAACACTGCCTACAGACATTTCAATATTTTTTTCACTTTAAAAAAAAAAATCTTTTCAGGTTAATAATTCTTGACTTGAGCATGCAACTTGACCAAAACAACAGGAATTTGTGGCCCATATCGGCAGTGGGCCAAAACCTGTAACGTGCAGTCTCGTCTCAACTTTTTAGTGTCAGCTTTATATCTAGACCTCGTACAGGTTTTGGCCCATGGCCTAATAGAGGATTTGGTGTCCATTCAGAAGCTACAAATTGAGCAGTGTCCTACTTTCATGAATTCTTTTTTTCATTAACCCATTAGCACCTGTACTACATCATTTTACATTGTGTTTATTTTCCGATGAATCTATGAAACATTGAGTGCCCGGCGGTTTTGGGCAGGAAGTAATAGGCTGGGCAGTTTGGGGCGGTACATTGACTATAGGGTTAAAGCGACTTTTGTGACAAAAATTGCAGGTTTTTGGGCGTGTGTGAAAGGCTCAGTTCTGTTCAGTCTGGCTTGCTGCTGACCTGCGATAGCCAGGGCTCATCAAAGTCACTGTCTGGACTGCTGTGGGCTGAGCGGATACTGTCTGATGACTCACTTCTCGGAACTGAATTGAGCATCGATCCTTGGGAGACAAAAATAAACAGAAGAGTTATCAGTCTGAAACAACATGGTGTGTATTTTGAATATTTCTTATCCTGACTTGAAAATTGAAATTCACAGACTGTCCAAGAAGTCATTATGACACTGTTAAAGTTAACATGCAGTGGAAATTCAGTTCATCCTGTTTTCATGCACGTTACTATGTGTTGCAACAATACATACAAGATCTTAATACTTGTTTACGTTGGAAGTGACAAGAAAGTGGTAATTTTTCAATTATTAGCAAATCCTTTCATCAATACATGTAAGAGGGCACTATTTTGCTTTTGTCGCACAAGGTACTCCTTGTCAAAAGTGTATATGAACAGTACAGAAATTAGTCCTTCAAAACTACCCACAAATTGTCCAAACAAGCTGTTAACATGATAAACACGTAAGAAGTGGAACTTAATTACTCCAAGAAAATGAAGAAAAGTTTGATATACATTTGTACACAAAGCTATGGAGACACTACTGTTCTGCCGTGAATGACATCACGCTTTAGCTCATGAATATGGAAATATTCATAAGCATAAAAACTAAAATGTTGAAATTTCTCCCTTTTACTGCTACAAAGGAGGTGGAAAGTCATAGTTGCATGGCAAGAAAGCTGTTTTCAAAGTATTTAAGTCATAAAAATCCTATTGCATGTTTCCTTTTAACATCTTTGACAATTAAACACAGACATTAAATCTTTTGGAAGCTGTCTGCATTACCTGCTGTGTTAGCTGCTGTGTGTTTGGCATCGTTGGTCAGTAGTAGATGGTTGAGACCACTCAATGGGGGCCGGTGCTCGCACCAATTCATGCCTCTGTGACAAGCAGAAGAAACACAATACAACTTTAACTTTCTCCTTCCACAGATCTTGTCTTTTGATGTAATATTCACTATCTTAAGTATTTTACAATGAACTAAAAAAAAAAGGCTATACCACAGCAGCCTTTTTTTTGGAAAAGTATGACAACAGCAGCCCATGTCTACACACACGCATGTGACACATTAAAATTTCAGATGCAAAAAATTTATCAAGGAGAGGTTTGGCAAAATACTGATGAATTCTCAATTAGTTCCAAATAAAAAAAAAATCAGATATCCCTTAAACTGTGCACAGTCAGGGGATAAGTTGTTGCGAAACAAAACACTGCCTGCTTTTACTTGTGGTACAGTAAAACTAGCCTCCAGTGATCTGCGGAGCATTCTATTATTCAAGGGATCACTATGGGCATTTGTTTCACTACACCACTCGAAGCAGTCAATATTTTTTATATCATTCCTCCAAATGTGAAATTTTCTTTTAACCCCATGCGCTCGGGAAGCGGTCATGGCCGCGGCCGCTAATCCTCATTGGAATGCAGTTGCCAGCTGTGGTATGCCGTGGCACACGGCTAGTGGGTAGTTCCAAAGCTGCTGCTTTTGTGCAGTCCCGCTACCACACAAAGGCTGTGCAGTCATGCGGGCCACTTGCTCTATGTGTGGAGGAATGTCCCCATTATAACCCGTCCTTAAGGGGTTAAATAGTCAAGAACGAAAAACAAAAAACGTGTAATGATGCTTGAGCAAATGAAACACAACAACCCGTTACAGTGAAATTTTGTATTTTTTTGAAGAGAGCAAATTTTGAAGTCAGCTGACCTCTGAAGGCTCCAGTGAGCGTGCTCAGTGACGCTGAGCTCCAGAGCGCCATCCTCGCTCTTCTTAGCGCTCCCTGGTAGCATCTTTGGCTCCAGGAGGTGCTCCACCAAGTTGCCATGGCAACCCATGATGAAGAGTGAGTCTACCGATGTCTGCTTGCCTCCGTCTTTGGGAGACAGAGAAAGACGTTGTACAATATGAACGCTGTGTCATGTCAGAGTTGTATTCAAGTTAGTCACAAGTCCAATCTCAAATCAAATCACAACTCAATCACAAGTCTATCACAAGTCAATCATATTTCAATCACAAGTCAATAACAAGTCAATCACAAATCAATCACAAATCAATAACAACTTAATCACAAGTCAATCACAACTCAGTCATACGTCAATCATAGGTCAATCACAACTCAGTCACAAGTCAATCACAAGTCGATCATTAGTCAATCTTTAGTCAATCACAACTCAGTCACAAGTCAATCACAAGTCAATCATTAGTCAATCTTTAGTCAATCACAACTCAGTCATACCTCAATCACAAGTCAATCATAGGTCAATCACAAGCCAATCTTAAGACAATCACAACTCAGTCATATGCCAATCACAAGTCAATCTCATGTCACTCACAACTCAGTCAAATATCAATCACAAGTCAATCTTAAGTCAATCACGAAACTGTTGTTCCCACCAGGCTCCCATAAGAAAGCACACATGTAACAAAGTGTTACAGTCGACTCTCGTTATAACAAACTCGTTCGGACCTAGCCAAATTGTTTGTTATATCAGAAATTTGTATTAAGAGGAACATCAGTCCCATTCATTGTGCACATTATGCACAGTCGGGACCAAGGCCTTATGTTTGTTATAACCAGAATTTTGTATTAACAGAGTTTGTACTAACGAGATTCGACTGTACTTCATCAGTTCAGAGGCTTGTAACAAGACAATAATGGGTCAATCACAAGTCAATGAAAACTCAATCACAATTGAGCTGTGATTGGCTTTTCTTGTGCAATCCTTAGCCTGTCCTTGCCATGAAACATGCTAGGTTAGCACAATTTTGTGCTAAAACCATCAAGCAACACCACCAAAATTTACCCGAAATGTTTTGCCGCCTAGCGGTGATTATCTTGCCTAATAAACATCCATTTATTAACCTATTAGTCTTCAACACTTCTTTAACAATTGTATGGACAACCTTTCTCACGTTACAGTTCATAAGCATTCCAAACATTTCCGTAGGAGAAAATCTGAGGGGTTTCGAAGTGTAAAACATACAATTAGTTTTGATTAAAAAAGGGTTAAATCTTTTCTGTACTAAAGTAAAATCTCGATAAGTCAGACTCTGATAACTCAAAACAACTGTTAAGTCAAACAAAGAATCCATTCCCTTCAGTAGTATAACAATGATATACAACCTCTGCTTAAGTCAAATTTTGAACATGTTCCCTTGAGGTTTGACTTATCGAGATTTCATTGTACTTGCTGCCCAAACTTTACCATTTTTCTCCCTGGTCCCCTTGGAGCTGGCTACGAAGTGTCCCCTGGAGCTAGCGAAGCAGGTGCTGATGCAGACGTAGTCGCTCACAGCAGCGGTCTGGGAGGACGCGCTGCGCGGCCGGGTGGCGTTACCCGTCATGCCGGCCACAGCGCCCCCTACCGAGGCCAGGATGGCCGGCTGCTTGATCTGGACCAAGGGGGTGACGGTGACGGGAGGGGGGTAGGGGGGCAGGCGGGGGTTGCTGACGGCTACGTTGTTGAGAGCGCCGGAGTGGGAGAGGGACGAGATGGGTTCTGGAGAATGGAAACCTACGATGACACAAATAGGAAAATGTCATCAAAAAAAGGCAGCATTTGAAAAGCTGCTTCCATCAATGAACACTGGTAGCCTATCCTATGAAAAAGTAATTCAATCACAGGCTTTGCATGGTACTTCTCAACTGAGAGAAGTTTACCAAAAACAATATGTAAAGTGACCAACACTAATACGAAAATAGTTTCGAGAAGAATCAGTGGTTTTCACTTAACATTGCGGTCAGTTGGGATTTTAAGAACCATTGGTTTTTTTGCCAGCCCATGAACTGGGCTACTCTACCTCATAATTAATCCCATGCACGAGGTACCCAACCCATACCAACGAACATCCAACTCAAGTGAGGATGTGAGGATGTGAGGTTTCCGTCAGCTAATGAACTGGGTTTCTCATGAAATTATCCCATACACAGGGTACCAGCCCATACCTCTGGGTACTCAACTCACATGTAGATGTTTTGTTTTCTGCAAACCCATGAATTGGGCTACCAGTCCCATAAAAATATCCCATAGATTGAGTATCCACCCCTTGCAACTCGGTACCCCACACATGTAAGGATTTTTTTGGGCTTTCTGGCAACCCATAAATTGGGCTACCCTTTCCCATAAAAGCATCCCATGGCACCGGGTACCCACCCCATGCCACTGGGTACTTATTCCATACCACTGGGTACCTACACCATGCACTGGGTATCCATCCCATGTCACTGGGTACCCCACTCACCTGAGGAAGTTGGGCTTTCTGACAGCCCATGAACTGGGCTACCCCTTCCCGTATCAACCAACTCGTCTAGCCCAGCGCTCTTGTGGAACCGACTTTCCTTGTTAACTATCTTGGCAGGGGTGTGGGTTCTTGAGCTCACAAGGCCTGAACAAAAATAATAATAAATTTTGTGATTCAAAGTAACAAGAAGCTAATTTCTGACTAAAGAATTTCAAGGACTTCCATGTAATTCACCAAAGCAAATTTAAATACAATATTGGGTTTTGCCCTTCACTGACGTTTTATATTTTAATAAATACTGTGTACTCAGTGTTGTCTCAAGTGACGAGAGGAAAAAATAACACTCGGTAGGACTGGAACCCATGACCTGCTGCTTACTGGTGCAGACGTCTTACCACACAACAACTGAGCTTGCCGGGGTCGGCCGACTGGTTTGAATCTGATATAGCAGCGGGACAACACTGAGTATACAGCATTTATATATAAATACGTCAGTGAAAGGCAAAACCCCAATATTGAATTCACATCACCCTGACGCAAATTCCATGTTATGAACATATTTAAATAGTTTTGAATTCTTTTTTATTATACCCCTTCATGTTTAAAAAAAATTATACACTGACAATTTTAAGAGGAGTTATGATAATGTTTATGTTGGTAATATGAAAAAACAGCAGGGCTGTAAAAATTTTAACAGCACATGGCACAATTTTATCGGTGCCTGAAACCCCTCGAGGAGAACACCGTAAAAATACAAAACATTACTGCTATTTAGAGACACTTGAACATCATTTTTGCTGCCGTGACATTACAAACGGATGTACATTCAGTTGGAAATTGGTCACACACACTCCATACCACACATGCAAAAACAAGCAGACACAAGATATGTCAGTTTCTAATGCTCCTGCAGTCACTAACCTCCATAGGGCGTGATGGGGAATACGTGCGTGGTCTCTCGCATTGTACTAACTGCTACCCAGCGACTGTCGTTGGTGAACGACACATCTTGCACCTGAAATTAAAAAAAATCCATGCAAAGCATAAAAAGGCATATTCTATGGCTAAAGCAAAACAAATATTTAAAAATGAAAAAAAAAGTGATGTCTCTGACATCTATACTGAGCAGTCTTTTTATTTTCCAGTTTCTGAAACGATTCTCCAAAATTGTCTTCACAAGTTTATGGAATTAAGTGGAGCAGGATTTGAACTGTGACCTCCTAAAACAAAAGGAATGAATAGGGGGCATCTCATACCAACAAGGGAGTCAATCACTTCTCAAAAGTGGGGGGGGGGGGAACATACCTTGATCAGAACTAATGCGAGCGTAGCGCAAAGCCCAATTTAACCAATTTGTTTTAGCAAAATATTACCATTTAAACATCATTTTCAAGTTTGGAGTCATTGAATCAGCTTTTCCAAGCTGTAGAATCCTATATAGGCTACAATTTTTATTCGGGGACGAAAAAAAGTGGGGGAGGGGGGAAACTATATGATATCCCCCCCTCCCCCCCCCCCCCCCCCACTTTAATAAGTGGGGGGACTTGTCCCCTCCGTCCCCCACCGATTGACGCCCATGCATACTAAACATCCCCCCTCCCCCCTCCCCCAAAATGTGACATCCGTGCACGACATTACCTTAGCTGCAGTGTCTCCCCTGTACAACGTATAGAGGTGATGGACGGCTCCTAGGCCGGAGGAGCAAGGGTGGCTCATGAGGCGGAATAGGTGGAAGCTGTGACCTTGGGACCCGGCCGTGAAGAGCAGGCTGCCGCTGGAGTCAAAGGTCAAGGCTGAGATGGACTCGTTGATGTGGGCTGGGAAGTGGGCCACGATGCCGTCGCTGCTGGTATCCTCCGTCACGTTGAACTGAAAAACAGACCGAATCATCATTCATAATCCACATCAATTTGTGGAAAAAGAGGGAGAATTTGACATTATCAGTTATGTGCTATGTGCACAATTATTAAAAATGCTGTTGAGAAGGCTTGAGTGACGCCACCAATGACCATTTTTTTTAAATTCAGATTACATCCGAGAGTCGCTATTCAGTTGAGAATAGACTCCAAATTTATCCCACAAAAAGCGTTCAGAAAAACCTTCAGTAATTGGCTTATGTAAGGTTATTACTTTGTGTATTTTCACTAATGCATCACATAAATTACTTTTTTAATTGTCTGGACTAAAACTCGGATTGGCATTTTTTACAGGGAGTCAAGTCTTCCAAATATTACATGTGCCACTTTTTTATTTTGGAATTGATTCTATTCAATTTTAATGCAGAGTCAGTCAAGCCTACTCATGATACAAATTCCTTTTATGCATCTTAAAGTTTGTAACACCATATACTATAAATATCTAGAATTAGGATTGTGTCTTGGTGTCTTGGTTCTTCATGTAAAAATTGTATCTGACAAGATTACTCTTATGCTATGATGACCCAATGAGTCAAGATAACTTACAATGCATTTTATCACAGGTTTGTTTTAATCGTTTACAAGAGTCATCATTCGTTATGTGCTTTCCATTACAGCCTATATTACGATAGACTAGTGCTTCATAAAACAATGCCAGGTTTCACAGGCAACCTCACCTCTCCTTCCACCGAGGCAGCGTCGATGACAGTCACCACCCCCGGGGTGCCGTGCTTAGCGTTCAGGGGTGCGGCACTGGGTTTGTCAGTGGGACTCTCCTGTCTGGGTGGGGAGGTAGAGAGTTTGGAGGTAGCCAACTTGCCCAGGGACTCACTGAATGCTGATATGCCTTTTGTGATTGCCTGACAAATAAATAAAACGCAACAAGGAGATGTAAATGACTTGAGTCAATTAACTCTACTCAAGACCAACTCAAGTTGTAATTTCTGGTGGCTCCACTGAACTCGAGTCATTACATTGCGAGTAACCTCCACTACAAACTTCTGAGAGAAAACAGTCAATCTAACTGTAAACTGGCCAGCCCTCTAATCTATCTTAATCCATTGTCCAAAAACTGGCTTTATAATCCCTAACACTTAGTGTAATCAAGCCACATGTGCTGTCACACAGCTGATGTTGACAAGTGCAGGGGATTAGCAGCAGTATCTGATAACAGGGGTCGGGTTGTTGACAAAGGGATTAACAATATAAGAGTGTACCGCTAGAAGTACTGTATTCTTTCCGAGTTTACAGGCCCTAACTCGGAAAGTTACACGACATGCAAATGTATTGACTCAAGTGACTGTAAGCCAACAATTTTTGAGTGTCTCAGCAAATATCTTGCCTCGACTAAAAATTAGGGGCCTCGCAATAGTCGTCATCAACATGTTACTAAGGGCACAATAGTGTGGTAGAGCAGTTTTAAACGAGGGCGACTATCTGTGACTGGTTTTAAACATCGCCGACCGGTGTTAAACGGTGGTATAAGACCGACCACCAGACGGGCTCTCAACCAATAGAAATGGCTAAACTGTCTTAGGCATTTATGAATAAATGAGTTAATGCTCTCCTTAATTTCTGATTGGTTAGAAAATCAGCCAATGGTTTGCCAATAATAAGTCAGGTGACCTACCTTGGCTGCATGGATGACCGTCGCTTTGTATGACTGGCTGGATTCCCTGCACACTCCGCCACCGCTCTGATGACTGGGTACCAACTACGGTGAAAAATAGATTGAAAACAATGTTAAGGGTACAGTCCATCATTTTCAGTCATCCAAAAAGTAACTGACGAATTATTGTTGAAAAGCATACTTGGTTTAAAGATGGTGATGGTATTTAACTCCTTGTGAAATTATTCTTTCTGGCATGCTGTCATTTTAAAGAAAACAATCAAAGAAGGACATTTTCAAACGATGCGTCTAAAGACGCATTCTTGGAGATTTCCGTAAGTAGTTCGTTGTTATTTTGGTGAAGCCGTGAATGAGTGCGCGCACGCATTGACACGACGCACACTCGCGCACAGTTGCTATCATTCGTCAGTTCAGTGTGTGATATCACGTAGCTGCAATCTGCTGAATGAGAACGTGTCCCGGACGCTGATTTCGGGCGCAATTCAAAACATGACTCGGCAACTTTTGAATTGAAATCGAGATTCTAGAATATGGTTTTCTCGGGATATACAGCATTCACTGAGCTAAAACTTCATCAGGTTAGTTGTTAAGCTCCCTTCTTTAGATTTTGAGCACTTTTGTTGCCAAAAAAATGTACAAATGACAAATGCTGTACTCTACCATTAAGATATTTTCACGACGTTACTTTTTTATGTAGTCTCACAAAAAAAATTTCAAACAGGGATATGACCATACCTTCCTATCGGCATAGGCAAGCCACCTAGTCCCCAGGGCTAGCGGGTTGAGATTGGGCGAGCTGGCCGGGTAGCAGCTGGTGATGCAGAAGCGGCTCTTGAAGGACACCGCATCGAATGCTGCCACTTTCTCCTGCAGCGCCACCACAATCAGTCTGGGGACGAGAAACACACGACATCGTCAACAGTTCAAGACAAGGTGCCTTTACTAAGGGAATAAATGTGCGATTTGCCGGTTTTAAACACTCTGTTAAGACCGGTGGAGTCTGGATGCTGATACGTACCCAAATTGTCAGCATCCAGACTCCAACCGGTCTTAAACAGAGTGTTTAATACCGGCCAAGTACATATTATTCTCATTCATAAATACCTTTTCGGTCAAATAATCACAACTTTTCGGTCCAAAAGTCAAAAAAAGTAAAAAATTATAAATGTCCGATTTTGTTCAACAATTTTACCTCATGTTTTTGGGGACACCCCTCTAGCTATATTATGGTATGTACAGTCTTGCTCCTTGTATGAAGATTGGCGCGCGCATCGTGCGTATTGCGGGATTGGTTAATTTGGCTGCCATGTTTTTGTAATAGAACGGGTTACCCAAGACCCAATAGAAGCACCCGTTGAATGGTCAGAATCTTGAGGTCAAGACGCAGTCTCGTTTTGCATAATTAATCACCGAATCTGTGCGAATGTCATAGACGCTTGTCTGCAAGTGGCTATTCCATAGACTAAGATGTAAAAAAAATGGATCTTAAAATATAAAGAATGACCCATTTATGTAAACCTTCAAAAAAGTTTTACTCAACACAGTTCCAATATAAAACACTGGACTGGAGCATACATGTACCTTCTGTTGCAGAGGACATCGCAAACCGGTGTCTTGAAGGCGATGTTGTGGACTTGCTCGCCTGTCTTGAGGGACAAAAGGCTCACCGAGCAGAACGGCTGGCTAGAACTGTTTTGGTCACAATGAAAAAAAAATAACATGCCATTCATAAGAATCTCTTATGCACTGCACTTCGGTGAACTATTGTTTTAAGACTTCAAATGTCATCAATAAAAGTGGAACAATTCTGAGTAAGAAAAAGTTGTCAAAAGTGGACTTCCAAGGCTTCGTGGTCTGGAGCATTGAACTTGTGGTCTGCAGGTACTTCTGCACGTTGTGGGCTCGAGTCCAAGCTAGGGTCATGGTTCGTGTGCCCTTGGGCAAGGCACTTTGTCACGCATTGTTTCTCTCCAACCAGGAGTAAATGAGTACCTGTGAGGGCAGAGATGGTTATTGTGGTTGATTTTAGCTGCTTTGTGCTGAAATGGCGGCATCGAGCTGTATTCTCCACAGGGAGCTGAGATTGTATTTCGAATGTTTCATTGGCCCAGTGAGCAGGGGTAAAAATAGCGTAAGTGCTTGGATCTTAGTTAAAAGCACTATAAAAGTACCCAATATTATCATTATTACCAACTAATGTGACCTACTTTTCCTAACAAAGGAAGGGGGGGTTAAGAAGCTGTATTTTAGCACTTTTACCCTCCTATGTAGACATACATTCTGTGCAAAGTTGTCCTTTCAGTCAAAACCAATCAAGCAACTGTTTTCAACAGTTAAGAGCTCCCAGCCTACATAAAGCAGGACTGACTGGCTATGACTGTTTATGTTACTTGAAACTGCTATGCTTTGACTGTAGGTGATTGATAAGCCAGCTGTGCCTCTTTCTTGCCTGCTTTTGTCTGTTGACTGAATTTGACTAGTCACAGTGCTTGCTTGAGGTATGTTCTGACTGTTGGCGACCAGCCTGTGTAAAAGGCATGGCAGGGGAAGATGACTGCTTTTTTGACTGTCTGTGACTGTTCAAATAGCAGGAGGGTTAAACTGATACAAGTACATCTCTTTTAACATAATGCTTTGACAGTAATGGACAATCCCAGCTTAAGTGTTTTAACTGCAATAATTTCGAGAGTAATAGCTCACAAGAAGCTTTTTTTCTGATGACTTCAACCTAGTTCTGGGATGATATGTCAGGTTTAAAAAATATTTGAAAATGGCCATCAGGTTAAAATAAAAGCATTTTATCAATAAGACACTCTTTGGTCTTAAAAATGTAACAGTTCTGTCTTTATCTTCATTTTGAGAATTTAGTAAAACAGACAATTAAACAAACAGTTTAATTTTTTGTTTTATAATAATTTCCATTTTGTACCTTGCTCCATCACACAGTGCCACCAACGGTCGTTTGTCCTGTTGATGATTCCGAATGCTGTTAATGTATGGCGTCGGTAGGATGCGCAGGATTCTAACAGGACCCTGCCGTAGTGACAAGACCTCCTGGGCATCACCGCTAGGCTGAACAAATAGAAACATCTAGCATTAATTGACAATTTAATTTAAAAAAAAATATGCAGCTTTCTTGTAGTGGTGTGTGAAATCGGAGATCTCAAAATCAGGTTATCCAGTTATGACGAGTGAGGTGCCGCATGCACATGGGCATCGTGGAGGGGGCAGGCCCCCCCCCTCCCCGAAAAAAAAAAAAAACAAGAGGGAAAAAAAAAAGAAGAAAAAAAGGAAAAAGAGGTGCGAAGTCATGTTGCTGTTTATTTGATGGGGGTGGGGAGGAGGGGGAGGGTGGTAGGGCAAATGCTCCCTGCTCAGGCTCGGAAAATGATAAATTGAAAATATAATGAAAAAGTTAAGGCATTTGTTGGGAAAAATTGCTTTTGGTAGAGCACCGAAACAGTAATCTGGAGGTCGCATATTCAAGGCCCACTCTAGTCAATTTCCTTGTTCAACCTTAAAAGAAATTTAAAAATAATTGCTTTAGGGAATATTTATTTTTAAATGATTTCGAATCTTACAGGAATACTCCATATCTGGACCCCGTTGGCGTAGCCGATGACCAGGAATATTGGCTCCTCCAAACCTTCTTGGTTGACATAGTGAGGATTACTCAGGTGCCCTGCAAAATGAGACCAAAATACACATTGTAATCAAAGAGAGACAAAATGTCTGCAGTAGTAAGTAAAGTCTGTCACAAGCCAATGTGGCCCATCAGGGCAGCGATTATCTCCGGTTTCCTTGGCGTGAAACGATTCCCCCTGGATGGGATGCTTACCATCGCAGGATACTCCCCAGCTAATGCCGGAAACCGTTTACACTCCTGGGTGGAGAGGTCAAATGGGGGTGAAGTGGCTTGCCCAAGGACACAGCACATGTCCCGCAGCTGTATTTGAACCCTGGACCTTCTAATCATGCGTCACAAAATATCAACTAGGCCATACATGCATTCCCCTAAAAAATGTCTGTTCTATTAATTATTTACACTGTGGCTACTGCATTTTGTTTTTCACCAGAAGGCAAATTTTCAATAACACTCTCTTATCTAGGGATCTGTCCCATACTTGATCAGGCTAAAATTGTACCTTCAAAGCCACTAAATTGATTGCTGTGCACTGTCCATTAAAGAGAGGTTTTCCCGTTTCAAAAAAGAGGGTACCATTAACGCAGTGCAATATCATTATTACCATCAAGCGCATAACCGTACCAGTCGAGACTAATCCGCTAAGTGACCTCAATCAGCAGCCACCAAAGGTCGGGCATTGATGTGAAGATATCAAGTGGTCACAATTAAAATTAAATATATTGTTCATGTATCGGGTCTATACATTGCACAAGTTCAGTAATCAGGAATGTTCCTACCATTCGACCCTACTACAGTCTGGCCCACATAATTTCGTCACTGTTTTCACGAAGAGGCGAATTCAGTATTTCACTGTCTGAACAAACATTTGAGATAATCGTGTTTAAAGTTGGTCCCTTTTTCATTTGACAATTTGGAACTTAAAGCACTATGCATAAAATATGCAAAATTTAGGTATGAGAGGAAAGAAGAGATTGTAATCTTTCTCAATGTAGAAAACTTTAAGAAAAATATGTGATTAGTTTTGCAGAATTAATTAATTAAGAAAAGTGGCTGTTCATGAAAACGAAAAAAGCGACTTAATTAGCAAATTCGCCCCTTCGTGAAAACGCTAGAGTGATTATGTGCAGATTATGTACTGCGGTCTGAGTCAATGCATTTTTTGTACAGTTCGCGCAAATTCTGCCCCACTGTACATGCGCCTTGAAATTTGCCGCTTCGTGAAAACATTTTATGGCACGCGCCTGAAATTTGCCCCTTTGTGATAACATGTCATAATGTACGTGTATTACAATGTATATATTTACTGAAAATTTATTAATAGAGTGCGGAAATTCGCCCTTCGTGAAAACGCAAAACAGCACTTGTGGCAAATTCGCCCATTTGTTAATTAGGTTAATTAAGATTTTAATTAATTTTTTGAAAGTATAGCCTCACCAGGTTGTCGTTATTGATATATTTGTTCATTTTCACCCAAACACAAATTTCGAAAAACAAGACGATTTTCATGAAATTCGCCCCTTCGTGAAAACGGTGACGATTTGTCCATATATTCAGTTCAACATCATTACTTATGAACAGGAAAGGCATAGAGCAATTTCTTTTCTCCCTCTCGATAATATGTCACTGAAAATTTAATATGATCCAGCGAGCCCAGGAAGAGGGTGAGATTTCTCTCATTGAAGAAAAAAAAAACGATGGCGGGATAGCGCACTAGTAATACACGGGCAATGAGTATTGAACGAACAATGGATTTTTTTTTGTGGGTGATGTGTGCATAATCAAATATGCAAATGTCCCTTAGCCTAATTGAAATGTCACAATCGATTGGGATCAGGTGTAGCCATGGGTGTCAGTGCGTGTGTGTCATAAATTGAAACTAATGTGTACACGTAGGTAGTATAACTATGTTGTATTAGTTAATGTCACTGAAATCGAGAAGATGAATTCGTGTTCGAGATATTTATTTGTTTAACCAGGGAATGGACAGTTACTGAATGATTTCTAAATCTAAACACATTTTCCGGTTCTTTGAAAAGGCAATATTTCAATTCAACAAGATTCCAATCTATTATCATTTTCAGGGGGATCAATGAGTTAACCTATATTTTAATGTTTTGAAGTGACTTGAACCTGAATTTTTGGCCTAAAACAAATAAATTTGTTTGGAGATATTTCACACATTTGCTTATATAAAACACTTGATATATAACACTGTTGGATTCTCTTAAAACCCTCCTATGTAAACATACATTCTGTGCCAATTAGTCCTTTCAGTCAAAATCAATCAAGTGACTGTTTTCAACAATTAAGAATTCCCAGCCTAAAGCAAGATTGTCTGGCCGTGACTGTTTATGTAACTTGATACAGCTTTGCTTTGGCTGTGGGTAATTGATAAGGAATGTCGGACACTTCGCCCCATTTCCACGTCGCCCCATGTCACTTCGCCCCTAACCACTTCGCCCCATTCCCACTTCGCCCCATTCCCACATCGCCCCATCCCCACTTCGCCCCATTTCCACTTCGCCCCATTCCCACTTCGCCCCATCCCCACTTCGCCCCATCCCCACTTCGCCCCAGCCGTTACATGTAAAAAAAAATCTCATCTATTTTTTTGGCTTAAAAAACAATTTCAACAGATTCACTAATTGCTAACCAACGGAAAGAATTAGCCCATCACCAAATGAACAATTCATAACCAACCTTTCAAGCTAGGCTCTCCCCTACCAAGAAAAAAGCTTGAAGTAAAAGATCCAACTTTGTTCCCAACCCGGCTATACCAACCCGTCTCCCACTTATCTGAGAACGACAATACCTTTGACATCCTAATTTCACTCTTGGAGGAACCAATCTCATCTAAATGAAGTTGTAAGTGTCACATATCAGACAAATTTTGACGGAACACTTTCCTCAAGGCAGTGAGTTCCTTTTAACTCACTGACCCATACCTACGGATTCTTTTGAATCCAGCCGCTTCCAGCGGCTGATGATTCACAAGCCAATAGGAGAGGCGTCTCTGAATGGGATAGAGCCATCATTTCTCTCATCTGTGTCTCGAGCACCTCATCAGAGAGTTTGTATTTTTCCTAAGTTTCTAGAATTGGGAGCATTTATTATCTGGGGTCTTTGGCAGTTTATTTGGTCTGCACCCCTAGCCTTCACCTTTTTCATACTACATGGGGCGAAGTGGGGATGGGGCGAAGTGGGGATGGGGCGAAGCGGGGATGGGGCGAAGTGGGGATGGGGCGAAGCGGAGATGGGGCGATGTGGGGATGGGGCGAAGTGGGGATGGGGCGAAGTGGTTAGGGGCGAAGTGACATGGGGCGACGTGGAAATGGGGCGAAGCGTCCGACACCCATTGATAAGCCAGCTGTGGCCACAACTTGCCTGCTTTGTCTGTTCATGGTCTGTTGACGGTCTGGTGACTGAGTTTGACTAGTCACAGTGCTTGCTTGACATTATGATCTGACTGCTGGTGACTAGCATTTGTTAAAAGTATAGCGTGGGAAGTGGATGGATATTATAACTGTCTGTGACTTTTTAAATAGCAGGAGGGTTAATGATTATTGAATCAGCTGTCTGCAAGTTGTTGCCGACATTTTTCAGTCTACTGAAAGATAAGGGTATTGATATGTTGGGGGCGGGGAAGGGGTGGGGAGGGGGTGAATCCCTACCCTAACCAATTGAAAATGAAGGACATAGGATAACATGCAGCTGGCAAAGGATGCAAAGCATTGATACGTCAGCTTGTATCATACAAATACGACTTCGTTGCATGAACAGTGCCATCTAGTGTCACACCGTGTCCCCCTTCCCTCATTTTGTTTTGATTTCTCACAGTACGCCTCTCAAGATCCAATGGCAATTCGTAATGAAACAAAATTACTTTTTGTGACTCCCATGGCGACAGACAATATCAAAGGCCATTCGAATGCATTCTCAGGTTGTATCTGACCCACCTCGCGGTGAACACGCCCTCTCAAATTTCACCCAGAGTATCTTGTCTTTGTCCTCCGCTTTGTTGCCGCTGTAGGCGTCCTGGAGAAAATCCACCACGGTTGCCATGTAGGACTTGTCACTGCCGAGGAAAGGCAAAAAAAACGAAGAAGAAAAAATTAGGTCAATTAATTTGAATATTAAAAAAAATGCACTGAACGATGACATGCAAAGGATGGATAGGTAACAGCATTGGTTATAAAATAACAGCATCGGTTAAAAATTCCTTCTTATGAATAGTTAATACGGTATCAGCTGCTATGTACATCAGATTCGAACCAGCCAACCGATCCCGTTAGCTCGGTGGTCGAGTGGTAAGACATCTGCAATAGAAGGCAGGAGGCCGTGGGTTCGAGTCCCACCCGAGTGATTTTTTTCCAGCTTTCACTCGTGAGGTAACACACTGAGCATACAGTGTTTATAAGTCGGTGAAGGGCAAAACGTAATTTGAGCATTGGTTATAGTTGCTCAATTCAGCTGGGAAACAGTATACAAATAATGAACGTTTATGAGTGCAATGGTAAGAATAATTTTACGAACATTGCCACTGAATGAAATTACTCTATCCACTGCACGAATGTGAAACAGTCATTTGTTTTATACAAACAAATTTTTGGTGGTCAGGCCCACCAATAATTTGACCATGCAATGGAACACTTATTTACCGTGGAATGGAACTTTTACTTTGACGGAGATTTATTCAGGCATTGTATATAATGGCGTTGTATATAGAATTACCTGACATTTTGATTGGTGTCAGACCTGTTAAATATATTTCTAAATTGGACACATTTCAGTCCTACGCAGCTCTGAACATGGCAAAGAGGACTTGAAGTAAAATGTTTACCTCAACCTCACTAAATACTTTCCAACATGCAGTTTTACAAAAACAGAATTTTATAACTAAAAACAAATTGATTTCCATGAGAACCCACACTTAAGTGGGCCGTTCCCACAGGACTACACTAGAAGTAAAAGTTGAATTGGGCTTTCATATCCTAGATTTTGAAAGTGCTACATTTTTTGTATATGCAGAGCTTCCCTATAACAATGGTCCCAACATTTGAGTTTCGTTGTTTTTTTACTCACCCTGAACATGCAATTATACTGCACAGTGTACACATGTAGTGGTGCAAATTTACGGGTAGTACAGGACAGAGTTGCTGACTCGAGTCATGTGACTTGGACTCAAGTCGGACTCGAGTCACTATTTTTGTGACTTGTGACTTGACTTGTAAATACCAGCTTTGACTTGTGACTTGACTTGGACTTGCAAACAATGACTTGTGACTTGACTTGGACTTGCAAAAAATGACTTGCTGCCACCTCACTACAGGAACTGGATACCCTATTGATGTAAAACACAGGTTCACAGGTACCCGGGTACACTTTTACCTGGTGGTCTGTAAATGGAAATCAACCCCAAAATTCAAATCCTGGAAGTTGTCTGAAAGCTTTATAGCTTTACTGTTACTGCAACTTTCTCGAGCGTCATCTAGCTGTCACGCGTTAAAATGCACGTAAATCTGTTACAGGTTTTCCATGGAGACTGGTTTTCATTTTTAAACATTCCCAAAAATGACATTCGAAAGATTTCTTTTTTGTTGTATGAGCAGTTACTTAGTAATTTGTGAAGTTGATTACGGGTATCCGATCCCATAATCTGGAACCGGTTCCTGACATCAGCAGAGGGGTACTCTAGTACCCGGTTCCAATCCCCTAGGACAGTGGAAATGTTTATGTGTACGTGCACCCCAAGGGCCGAAATCACAGAGTTTCAGCAAAGAAATTTTTGCTCAGCAAAACAGGGTACTACATCTAGCCCCCCCCCAAAAAAAATGGCCAAAAAATGTGGCGTACACTGCCTGTGACTAGTGATAGCCTCATACTGAGCTGCTTTGCATGAAAAATGCACATGTTGTTCTTCATTTCTATTATCTTCTAAGGAATGTCAGACACTTCGCCCCATTTCCACGTCGCCCCATGTCACTTCGCCCCTAACCACTTCGCCCCATCCCATCTTCGCCCCATCCCCACATCGCCCCATTCCCACTTCGCCCCATTCCCACTTCGCCCCATTCCCACTTCGCCCCATCCCCACTTCGCCCCATCCCCACTTCGCCCCAGCCGTTACATGTAAAAAGAAAAAAAAAATCTCATCTATTTTATTGGCTTAAAAACAATTCCAACAGATACACTAATTGCTAACCAACGGAAAGAATTAGCCCACCAAATGAACAAGGCAAATTATGGAGGACACCAATGTACATGAGGACACCAAAAAAGCAAAATAGTACCCCACCTTGTCTGTACTACAATCCAAGCTTGAAGAAGAAAAAAAAAGCCCCCCCCCCCCCAAAAAAGCCGTGTGGCCGCGTCAATTCCGGAACTTTGGTCTGACCAGAGACCGAATATTTTATTTTTTTTTGGCCTAAAAGACCCGGCTATACCAACCCGTCTCCCACTTATCTGAGAACGACAATACCTTTGACATCCTAATTTCACTCTTGGAGGAACCAATCTACATGGGGCGAAGTGGGGATGGGGCGAAGTGGGGATGGGGCGAAGCGGGGATGGGGCGATGTGGGGATGGGGCGAAGCGGGGATGGGGCGATGTGGGGATGGGGCGAAGTGGGGATGGGGCGAAGTGGTTAGGGGCGAAGTGACATGGGGCGACGTGGAAATGGGGCGAAGCGTCCGACACCCCTTCTAAGCACCTCTGTGAAATTAGGCAATTGTGGTAAAATGTCATGCTCAAGAACACAATTATGATACATTCCTGTTAAGAGTTTGAACCCTTGTACCACCGCATGTAAGTCACACACTGTAACCAGTGGACCACAGTGCTCAAAAGTGAATGCATTCAAGAGGATACTGAGTCAACTATCAAGGTGCAACAAAACCTTCAATTTATGCATGCTGCAAGGCAAATCAGCCCTCAAGGTGCTTGATCTGTCTGAGGAAGGAAAGAAATCCTGTTCGTATTTGCTCGCGATTATAAAATGCAGTTTAAGTCACGTGACACTTATGACACCATTTTTTTTTTTGTGCTGCTGCTTTTAGGCCGAGTTAAAAATCATAGTTTCTCATCTGGGCTTTTTGAAAAAAATATTGAAGGAGACAGGCATTTGTTTTTTTTTTGTTTTTTTTTCCCCGCAAGATGGCGGATTTTCTGTGATGCCGGATGGATTCTTCCATGTTCATGACTCCTTTGGTGATGTCAAATTGTGTCCAAAGGACCCAGACCCTTTTATTTAGCTAAGTGTTGTTGGAAACAAACAATAAGACAATATGAACAAATGTTTTGAAAAAAACAGAAGCGGGTGGGGAGGAGAAACTGGTTAATTTTTTTTTCTACTTGGCCTTATATTGATCTCGCTGTTTCTTTTTGAAGTGTAGTTTGCCATCTTAACCCCCCCCCCCTCCCCCCTGACTGCACTTGAGCTTGATGTGGGAGGGGGGAGGATTGGGCTGAACAATGAGCACATGTCAAGTTTTTGGAGGGAGTAAAACATTCTGGCATTGGTCAAGTTTGGGATCCCTCCAATTGTGTTTATTTCGGACACAGTCATGACAGTGTTTATCAATCCAAAACGTGTTTTTGTTTGTTTCTAGTATATAATGTACATATCATTTGGAACTGACAGATTTAGGTTTAGAGTGGATATTTGTTCTCTTATATGGCAAAGGGGTCCCAAAATTCTTGCTTATTTTGTACAACAAATTTGAAGGCAATACGTATTGATATAAAGCCAGTGTTCTAAAAAAGGTAAAATGACTTTCTGTTTTGAAGTGGGTCATTCCATGAAGTTGAGGAACAGGCCATAGTTTTCTGAGGTCTGATTATAAAACAGTTTTTCTTTGTTAAAGAATGGATATTTCTAAAACTAATGTCATTTGACAATAAGGCTATAAGATAAGCTTTTAAATGATACCATGCTCGATGAAATTCAAAAATAACTTTCATACCCAAATTCTGTAAATGTTATGGCGTCTGGCATAAAAAAATGAGGAAAAAGTGTGACAAAGAAACCTACAGTTCAAAAATAACTCATTTTGAAAAGAAAACAAGTGGACTGGAGTTGAGGTTCTACACAAATTACAGCGAGAAGATGTACCCTTTCTATTGAAAAAATATAAATATCAGATGTTAAAATGTTTTGCCAAAATGGCATGCACAATTTAAAATTGGGTTGTGGATGTAACATATGGGTGTCCCTTGTTTCATATTATGTTACATCCACAACTGGCTTGTGCAAAGTTTTCTTTTTGCAGCAATTTAGGTCGGATTGACCCCAATATTTCATGATTGAACTGGTATTTGTAAAATAATGTGATCATAGTCTATGCAAATAAATGTTTTGGCCAAATATGAACAAAATCTATGAATGCCTGTGGGCACATGGTGTCCGTGTTACATCCACAACCGGTTGACATGGTCATGCCTAAAATAAGTATGAAAATCATGACCTGCAATCTGCAATTGCCCTTGAAACAGAGATTTGGGGACAACATTTCTAAACACAAACAACATTTAGTTCCATTCATATCGAGGTGAAGAATACCTCATTGTGATGTAGTGTTGTCCCACATGTTACTTGTACATCCACAACCATTATTTTTTGTTGTTGGAAATAACAATTTTAGCAGTTTTTTAAGTATTCAAGTATGGATATTATTAAATGAAGCTATTTGATGATAAACTCAAGTTTGGTGTGAATTTGAAGCATTTTGAAGTATTAATTATGAACAAAACAAAGTTTGGATGTAACGTGGCTTCCGGTTACATCCACAACTTCTCCATAGTCATTACATGTAAATATATATTGTGTACAAATTTACCAACTTTCCTAAATCATGTGACTTAAATTTGAAAGAATTGTTAAACCACAATACATGGGCTATCAAAAAATGCATAAACAAAACTTGTACAAGCAATTTGAAAATTTGACCCCAATGTCACACTTTGTATCTCAACTTCGTGGAATGACTCAGGTACATAAGGCACACTGTCACTATCAAATACATGTACAGTACAAAGCACACCACCATCGTCTTGATCACCACTTAGCTTGGCAAACCCTACCGGGTATCTCCAATCGTGAAGTCATGAGCATAAGGCAAAGAAACCAAACTAAATCTGTTTCTCTTCCCCAAGACTTCCCATCCACTTCCCTTGTCCAGTCTGCCTCCCTTTCATCCATACATTTGCAATATATTTTGCAAATACAATAACAGACAATACATACGTGTACTCTATTTATTTGTTTCCACCAAAATTGTAGCTGCCGATATACATTTGGTGGAGACATGACAGACATGGCAATGATTTAATTTTGGAGTGAAATTAAAAATTAAAACATGACAATTCGATTGCGCAATAAAAACGGCTTCAGCATGTTTAGTGCAGGCTGCGGAAAGATTTCCATATACGAAGTTCACTCAACACTCTGTGTACAAACCCTATGAGAGTGGACTGAAAAATTCTAAGTGTTTTCTAAGAAAATGCTTGTATTTTCTCACTGCTCAAATTGACTTTGATGACATGAAATTGCTATCTGGGGGCTTGTTAGTCAGTACAGAGGAAAATTAGTGAACTTCGCATATGGTAATCTTGCCCAGGCTGCAGTGTGCTGTGACTTCGCTGGACTTTGATGATGCGCACAGTACTGCTGCTGAATATTATGAAAACAAACTTAAAGAAGATTGCTTGAGGTTGCAAAGGTCATTTTAGAATTGTTACTCGTCTCTTGATAAGGCGTTTCACGGTAATATGCGCCATCTTGTTCGCAGGGCAAAAAGAACACGCGTTGCTAGACGCGGGCGCATTTTGGAACGAACGCATGATGACTTGGAAGCGCCAAAGCTTTCCAATGACGATGCATACACAGCAACGCGTGTAAAATTGCCCCGCGGGCAAGATGGAGCATATTACCGTGAAACACCTTATTATGAAAACTAGGCTTTTATTTAGAGCTTAAAGTAGACCCGTGAACGTGGCGTTGTATACAATGCCACGTTCTGGTTTCATTTCGAACCTGGCGTAATCGATCCGACATACATAATTCCGTATGGGTGTTGAGTACTCACCTAGAAATCTAAATTTGCCCGTCCGATTGTTTAGGCTGTGTAATTTCGACGAAATTTGCCCATCAGTAAAGACCCATTCGAACGTGTAGAAATTAGATTTTAACCTGACCCTGACAAATAACCCCGGACGCGTCTGAGTCGCTTGGACAGATTGACGGCTGTTTCATGTCGCAACCCCGAAAAAAAAAACCCCACAGACGATTGGCTGCTCGGCTCATCTCGTGTACAGTACATGTACGTGTGTGCACACACACGCGGGCGCACGTGCAACCGCGTGCGGTGCGGTGAGAGAGGAAAGGACTTGAAACTTGTCTAAAACGATGTCTGTTTTAGCTGCGACAGTAAACAGCCGTCGAATCATACGAAAATAAAACGCAATGCGCATGCGTCAGTTGGGAGAAAATGGCAGCTAGCAGTAGCGGACGGACTTCATGAACCGGGGCCAGAATTTTCCTCAATTTTCGTCAAATGCAAGTTTTGACGTACAAATAGAATTCAAGACAGCTTCATATGTGAGTACTTATTACATGGGCAAAATAACGTCCAGTGTGTGTAACGGAGGGAGTCAGAGGGACACGTTCGCCAGGTTCGAAAATAGACAACAGCGTGGCGTAGTTTACAAGCCACATTCACGGGTCTAAGCTTAAAGTAGCATTATTACATGAATTTTAATTTTTTGTTAAATATGGCCAAACTATACATCAAATTAAAGCTCTCGATGGGAGAAATTCAATGATGCAAACAACATTGTCATAGGTGCTTCCGTTCAGAAGTTATGTCCTCCCAAAGACACCATACTCCTGGAACTCTTCTGGTCGTCATTCGAGTTAATGTATTTGTTAACTAAAAACCGACCATACTATTCAGTTTTGGTTCAAATATAGTCAAACTATACATCAAATTAAAGCGCCTGATGAGAGAAATTCAATGGTGCAAACGTCATTGTCATAGCTGCTTCCGTTCAGAAGTTATGTCTTCCGAAACACACCATTATTACTCGTGAAACTATTCTGATTGTGTGTGTGTTTTTATTTCTGTAACCAGGGTGGAGCAGCACCTACTGAGGAGAAAGTGATGCCTCCAGATATTCCCTTATATCAGCATCCCAATTCCTATGCCCCCCCCCCCCACTTTTTCTGCATAAGATGGAAGAGTAATTTATATTAATGTAACCTTATTGATCTTCAATGATTAGGTCTCCTTTTGGAAGATCTTCCTGCAGCTTGTGGAGATCCACTCATGACCTTTTGTGATGAAGCATGAATCCAGAAAGACTAATTTATGTGTAAAATAAACAGGGAATATTGACACACCTTTTAAGACATTTTCCTTTCCTCCAATAATTGAAAAATTGTTGATATTCCCTGCCCTGGCTACAATCCAAAGGGCTTTGGAAAAAAATCTGACTCCACCAGAATTATGTCTGACTGCATGCACACTTACCACCCCCATCGAAGGTTACAAGTCAAGTTTTGGCAGCAAATGGAAATGCATTATTATTGCTGATGTAATTAAATTAATCCTTTAATCATGTTAATCAAGTTAATACATGATGATTTTTTTTATTATTATTAAATTAAAACAATAATTTTGAAATCAACTGAAATACATTTGTTGGTCATGAATGGACGTTTGTACGAGTTTCATTCGTAAAAAACAATGAGTTACTGGTGCAAACATGACAGCGCATCATCATCATCAACTGCGTCAAGGGCTGGCCAAACATCAGCGCGGAGATTGTCATTAGACTTTTAAACAAATACATTTCTACAGACCGCAATCAAACGCAGGAACAAAATCAAGATATTCTTACTCAGAAAGGACCAAGGAATTTAGTGATATAGGTTTACAGGAATCCCCCCATGTTCTGTATATCTAAATTGTGAAAAAAAGTGGCAAATTTGATCAAAATTTGGCAAAAATTGGCAAAAATTACCTTAAAACCTTATTTCTTGACCGTTTGAAACGAAACAAAAAGCATCGGCAGATTGTCCTATCCTATCTGATCAATAGATGGCAGTATTTATTGATTAAGAAATCAAGAGAGGGCGGTATTAATCAAAAACGGTAACCCATTTTCGAGGCATGAAAATGCCAAACTTAGTGTCAAAATGGCCGCGCTCATGACGGCCGTCCTGAAAATCACGCTCTGAAACTTCTGGTTTTGGACAAATTGAGGTATGTTTTTCCCGATCTATTGCCATTTTGTAAAAGAAGACATATTTGTCGACATGTAGGAGTGATTTGAAGCTGAAATAGCTTGATGGGACACAGTAACATTCATTTGAAAAACTTCAGTTTTGTGTGTCACCAGAATAGGAAATGTCAATATCGCGGTACCTCTAACATTGCTACTTAAAGAAGATTGCTTAAGTTGCAAAAGTCATTTTAGAACGATAATATGTAAAAACACTTCAAGAACTTAGGTGTCCTTAAACTACACAATATCTGCTGAATTCTAAGAAAGTTAGTATTTTAGTAAGATCTAATCAATCTGAAAACGAAGCACACAACAAATGAACAATGTCATTGAATTTGAAGTATTACCTGACAGGCTGAGCTTTAACCGACACACCGGCCGCTCTAGACGACGCAGCAGCTCGTTTGCTCGGTGACTGGTAGGCCATCTTGCCAGCTCAGCACTCCCGCCCAGATTCAGTGCAGGCTAACTGCGGGCTGCGGCAGGGGTCCGAGTACGGTCCTCGCAAGGTATTGTACACGGGCACAGCTGATTTGCGGAGCCCAGCTCAGCTGATCGATCATGAACTGCTCAGTCTCGGTCCTCGGTATGCGACAAAAGCGGAAGCCCAAACGCATGGCCCGAGGATGTCCACAGCAGAACAAGACTTTCCTCAAAACATTGTGCCCGCTTTGTAAGGTTTACCTGGTTAAATACTATGATAAATCGTAGAAAATGAGACTTCCTTCGTTCGTTAATCAGCAACTCCAGACGAAATGACGTTTGTTATTATTTTCCTCATCGATCAACAGTTATCTCTCAAAGGTCCGTTACAACGTCAATTTATTTAAAAAACATAGATTTTGCTTGAGAGTAATATTTACAAAAATGATACTTTTGAATATATAATGGCTATTAAGGCTCAAGATGTTTTTGTCATATTAAAATTTCAACACTGAAAATAATATCAATGAACGAGCCGTTTTTGCCCTCAATAAGATTGACCTTGAAGTTCAACTGGTATCCACACGCTTTTAATTCATTTTGCATCGGAAAATTACAGTAACCAGTGAACACCTGACTGGCCCTCACGTGACGTCAAAAATATAAATAAACAAGTCAATTACAAAAGTGCTGCTGGGTCTTTACAAAACCGAAGATGTCGAACGTAAGGCGACCGAAAAATCCTTTCGATGACGACGACGATGAACCAAATGATTTTGTCTTCGTGCCTAGGGGACCATCGAGACCCCAAGAAAAGAAATATCCCTACGGGGACTTTGGTATCGACGAGGACGACCAGGAAAAAGACGACCATGACGGGGCGGTTTCCCTGCAGACCCAAATCGAAGAGCGACAGCAAAACATGCTGCAGAGTACAAACAGGTCTCTCGGCATGATGTACGAAGCCGAGAATGTCGGAAACGAAACCGCTCACGTGAGTAGCATTGGGTAGATTTGGGGAAATGTGTTTTCATTCTTTTACTTTCATGATGTCAATTCATTAATATTTTCTTTTCCCGTCATGCCCGTCATAAATGAAGTGATTTGAATTATGATTTTTATGAATTTTCAAATTTTGGATATTTAATTTAGGCTACATAAATACAAACATGGAGGATGTTTTTATTCCTCCATGATTATGATACAAATTACAATGTAATAAAATTCAAGAAAGTCATAAAAATAGGTTTCTTAATTTTTGTATTATGATGGTGTTGACATAAACCTGTAGTTGTAAGACAAAGGTGGACAAGATGACATTAAAAAAAAAGAGGAATGATCATGAATCAGCGATGATGAGTAAACTAATGGGAATAATGAAATATGGATATTATGTTGGAGGATTATGGAGGATTCTGTTATATTTAGAAAGGTACATGTATAACTCTTTTCATAAGGCGTTTTTATAAAATAAGTTAAAGTACAAAGAATGTGCCATTCGTTTAATTCTACTGCAGTGGACTGAGTGTAGTCCGAGTAACTTGGACCCAACTTATCGCCTTTTTAAAAATTTGGACATGGTCTGGCGATAGTAGGGTCCAAGCCCATTCCTCGACCTAGACAACACAGTCACTGACAGTCCCAAAAACCAACATTTTCCAACAAAAAACATCAGATTTCACCTTCAAAACGGCCTCCAAATTACTAGATATGTCACCTGAGGTACAAGTAGACATAGATGATTAAGATGGTTGTACTTAAGTTTACTTACGATCCGGAAAAAAAGTGAAATTTTCCGTTCAATTCTGGAGACCCCCTCTGCCTAGGTTGTCGTCGTTGTGCTCACGTTCAAAACTGCATGATAATGGCGTCTGACCTCGACCTCTTGCAAATGTGGTGCGGTGCGCTTGCGCATAATGCACTGCATGCATACATGGCAGATTCCCCTGCGCCGCGCCGACGACTGTTTCCTGATGTAGAGCGCTGTGTAAGTTCGTGGTACGCCTGGGAGTCGCGCTGGCTAGCCAGGCGTACCGCGAACTTACACAGCGCTCTACATCAGGAAACAGTCGTCGGCGCGGCGCAGGGGAATCTGCCGTGTATGCTGCATTATGTGCATTATGCGCAAGCGCACCGCACCACATTTGCATGAGGTCGAGGTCAGACGCCATTATCATGCAGTTTTGAACGTGAGCACAACAACGACAACCTAGGCAGAGGGGGTCTCCAGAATTGAACGGAAAATTTCACTTTTTTTCCGGATCGTAAGTAAACTTAAGTACAACCATCTTAATCATCTATATCTACTTGTACCTCAGGTGACATATCTAGTAATTTGGAGGCCATTTTGAAGGTGAAATCTGATGTTTTTTGTTGGAAAATGTTGGTTTTTGGGACTGTCAGTGACTGTGTTGTCTAGGTCGAGGAATGGGCTTGGACCCTACTATCACCAGACCATGTCCAAATTTTTAAAAAGGCGATAAGTTGGGTCCAAGTTACTCGGACTAGACTGAGTGGAGGAGCCATACTCCTAGAACTATGAGGCTCCGCGTGAGCGGAGCCTCATAGATGTAGAAGCCCGCAAAATTGTCTGCAGCACAAAACACTAATAAAGTACAAAAATGTCCATCAAAATGCAGACATTTCACACAGAACCGCTGCACAGTTTGCCCCTATACTCCGTACTTTACCTCTTGACATACTCACGTATCATGGGCGGAACTAACATAGGTGGATTCTGTCGGTTTTTAGGCCAAAATGATGAAAAATATGCCCTTTCCGCACTGAGCCAACCGAACACTTGAAACGTGCACGCATATGATCGAGCGATGATTTTCGGTTCGCTCGGAGCGCGCCGCGGGGGGTACGGTACATGCACTTGGTTGGACGCATGCACATACTATCATTTCGCCTGTACCGTACCCCCTGCGGCGCGCTCCGAGCGAACCAAAAATCATCGCTCGATCATATGCGTGCACGTTTCAAGTGTTCGGTTGGCTCAGCGCGGAAAGGGCATATTTTTCATCATTTCGGCCTAAAAACCGACAGAATCCACCTATGTTAGTTCCGCCCATGATACGTGAGTATGTCAAGAGGTAAAGTACGGAGTATAGGGGCAAACTGTGCAGCGGTTCTGTGTGAAATGTCTGTATTTTGATGGACGTTTTTGTACTTTATTAGTGTTTTGTGCTGCAGACAATTTTGCGGGCTTCTACATCTATGAGGCTCTGCTCACGCGGAGCCTCATAGTTCTAGGAGTAGAGGAGCCAGGCAGGATTTCAGAGCGTTCCTAGCAAAACCTCATTGGAGAGTTCTGGTTAATGTTCCATCATTTCCTTACAATCAATTTTTTTTTGTGAACAGGAATTGTTGAGGCAAGGAGAGCAACTCCAAAACATTGACAAGAAATTGGACAAAATGAACACAGACATTGACACCTCCAAGAAGCACGTCACGTCCCTGCGCAGCGTCTTTGGTGGCGTGGTCAACTACTTCAGCAAGAAGCCCGAGCGGGAGAAACCTGAGGAGCAAGAGAGGGCACCGAGCAAGCTGCGGACAATGGTGGGAGACGGGCCGGGCGCGAAGAAGGAGGAGCAAGATTGTATGGACCACCCGGCCATGAGGTTACGGGACCCCAATGCAGGGAGGTACAATAGTCGATATGACACCTCAGGATTTGAGGAGACACCGTCCTCTTCCATGCGGGGTACCGGCTACAACTCAAGCAGGCAACAGTTTGAACAGAAGCTGGACAGTAATTTGGGTGAGCTAAAGAAAATTACACTGAGGCCAAAAAAAATAATAGTTCTCCTTCCGGTTTCCCTACCTACCCTATTCTGACAGCCCCTACCCTAATTTTTGTTATTGGAAAAATGAGAAAAAAAAACCAAAACCATCACTTTACACTTTTTACCCTTGACTACACGCAGACGCCTTCATATGATCATACACAAAAAAAATTGGCAAAAAAAAAATTCCCCTACCTACCTACCCTATTTTCAAATGCCATGTAATCGGAAGCAGAACTACTTGGCCTAAGCTTTTCACTTTTCAGGGGCCGGAGATAGGGGGACATTGAATTGTTGTGTCAAGTATCCACATAACTGTTATTATGCCCGAAACAGTGGTTACACCGTCACTATAATGTAATATGTGGAATTAATTTGCATTTCAAAAGGATTATGAAATAATAATAATTCAACCAGACTTTCCCTCTTTTTGTTTTTCACTTGATTAGACGAGATGTCAAGTGGACTCGGCCGTCTCAAAAACCTCGGCCTAGGCTTGGGCGACGAAATTGAACGACAGAATGACGATATCGATCGCATCACAGGGAAAACGGACAAATTGGACACTCGCATTGAGGGTGTCAATACAGACATCAAGAAGATACTGCGCAGATGAAGGCAAGGGTGGGCAAAGAAGCCTACAAACATTACATGTGTGGTGCAGCAGATATGAACGAAACACAGCAGTGAATGAAAAAGGCCAATTAAAAAATATTTTCACTAGTTTCCAGCAAAAGTGTAGCTGTGTGTGCAACTTCAAAAAAATCTTGAAGAAAGGGTGACGACTCCTTTAATTGGGCGCATTAATTTAATGTCGGCAAAAGATTCAAGGAAATTTGAAGAATCCAACCGCCATCTTGGAAAATCCTTCATCTTAAAGGGAAAAATTAAGAAGTTGCCCTCCTTAAAAAAAAAAAGCCCTGACGTGAATTTCGTGAGACGATTTTTTTTAACGTGGCCAAAACCTGACACAAAAGTAGTTGCAACTGAACCAAACAAAACGAATCACAAGTCACCTGCTCTGCTTTTTGAGTATTATTTTGTTTTTAATCAATCTAGCACAGTGAAAATCAATAAGAACAGATAACATTTTTAATCTACATATTACGTGCATATACATACTATGAAGAAAAAACTTAGATCGGTCTGGCATAATTATGAAGTATTGAGACAACAGTCTACTATTTCCCTCATCTCTTAATTGAGCTGTGTAATTAGTGGATAGGTTTTTATAGGTGACCTTCAGGACAACTGCTTGAATTTGAAGCTAAATAGCACTACTCAAGTATGTATTACCCTAGCTCAACAGTGGGCTAACCTTGCTAACTTATTATAATTGTAACGGACATTAAAGGGAAGATACAACATTTGCGAACATCACAAAACGAAATGATCAAATTATAACAAAAAACCTTACTGGATTGTTAAGGAATGGCAGTCTAAAGAATCCTGTAAAATCGTGGCTCCTGGTGAGCTGTCAATTTCAAGAAAAATTGTATTTTTCCAACACTGGTCAGCCGACCAGCGTTGGAGAAAACTGGCTATTTTCAAAAACTGCTCCTAATGTTTCATTAGTTATTCCGCATTTTCTTTGCAATTGATTACACACCTGTGAAGGGGTACGAGCCTGCTAGACTGATTCTCTGACCTTACAATTCCCCAAAGTCTATAAATTGCTCAATTCCATCTTAAGTCGGAACAGGGAACCAGACTACAAGAACACGATTGGTTTTCTTGGTTTTTCCAGCATCTACAAGCCCAAAACATGAAACAAGTCATTTTAACAATATTTCCTGTAACATACTAATCCTTTAAATCCATTTATTTCTGAAAATTTCAGCAAAAGCAAATGTTGTACATTCCCTATAATTCAAATCTACATAGCACTACTCAAGTGTGAATAGCCCTAGCTCACCCGTGTGCTAGCTTTGCTAACTTATTTTAATTGTAACGGACATTAAGTTTCTATTATGTAATTAAGTGAAATAAGTACATGTGATGGGAACATTGTTTTCAATTTTGCACAGAAATTAAAAAAGACAGGTTAGCTATAAGAAAGCTTAAATGCAAAAGCTAAACCCACTACGTGTGTATATCTTGTCAATACACCATGTATATATTCCTAAAAGGTTGTCTTAAGTTTTCTCTGATCTTTTAGAAATGCACATGTGTAAACCAAATATTGGTGTTGGCAACAAAAAGCTTGGTGCTACGGATATCAAACTTTACTTTTTTGGCCTCTTGTGTAAAACATGATATTTGAATTGTAAAAAAATTGTATTAAATATTGTCTGCCACTGTTGACGATTTGTGTAATTATTATATCCACAACTACATGTAGTTTAATAATATAATGCTGAAATACATGTCTATTATGTTGATGAGATCTAAGCTTCAGTAAACATAGGGGCAAGGTGCATTGACTGGTTTAAAATAAACTTCTGAAACTCATTAAGTCCTGAGGTCTAAATCTCGTCAATTTTACATGATGCTTTGCTGAGGCCAGTTGAGCAGTTTGAGTATCCCGTGTTGGCCCCGTGCATTGGGCGCGTACCGCCCGTATATCTCGAGTTTGTTACCCCCAGGTCGATGGGACTGCCAGCCGATCTCGCCCGCGGTGGTCAGCGGGAAGGGCCCGGTGGACGCTGCAGGGAGCTCCGCGCTGGTCGCCCCGGTGGAGATGGCCGGGAGACGTGGTGTTCCAGACGCGCCCCCGGCCCCGGACGGTCGCACCGCGAGCGGCGTGCTGGTAGACCGGCCGCCCAGGATGGACGGCAGGCGGGTGGACGAGAACCAAGGAGTGGATCTCCGCGACGAAGAAGAACACGGGGACCGGCCAGGATCGCGTTCGTCCACGGACGGGCAGCGAGTCGAGTAGACCGAGTCACCGGCCTCAGGTGTGACTCGGTCGCCGATCAGCCGCCGGTTTAGACGGGTGTACTCGCGGGTCATCAGCCCCCATTGCTCTGGCCACTTCCGTAGTGATTGTAGCTCGTGACGAACATGATCTTTCCTACAGACAATATGACATTAATTAATTTATTTGCAAATTGGATATCGTAGTCATGTGGTGTCAACTTTCAGTAAATGGTTCTCCTCTGCACTGCATGAATGCCTCTTGGAATAAGAATGGTTTAGAAGTGTTGACTGTACTGTTTAATGTGCGCTAAATAACAACAAAATGTTTTGGTTTGCCCGGATGGTTGGTTTGTCCGGATGTTGCCTGTCGGCATGACGTCACATGCAGGGCACCGGTCTGCAAACAAGATGTACACCATGACTGATTTAGAATGGCCGCTATTCACCGCAGGTGTTTTTTCTTGCGTCTGGTGTACAAATTGGGCCAGATTTAGTCCATTTATCGTGCTACGTGGTAACATGAACAAGTGACAGTGTTTGGGGAGTGGGGGAGTCAATCAGTCAGTCAGTCATTGAGGAGCAAAGAGACCGGCCCCTCTGTGCTGTACACGCGCAAAAGTGGCGCAAATTATGCATGGGTGAATTTGTGGGAGGTTATGCTCGCAATTTACAATGTATTCCCGACTACATACGTTTCTGAAATGCCCGACAGATCTCTGGCGTTTCGTCAAGGATATCACAATAGAAGTTAAGAAACTACTTTATATCTAAAATTAGAAGGAACAGTATCAATTCTAAAACATACTTGGCAAACTAAACTAGAAAGCACTCAGACAGCACAATACATGTACTAAAAAGGAGTCCCATAAATGGTGAAGAATCCTTAAAATATCGTGGATCCAGACCCAGATCACTTCCAAAATTTAATCGATTTGTACTTGTACCAAGGACCACCCCTAAAAACATTTTCATGCAAATCCGTACATAAGTTTTTGAGTTATCTTGTTCACAGACAAACCCACTCACCAACCCACCATACCAACCAACAAAATCCGATGAAAACATAACCTCCTTGGCGGAGGCAATAAACGCCTGAAAATATTTTTTTACGGTTAAAGGTTCATTTTCGCACGTCCGTCTCATGCAACGTGCGACCCCCTTGCCGGCGGCTTTTATTTTTTAGTCTCACCGCGATAAAATGGACTGTTTGTCGAACAATTGAAAAGCTATATAATTTGGAATGAGACTCGAACGAAAACAATCCGCCAACGTTTAGTTATGGAACAATAAATCAGGCAATATTATTTTGTGTGTATAATTAGAGGCGCATATTAGCTACTCCAAATAAAATGATGATGATTGCAGCGCTACGAAGACCCAGAGGGGGACATTAGTACGGTGGCCCACAACTGTCACGGCAAAAGCAAAAGCGCCACGGCAAGCGCAAAAGCGCCGCGGCAAGCGCAACAGCGCCACGGCAAGCGCAAAAGCGCCACGGCGAAACAAAAAGCGCCGCGGCAAGCGCAAAAGCGCCACGGCAAGCGCAAAAGCGCCACGGCAAGCGCAAAAGCGCCACGGCAAGCGCAAAAGCGCCACGGCGAAAGCAAAAGCGCCACGGCGAAGGCAAAAGTGCCACGGGTTTATTGGAAGGGGCGTAATCATACATGCCGCTACTACATCAAAAAATAAAATGGGAAGGAGAATGGCCGCCACCAGGAATTCTTATTAAGCACAGAATTTAATTCTTTGAGAAGTGATTTTATGGCTGAGAAAATAGCAAGGCCAAGGAAAACCGGTCAGGAAATAAATCGTCGATATTAATTTGTTGTAGGATAATTATTATTCCAAGAGAGTTGCTGCCGTGAATCAGAGTTTATCAAGGAGTGGGACTCGCTATCAGCACCATCAGGGCCGTTCCTCATTTCTTTACATTTCTTGGGATGCAAACAATTACGAGGACGGGAGGCTCTGTGAGCTGATGCATTTTTTTGAAGAGTTTTTTCCTTCCGACTAGCATGCAGAGAAGAGTTCCGTTAATTTGAGACTTAGTTCACCCATGGGCGTCGCGAGGGGGGTAAGGGGGCGCTCCCCCCCCCCCCCCCTGGAATAGCACACAAAAAAGGAAGGGGAAAAAACTGAGAGAAAAAAAGAAAAGAAAAAGAGGCGCGAAGTCATAGTGGTGTAAATTGAATGAGTTGGGGGGGGGCAAAATGTCCCTGCCCCCGTCTAAAACTGAGAAATCGAGAATTTGTTCAGAAATACAAGAATTTTTTGGGAAAAATATGTTTTGCCCCCTTTAGAAAAAATTCTGGCGACGCCCATGAGTTCACCGGTGTGTATACCAGTGTAGGCACACAATTGAGCTGCCCAGAGTTTGGATATAGAATAAGAAAGAAAGAAATTAACTCAGAACCCAGAACTCATTGGCCCACCCACCCCCGGCTCAAGAAACCAACAAGCCGAACAAGACCTCATGATGCTTAGCGATAGTGATGTTGAGTTGCCCTGTGGACAGTCTTCCACATCATCGCAGAATCAGCCTGCAGGGCAGAAAGAGGGCTTGTTTCCGGCATCAAATAGTTCCGTATTCACTCGAAACAAAGCAAACGGCTCTTTTCAGAGCCACCAAATTTTCATAGAAGAGCTTAGAACTGTGCATCTCAACGATAACACTTCTCCTTTGTTTAGTGTCTCTCCCTTACCCCCCCCTTTTTTAAAGTTAATTTCTTTCTTTCTTATTCTATATCCAAAGTCTTCGCCTGTGTTACGTTCCTTACATGAAATCCACGACCTAACCTCCTCTGTCGAAAGCGTTGCAACTGTCTAATAGAACGATCCATTTCTCGATTTGTGAGTTATCTTCAACTCAGTCGTGTTTATTGGGAAGGGGCGTAATCATACATGCCGCCACTACATCTAAAATTAAATGGAAAGGAGTATGGCCGCCACCATGAATTGAGAAGTGATTTTATGGCTGAGAAAATAGCAAGGAAAACCGGTCAGTGCAAGCAACGTTCAGCGAAGAGTTTTGAAATTCCCGCTCTCTGGGAATTTCTAACCTAATGGGCCCGCGGGCGAGTTACGTGTTGACAAGCCTTACCCACCCACTGCCGCAGCCTTGCAGGAGAGCCTTAATCGACTTCCTATAGATGTGTATGATATACTGAAAAAGAAAAAAAAAATTAACTCATACACTCTGGGCAGCTCACTTTCGTGCCTACACTGGTATACACACCTGTGAAAAAAGGCTCAAATTAACGGAACTCTTCTCTGCATGCTAGTCGGAAGGGGAAAAAAATGTTTTCAAAAATGCATCAGCTCACAGAGCCTCCCGTCCTTGTAATTGTTTGCATCCCACGAAATGTAAAGAAATGAGGAACGGCCCTGATGGTGCCGATAGCGAGTCCCACTCCTTGATAAACTCTGATTCACGGCAGCAACTCTCTTGGAATAATAATTATCCTACAACAAATTAATATCGACGATTTATTTCCTGACCGGTTTTCCTTGGCCTTGCTATTTTCTCAGCCATAAAATCACTTCTCAAAGAATTAAATTCTGTGCTTAATAAGAATTCCTGGTGGCGGCCATTCTCCTTCCCATTTTATTTTTTGATGTAGTAGCGGCATGTATGATTACGCCCCTTCCCAATAAATCCATGGCACTTTTGCCTTCGCCGTGGCGCTTTTGCTTTCGCCGTGGCGCTTTTGCGCTTGCCGTGGCGCTTTTGCGCTTGCCGTGGCGCTTTTGCGCTTGCCGCGGCGCTTTTGCGCTTGCCGCGGCGCTTTTTCTTTTGCCGTGGCGCTTTTTGTTTTGCCGTGGCGCTTTTTCTTTTGCCGCGGCGCTTTTTGTTTTGCCGTGGCGCTTTTTCTTTTGCCGTGGCGCTTTTGCGCTTGCCGCGGCGCTGTTGCGCTTGCCGCGGCGCTGTTGCGCTTGCCGCGGCGCTGTTGCGCTTGCCGTGGCGCTTTTGCTTTTGCCGTGACAGTTGTGGGCCACCGTACTACGGGGATATGAAAATGTTTTGCTTCGTATTACGTACGTACGTTCTATCACGTAGCCTATGTATACGTAATAATTTTACGGATACGTATTCGTGATAATATTACGACGTAAGTTTTACGAAACAAAACTCTTCATGTCCCCGGAGTCCCCTCTGGGTCTTCGTACAGCGCTAACGTCGGGAAAAAAAACGGGGGGGGGGGCCTTTTCCAAACTAACGCATCAAAAGTTGTTGGGGGAGGGGCAATAGAATTATAGTTGAAGAGCACGAGGAGGACAACAGTACTTATCAAGTCCTTTTGGTCTATGCATGATGTATTGACACATCAAAACTTCAGCCATCGACAATCGCGTCAGCTATGCACTCTTTTAGAATTCCGTGAAGCCCCACCCAAGCACCAGCCTCAGTCAATGGACTATAAATTCTGCACGGAGTTTAGTCCAGTAGGTGGCCATAGGCTGGGGCTATCCCCAACCGTAGCCCAGGTCGGACGAGTTGCATTTACGACTGTCCCTCCGTACGTAGGTAAGGGAGGTAAAGGGAGTCCACTGGGCTAGTCCCACCCGTAACCATGGGCGTCGCGAGGGGGGGGGGGGGGCAAGGGGGGGGGCACTTGCCCCCCCCCCCCCCCCTGGAAAAGCAAAAAAAAAAAAGAAAAAAAAAAAAAGGAAGAAAAAAAAAGAAGAAAAAAGAAAGAAAAAGAGGCGCGAAGACAAAGTGGTGTAAATTTAATGAGTTGGGGGGGGGGCAAAATGTCCCTGCCCCCTCTAAAACTGATAAATCGAGAATGTTTTGAGAAATACAAGCATTTTTTGGCAAAAATTTTTTTTGCCCCCCTCTAGAAAAAATCCTGGCGACGCCCATGCCCGTAACCCCTGCCGGTATACGGGACACGTACAATACACTTACGGCAATGTCCTTAAAAACCTTATTATGTTTGTCTTACCAAATTTCATCGTTGTGCACGAAATTGAGGTGGCTTCCAATTTTTCTCGTGCCCATCATATAGAATTCATACAAGCCCTTTGGTTTTGGCTGCTTATTCAAAATTAAAATGCGACAAGTTCGAGAAAAATTGACTTTTGGGCGAATGTTGTCTTGCGCGCTTAATCCCAACGCCAGCGTCTCTTAGTGACCGGATGTACGCTGCGTGGCCATTGTTCTGCCCTCGACGCACGTACATACGAATACGCGCACATTTGCTGTGTGACGTGGACATACCTCTTCCCAGCCTATCAATTGTTTCCCCCCCCCCCCCCCGACTGCCCAACCCAAGACGTGAGGATTGTCACTTTTGAAGTGACAAAATCCCCACCCCTCGGGCAAAATTTAAGTGACAATCCCTGACCATGCCCCGACATACACAGAAAATAAATGTCGAGTCACAAGACTCATTAAGGTGAGCCATTCATTTGTCCGTGTGGTGAGACACTTTCGGACTTAAGTGAGTCATTTGACTCACAGCATGGAATGAGTCAAGGGACTTGAGGTAGAATGATATATGTGGGTCAGGCTTTTGACTGACTCACTTTGTATCAGATAACCGAGTCATCATTTTGTCCGTGTAGCGACACACTGTCAAGTGATAAACGAGTCAAATTACTCAGAATGCAATACACGTGAGCCTTTTGACTAAGCAAATGGTTTTTGGATGAGTCATGTAATGAAACACTGTGTGAACAAGCATATCTAAGTTAATTGAGCCATATAGACCGCTTGCAGACGCGATCGATAATTGACGCGCGAAGGTGCACGACGCCATGTTATGGGACAAATGTGCATGGATAGATATACGCCTGTCCCACAACATGGCGTCGCGCGCCTTCGCGCGTCGATTATCGAACGCATCTGCAAGCGGTCTATAGGCCTATAGGCCCATTTTAATCAATTCAAATTCAATTCATTCTGATTCAATTCATTCACTTGAATGCATTAAACAATTGCAATTAATAGACATATACCCGTTGTACATATCATAGAGGCTGCACTTTGTTCAAACGTTTTGCTCATGCATGCCATAACACAAAAGAATTGCCCAAGTCGTTCCACTTCAATGCATAATGTCTTTTGCTGACTGGCCAAAAAAATAATAGTTCTGCTTCCGGTTTCCCCACCTACCCTTGTCTGGCAGCCCCTACCCGGTAATTTTTTTTTATTGGAAAAATGAGGGAAACAACACCCAAAACCTTCAATTTCTACCTTTTACCCTTGACTACCCACAAACGCCTCCATAAGGCCAAACAAAAAAGTCTCCGGTTTCTGGTATGCGCGCGCGTCGCCGTAGCAAAATGAAAAAGTTTTTTTTTCAATGAAAGATGATGTTTCAAAACCGCCAAACTCACTGGTTTGACTGGAATCCTGCTGCTGCACAATTTTAACGTGTTTTGAGATTGGGTTATGGTCGAGAATAAGATTTATGTGGCCTCTCTGGACTCCCATATATTTGCACTAAGTTTAGTCGAGGATGCAGTCATCAGCCGACATTTGAAGCAAAAGAATCAGGTAAAAAAAAAAAAACCGCGTCGCCGCACCACTTTTTGGGCAAGCTCCATACCAGAAACCGGAGACTTTTTTTTTTTGCCTATTATGATCGTACACAAACAAAATTGGCAAAAAAAAAATCATTTCCCTACCTACCTACCTACCCTATTTTCAAATGCCATGTAATCGGCCGGAAGCAGAACTATCGAGAATGCAGCATTGACATCATACAATAGTCTGACAATTTTTGTGGGGGTGGCGCGGGTAGCTGTTTCATCCATGACATTGAGCATGACCTTTTGGATAAAGGTCAAAGTATAAAAGCTGTATTGTTGTATAGCCTTGGCTGATAGTGCAGGTGACATACATCCAAATATAAATGGCTACCTCTTAATTCATTTTCAATTCATTTCAATCTCGTTCAATGAATACAATCATCTTTTAAAGAAACTGCATGGTTTTGTCTCAATGAATAAATTAACATATAAACTTTAATACATTAAGCAATAGGGCTCGCTCAATGACGGCCATTTCTGTAAGGAGATCAACTGCAACTGCAGATTTTACGCAATCAAGCACGCATTGCGCAGTGTTGAAAATTTCCAAACAGTCGTGCGCTCGTGGTGCAGTATCGCAACCCCCACAACTACATGGCCGACTTTGACAGCGAGATGGACTTGTATTACAAAGCCGAAACCCTCGTCAAATTCCTACAAGAATGGACACCGGAAAAGTCTTCCACCTCCCTGCAACAAATACTGTTACACTTGGCAATTCGACTGTATGAGTTTGATTTCTTCGGAGTACAGGATGTGACTTTGACGGAAGCTTGGATTCAAGACCTTCAGTGTCTTGGATACAAATTTCCACTTCATCCATCTCTCATCACACAAAAGTCATTGGTTGATGATGAGGCATTATCAGCAACGTATCTTCCCTTTTAGGTTATGATGGCTTTTCCAAAACCTCGAATAAGTCTGTGGCTTAGGCACTGCTTGTCTCGGACTCGAGGTTAATTCAGGAGGCTTATAACACTCGGATCAAACGAAATAACACTTTTGGTGTCGTATAATATTCAGATTTGATGTTGCACTTCACGTGCTCTTCAACTAATTGTTTTTTGTTGTTTTTTTGTCTTGTAACGAGTATTTTTTTCTTCTATGTTTGTCGTCTGCAGCAGTGTCAAGAAAAGTTTTATTTTGGGTTTGCTTTTGCGCCTGTAAGGCACTCAAGATCCCCTCCCCTGAAAAAAGGGGCCTGGGTACTTGAAAATTCGTGAAGAGAACATGAATTATTCATGTCTATTTAATCGTTTATTTTTGTCGAGTTGATACACGATATATTGTTGAAAACCACTGTGCCGAAAAGCAGAAATGCCATGTAATCGGAAGCAGAACTATTTTTTTCGTAAGACCCGCATGCAGCTGTGCCAATGACAGTAAAGCCTACTAAATAAATCGAGAATGCAGCATTGACATCACACAATAGTCTGACAACTATTGTGGGGGTGGCGGGTAGCTGTTTCATCCATGACATCGAGCATGACCTTTTGGATAAATGTCAAAGTATAAAAGCTATATTGTTGAATAGCCTTGGCTGATAGTGCAGATGACATGCATCCAAATATACTAATAGCTACCTCTTAATTCATTCAATTCATTTCAATCTCGTCCAATGAATAAAATCATCTTTTAAAGAAACTGCATGGTTTTGTTTCAATGAATAAATTAATATATAAACTGTAATACATTAAGCAATAGGGCTCGCTCAATGACGGCCATCTCTGTAGGAGAACTGCAACTGCAGATTCTACGCAATCAAGCACGCATTGCGCAGTGTTGAAAATTTCCAAATAGTCGTGCGCTTGTTGCTCGAAATTGTGTTCAAAATACGACGCAGCCGATGCGCGTTATGCAAGTTGAAGCTCAATAATGCTGATGGCATCATCAGTGATGCACGTGGTTGGTCCGTAGGAAATGACGTAATTTGAACAAGACCTAAAGCAATTGACCTTACAAATAATCTCAGAGGGTGTACTTTGTACGAACTTTTTGCTCATCACGCCATAACAACCAGTGGCGTCACCAGACTTTTCAGTCTGGGGGGGGGGGGGGGGGGGGGGGGGGGGGGGGGGGGGGCACCACAAAAACAAAATTGTGCTGTGGTACCAGCTCAGTGGCGTAGCCACGGGGGGGGGGGGGGGGGGGGCCATGAAACCTTGTCGCCCCCCAAGTCGCCCTCAACTAAGATTTTGAGTGTCTAAAAAAATTATCATTGATCTACATAACGCCCCCCTCCTCCATGGAATGTTCCCCCCCCCCCCCCCCCCCCCCCCCACCCCCCACCCCACACACACTGAAAAATTCCTGGCTACGCCACTGTACCGGCTTAAAGGGAAGATACAACATTTGCAAACATAAAAAACCCGAAATGATCAAAATTATCAAGAAATATCGTACTGGATTGTTAGGGAATGACAGTCTAAATCATCCTGTAAAGTTGTGGCTCACCTGATGTGCTGACATTTGCAAGAAAAACCCAGTTCTCCAACGCTGGTCGGCCGACCAGCGTTGGAGAACTGGGTTTTTTTTTCTCAAAAAGTGCTCCTAATTTTCCATATTTAGTTCGTCTGCATTTTCTTGGCAATTGATTACACAACTGTGAAGACTACAAACCTGCTAGACTGATTCTCTGATCTTACAATTCCCCAAAGTGTATAAATTGCTTCGTTTTCATCTTAAGTGGGGTCAGGGAATCAGACTACAAGAATATGACTGGTTTTCTTGGTTTTCCAGCATCTACGATTTAAAAATTGATTTAACACTTTTTTAACACTTTTTAACACTTAAAAGTTGATTTAACACTTTCCAAAGTGATACGAATTCCAACACTTTTAGAAAGTTACAAAGTGTCTGAACAAAAGTAAAGTGTCTGGCGCGCTGAACTCAGTATCCAATCAAATTGCCCAGTCGCCTCATACATTACTGCGCATGCGGGAAAGCTCACATTTTTTTTTAAATGTAATAAAAGCCACATCTGGAAGTTGGTTAACGTTAGCATGTCAAAGAGTTGGAATAACGTTTTGCAACATTTGAAATGTTGTTTTGGTAGTAACACTTCGAAAATGTTAAAGTTCAACACTTCAGTTTTTAAAGTGTAGGCACTTGCTTTCAAGTTGTACAAAAGCTGCAGGGCGCAATGCTTGCACCATTGAATATCGTGTACTCAGAGCTTGAAGGCCACCACACAAAAGGTCATACGTCGATCCATTTAGTATGTGGCAAAAAATGTACGTTCACGTAAGCCTGATCTGTGATTTTTTTGGGGGAGGCGTCCCTCCATAAAAGCAAATACCCCCGCACATCCAGGGGACCACGGGGAGGGTTTATCAGCTCAGCAAAGCCAGGACTTATGAAGGGAGAAGGGAGTTGGCGCCGGCGACATCGATATCCTGTAAGCCGTACAGCGCCCGAGCAGGCCGGCGCTGCGGTCGGTGGATCGTGGTAACGACCATCCACCCTTCCACGCCGATCCTCCGGAAAATCAGCTCCCTGTCCGGCTGGTGCATGGTCGTAGTGGCGGACAAGAAGGGACCGGTGACCATGGACATCCCCAACGTGGATTACCTGGATGTAGTCCAACAGGAGAGCTGTGGCTACCAAATCTGCCGCCTGTTGCCCTGGAACCACTTCGGAAGGAAGAACATCGGGTACCTGTACGCCATCGAACACGGGGCCGAGATGATCTATGACACCGACGATGACAACCAGCCACTATTTGACGAATTGCCGGCGTTTGACAACGTCGGTTACTCCAAGCAGTTACATGTAGCGGGGCACCTCTGGAATCCTTACCCTCAGTTTGGTGCCAACACCAAGATGTGGCCCAGGGGGTTTCCCCTCAGCCGCATCATGGATCCCGCCACTAAGAGGGTAAATGTGTCAAGCGGGACAGTGGCAGCAAGACGAGCGGGCGTGGTTCAGTTTTTGGCCCAACATGATCCCGACATAGACGCTATCTACCGTTTGACCAACGAGCTCCCGTACGAGTTCGACCCCGCACCCCGCCGGCTCTTCGTACCCGAGCGAGTTATGTCCCCGTACAACGCCCAGGCCACCTTACACGCACACCAGGCTTTCTGGGGGCTGCTCCTGCCAGTCTCGGTCCACGGCCGCGTTTCAGATATCTGGCGGAGCTACTTCACGCAGCGTCTGCTGTGGGACATCGGCTTGCAGGTGGCTTTCCACTCGCCCTTCGTGGTGCAGTATCGCAACCCCCACAACTACATGGCCGACTTTGACAGCGAGATGGACTTGTATTACAAAGCCGAAACCCTCGTCAAATTCCTACAAGAATGGACACCGGAAAAGTCTTCCACCTCCCTGCAACAAATACTGTTACACTTGGCAATTCGACTGTATGAGTTTGATTTCTTCGGAGTACAGGATGTGACTTTGACGGAAGCTTGGATTCAAGACCTTCAGTGTCTTGGATACAAATTTCCACTTCATCCATCTCTCATCACACAAAAGTCATTGGTTGATGATGAGGCATTATCAGCAACGTATCTTCCCTTTTAGGTTATGATGGCTTTTCCAAAACCTCGAATAAGTCTGTGGCTTAGGCACTGCTTGTCTCGGACTCGAGGATAATTCAGGAGGCTTATAACACTCGGATCAAACGAAATAACACTTTTGGTGTCGTATTATATTCAGATTTGATGTTGCACTTCACGTGCTCTTCAACTAATTGTTTTTTGTTGTTTTTTTGTCTTGTAACGAGTATTTTTTTCTTCTATGTTTGTCGTCTGCAGCAGTGTCAAGAAAAGTTTTATTTTGGGTTTGCTTTTGCGCCTGTAAGGCACTCAAGATCCCCTCCCCTGAAAAAAGGGGCCTGGGTACTTGAAAATTCGTGAAGAGAACATGAATTATTCATGTCTATTTAATCGTTTATTTTTGTCGAGTTGATACACGATATATTCAAGGGCGGATCCAGAACACAATTTTTTTGGGGGGGGGACCAACAAAAATTTTGGTCCCCCAAAAAAGTGGGTCAAAAAAATTACGGCGTGGGGTTTGGGGCCCGCTTAAGGGCCCCGAAAAAAATTTTGGATTCTAGATGCTCTGTGGTGCGATCTGAGGCAATTTCTGACCACTTTAACCAATGTTTTTTTGAGGAAAAGATGGTGGTGTACTCATTGCCTGCCTTTATTGCGATGTCACATAAAAAAAAAATTGGTTTCGTTTTTTTTTTGGGGGGGGGGGGCCATGGCCCGCTTTGGCCCCCCCCCCTGGATCCGCCCTTGGATATATTGTTGAAAACCACTGTGCCGAAAAGCAGAAATGCCATGTAATCGGAAGCAGAACTATTTTTTTCGCAAGACCCGCATGCAGCTGTGCCAATGACAGTAAAGCCTACTAAATAAATCGAGAATGCAGCATTGACATCACACAATAGTCTGACAACTATTGTGGGGGTGGCGGGTAGCTGTTTCATCCATGACATTGAGCATGACCTTTTGGATAAATGTCAAAGTATAAAAGCTATATTGTTGAATAGCCTTGGCTGATAGTGCAGATGACATGCATCCAAATATACTAATAGCTACCTCTTAATTCATTCAATTCATTTCAATCTCGTTCAATGAATACAATCATCTTTTAAAGAAACTGCATGGTTTTGTCTCAATGAATAAATTAACATATAAACTTTAATACATTAAGCAATAGGGCTCGCTCAATGACGGCCATTTCTGTAAGGAGATCAACTGCAACTGCAGATTTTACGCAATCAAGCACGCATTGCGCAGTGTTGAAAATTTCCAAACAGTCGTGCGCTTGTTGCTCGAAATGTGTTTAAAATACGACGCAGCCGATGCGCGTTATGCAAGTTGAAGCTCAATAATGCTGATGGCATCATCAGTGATGCACGTGGTTGGTCCGTAGGAAATGACGTAATTTGAACAAGACCTATAGCAATTGACCTTACAAATAATCTCAGAGGGTGTACTTTGTACAAACGTTTTGCATATCACGCCATAACAACACAAAAGAATCGCCCGCGTCGATCCACTTCAATGCATATTTATATTGCTGACTGTACATAACCACATAGCCATGCATGCAGCTGTGCCGGCCAATAACAGTAAAGCCTACTAAATTTGCATGAATTAGCACATACAAATATTTTGGATCAGTCAATTCCAAATACTGAAATCAATATTTGTACACCCGCATATAAAAACAAAATTGTGCTGTGGTACCGGCTTAAAGGGAAGATACAACATTTGCAAACATCAAAAAACGAAATGATCAAATTATCACGAAATATCTTACTGGATTGTTAGGGAATGCCAGTCTAAATCATCCTGTAAAGTTGTGGCTCACCTGATGTGCTGACATTTGCAAGAAAAACTTTATTTTTCCAACGCCGACCAGCGTTGGAGAACTTTTTTTTTTTCTCAAAAAGTGCTCCTAATTTTCCATATTTAGTTCGTCCGCATTTTCTTTGCAATTGATTACACAACTGTGATGACTACAAACCTGCTAGACTGATTCTCTGATCTTACAATTCCCCAAAGTCTATAAATTGCTTCGTTTTCATCTTAAGTGGGGTTAGGGAACCAAAATCTTGGCAAAGTGGGGTTGCTATATAAACACAACTAACCTCTGGCTAGCAGATTGTCCCACAGAAACTTAACATTCGAAAACCAACTAATAAATTTGTGTGTACATATATGGGCGCACTATAGTGATCGCCTTTCCATGGCAACAATGTAATTTGAGTGACCAAAATCCCCACCCTGGGGGGATGAAAAACGTGACCAAATCCTGACATCGGACCTGGGGAAGCGCGGGGGAGGGGGGTAAAACATTTGATAGGCGCATAATGCACTCTAAAAACTGATTTGTTAAATCTAACTTTATAAATGATAAGTTCAACACTTGCTATGAGTTCGGTCAGTGACCACACTTTAAAAGTTGATTTAACACTTTCCAAAGCCTTACGAATTCCAACACTTTTGGAAAGTTACAAAAGTGTCTGAACAAAAGTGTCTGGCGCGCTTTACTCAGTAACCAATCAAATTGCCCAGTCGCCTAATACATTGCTGCGCATGCGGGAAAGCTCACAATTGTTTTAAAATGTATTCATAAATACCTCAGACAGTTTAGCCATTCCTATTGGTCGAGAGCCCTTCACGTGGCCGGTATTAAACGGATGATAAAGACACGGCTAGCTGGTCTTTTCCAGTGTCACAATAAAATGTGGACTCCTAAAAATCCAGTGCCTCTTATCGTTTCATTGGTTGAACGTTCACAATCCTCACGTAGGCATGCGCAACACTACCAGGGAGTCAGAATTTTATAGTTCTAAATTCAAAACGCAACGCGCCAGGTGCGTTCTGCGCGACATCGCATAGAACATGATACGCGCGCGTCAATCTCCATAAAAGGATTGTTTTCATCTTACTCGCCAGCTGAACACTCCATTATTTTGCAGGAGGGATGATTCAAAAAGCATAAAGTGAATTTGTTGAACAAAATTGTGATGTTTTGAACGAATTATATGATTTTTTTTACCGAAAAGGTATTTATGAATGGGAATAAATATGTACTCCGTCGGTATTTATCACTCTGTTTAATACCACTTAGAGTCTGGGTGCTGATAATTACCCTCGCCTCCGGCTCGGGTAATTATCAGCACCCAGACTCTAAGTGGTATTAAACAGAGTGATAAAAACCTCCGGAGCACACATTTATTCCCTTAATAAAAGCCACATCTTGAAGTTGGTTAACTTTAGCATTACTAAGAGTTGGAAAAAGCTTTTGCAACATTTGAAATGTTGTTTTGGTAGTAACACTTCGAAAATGTTAAAGTTCAGCACTTCAGTTTTTAAAGTGTAGGCCCTAGGCACTTGCTTTCAAGTTGTACAAAAGCTGGCGCAATGCTTGCACCATTGAATATCGTGTACTCAGAGCTTGAAGGCCACCATAAAAAGGCCATACGTCGACCCATGGAGGAATAAGACCGTTTACGTGGCAAAAAGACATAAAATGCCCTACCCGCGCCACTAAAGTTTTACCGCATCTACGTGAATGACATATACGTGTCTAATACCGCGACATGCATTTCATGTTACCGCATAAAATGTACGTTCATGTAAGCCTGATCTGTGATTTTTTGTTTTTTGGTGGTGTCCCTCCATAAAAGCAAATACCACAGCAGCACATTTAGTTCACAATGAGTGCAGTGGTTTTCTATGAATCCCTTTCTATAGGCTAGGCTAGTGTATAGTGGATGCTAATATACATACTCATGCGCGCTGTTAAATGAAGCACAGCTGTGACGATACTATATATATAGGGGCCTAATCGATAGCGCAAAAAACTACGTTGTTCAACATTTAGGTGGATCACGGACCATTTACACATGTACAAGCTGTCGTTTAGTGCCGCATGGGATGTGGAAAGAGTTTGAAAATGAAACCTCCAAATAATTGCTGTAGAAACGCCCATACTTGGGTAGTTATTTTGATTGTTCTGTTAGCAGGACTGCTGTTTTATGTGTTACAGGATCGTCAGTTGACTGTCTTGAGCAACACTGGTCTTTTCCGCGACGAGGAAACGACGGGGCAGCAATGCCGACCGTCGCCGCACATCCAGGGGACCACGGGGAGGGTTTATCAGCTCAGCAAAGCCAGGACTTATGAAGGGAGAAGGGAGTTGGCGCCGGCGACATCGACATCCTGTAAGCCGTACAGCGCCCGAGCAGGCCGGCGCTGCGATCGGTGGATCGTGGTAACGACCATCCACCCTTCCACGCCGATCCTCCGGAAAATCAGCTCCCTGTCCGGCTGGTGCATGGTCGTAGTGGCGGACAAGAAGGGACCGGTGACCATGGACATCCCCAACGTGGATTACCTGGATGTAGTCCAACAGGAGAGCTGTGGCTACCAAATCTGCCGCCTGTTGCCCTGGAACCACTTCGGAAGGAAGAACATCGGGTACCTGTACGCCATCGAACACGGGGCTGAGATGATCTATGACACCGACGATGACAACCAGCCACTATTTGACGAATTGCCGGCGTTTGACAACGTCGGTTACTCCAAGCAGTTACATGTAGCGGGGCACCTCTGGAATCCTTACCCTCAGTTTGGTGCCAACACCAAGATGTGGCCCAGGGGGTTTCCCCTCAGTCGCATCACGGATCCCGCCACTAAGAGGGTGGATGTGATAAACGGGACGGTGGCCGCAAGACGAGCGGGCGTGGTTCAGTTTTTGGCCCAACATGATCCCGACATAGACGCTATCTACCGTTTGACCAACGAGCTCCCGTACGAGTTCGACCCCGCACCCCGCCGGCTCTTCGTACCCGAGCGAGTTATGTCCCCGTACAACGCCCAGGCCACCTTGCACGCACACCAGGCTTTCTGGGGGCTGCTCCTGCCAGTCTCGGTCCACGGCCGCGTTTCAGATATCTGGCGGAGCTACTTCACGCAGCGTCTGCTGTGGGACATCGGCATGCAGGTGGCTTTCCACTCGCCCTTCGTGGTGCAGTATCGCAACCCCCACAACTACATGGCCGACTTTGACAGCGAGATGGACTTGTATTACAAAGCCGAAACCCTCGTCAAATTCTTACAAGAATGGACACCGGAAAAGTCTTCCACCTCCCTGCAACAAATACTGTTAGACTTGGCAATTCGACTGTATGAGTTTGATTTCTTCGGAGTACAGGATGTGACTTTGACGGAAGCTTGGATTCAAGACCTTCAGTGTCTTGGATACAAATTTCCACTTCATCCATCTCTCATCACACAAAAGTCATTGGTTGATGAGGCATTATCAGCAACGTATCTTCCCTTTTAGGTTATGATGGCTTTTCCAAAACCTCGAATAAGTCTGTGGCTTAGGCACTGCTTGTCTCGGACTCGAGGATAATTCAGGAGGCTTATAACACTCGGATCAAACGAAATAACACTTTTGGTGTCGTATAATATTCAGATTTGATGTTGCACTTCACGTGCTCTTCAACTAATTCTTTTTTGTTGTTTTTTTGTCTTGTAACGAGTATTTTTTTCTTCTATGTTTGTCGTCTGCAGCAGTGTCAAGAAAAGTTTTATTTTGGGTTTGCTTTTGCGCCTGTAAGGCACTCAAGATCCCCTCCCCTGAAAAAAGGGGCCTGGGTACTTGAAAATTCGTGAAGAGAACATGAATTATTCATGTCTATTTAATCGTTTATTTTTGTCGTGTTGATACACGATATATTGTTGAAAACCACTTTGCCGAAAAGCAGAAATGCCATGTAATCGGAAGCAGAACTATTTTTTTCGCAAGACCCGCATGCAGCTGTGCCAATGACAGTAAAGCCTACTAAATAAATCGAGAATGCAGCATTGACATCACACAATAGTCTGACAACTATTGTGGGGGTGGCGGGTAGCTGTTTCATCCATGACATTGAGCATGACCTTTTGGATAAATGTCAAAGTATAAAAGCTATATTGTTGAATAGCCTTGGCTGATAGTGCAGATGACATGCATCCAAATATACTAATAGCTACCTCTTAAAGGGAATATACATCATTTGCTTTTGCTGTAATTTTCAGAAATGGATGGAATTTGGGGGTTGGAAATATATATAGCAAATATAGTTACACTGACTTTTTTGAGGTTGTGGGTTCGAAAATGCTATAAAAACTAAGAAAACAATCATTTTCCTGTAGTCTGGTTCCCTGACTCCATTTAAGAAGAAACAGAGCAGTTTACATATATTGGGGAATTGTAAGGTCAGGGAACCAGTCTAGCTGGCTTGTACCCGTTCATAGGTGTGTAATCGATTGCAAACAAGTGCGATGGTCAACTAGGGCCAGTATTTGAAAAAAAGCCAGTTTTTTCCAACGCTGATCGGCCGATCAGCGTTGGAAATTGATACAAAAATACCACTTTTCTTGAAAATGACAGTATACCAGGTGCCATGATTTTACAGGATGCTTTACACTGTCATTCCCTAACAGACCAGCAAGGTATTTCAAAATGATTTGGTAGTTTTATTTTTTGATGTTTGCAAATGTTGTATTTTCCCTTTAATTCATTCAATTCATTTCAATCTCGTTCAATGAATAAAATCATCTTTTAAAGAAACTGCATGGTTTTGTTTCAATGAATAAATTAATATATAAACTGTAATACATTAAGCAATAGGGCTCGCTCAATGACGGCCACCTCTGTAGGAGAACTGCAACTGCAGATTCTACGCAATCAAGCACGCATTGCGCAGTGTTGAAAATTTCAAATAGTCGTGCGCTTGTTGCTCGAAATTGTGTTCAAAATACGACGCAGCCGATGCGCGTTATGCAAGTTGAAGCTCAATAATGCTGATGGCATCATCAGTGATGCACGTGGTTGGTCCGTAGGAAATGACGTAATTTGAACAAGACCTATAGCAATTGACCTTACAAATAATCTCAGAGGGTGTACTTTGTACGAACTTTTTGCTCATCACACCATAACAACCAGTGGCGTCACCAGACTTTTCAGTCTGGGGGGGCACGGGGGGGGGGGCACCAGCATTTGATGGGGGGGGGGCACTTTGGTGGATACGGATCGCCGTCCTGGGGGAGGGGTCTAAGGGGAGGGGGTACCCCCCTCCCCTTTGGAAAATTTTCGCATACGGAGGATGGGCTAGATGCAAAATGGTGCCACATTTGATGCTAAATTCGATCTGAAGATATCTCCAGAAATTGCTATTTTTGAGGTAATGATTTTAACAACGCGCAGAATTTTGCAGAGGATAGGGGGGCACCAGCATTTGATGGGGGGGCACTCGGGGGGGCACTAGGTTTTCCAGGGGGGCACGTGCCCCCCCTGCCCCCCCCCCCCCCCCCTTGGCGACGCCACTGATAACAACACAAAAGAATCGCCCACGTCGATCCACTTCAACGCATAAGGTATTTTGCTGACTGTACATAACCCTAGCCTTGGTCAATGCTCTCGTCGTTATTCGTCCCGTACGCGGTCAATCGTCGGCATATATCCTCACGCGCTATGCACATGCATGTAAAAATACAGCGCGAACAGCGACCTCACGCGGCCACTATTTTTATGCAAATCAGTTGGAGACGATGTCGAGCCTTGGTTCAATCGTCGGCCAAACCTTATGTTTTTCTTTACTTTGCGCTAGATTTCCAGCGCACGACCTCGTATGCGAATACAGATAATGTAGGCGGGGCTAATATGTGGAGTGTGCAATCACACCTTGGTAAATCCGGACGTCATCAAATTATTTGCAGCTATTCCGGCTTTTGCGGACGTGACAGGAACCACAGTTTTTGTGCATTGGCGCCGTGTGCAGAGATACACAATGTGTACGTGTATGGATTAGGTGCCACGTTTCACTATGCAAGTTTCCACGCAACGATCGACCAATAAGAAAACGACATTTAAGGTCAGCTAAGGCTATTAACATAATGAGCACCACCCCCAAAACCTCACATGGACGATTGAACCAAGGCTCGACATCGTCTCCAACTGATTTGCATAAAAATAGTGGCCACGTGAGGTCGCTGTTCGCGCTGTATTTTTACATGCATGTGCATAGCGCGTGAGGATATTATAACGAAAATGCAAGTCATGATTAATTTCCAGTAAGCACACTTTATTCTTCACTCTGATAAGATACAGGTCCCTTTCATAAACTTAATTGATAGGACTTACGGAAGATAAGTAGATAAGTTTAAAGTTAATAACTTGTATTTCAATGAGAAGAATTAATGCCAATACAGTTAACTGTGTACTGATAATAGGGCCTATGATAAACTAATGGTAGAATAACTTTAAATGAAATGACTTGTACAAGTTTAATTCATCGAAGCTTTAACGACCAAGACGCTATGATTATTATGAATAAGAATAATATTTGGCGCAGTGGTTTATGGCCAATCAGAGCATTGCAAGAGACATTTTGTTATGATGCGCTAGCTCCTTGCGTTATGTACGCGCCCAAACGCTATAAAAGACGAGCCAAGTCAGGGCTCGGTGTTCAGATCGTGACTGGTTCTGGCCCGGTGAGGAAGTTCACCCAGAATAAGGAGCGCGTCGTACTCAACGTTCGATTGCAATGCACATCGGCGCTCCGCCTCATCGTTATCCACATAGACATTAGATTATACGCATTGGGCACGGTGTGTGCCAACAGTATTGGAAGACAATAAAACCATTATTATTATTTGAAGAACAACACGATCTCTCCAGTCAGAATTCTTGTCTAGTCTCTAGTCATTTAGTAGCCTACTTGAACCAGTGATTTCGCGCCCGTTACAATATAATGCCGACGATTGACCGCGTACGGGACGAATAACGACGAGAGCATTGACCAAGGCTAACATAACCCATGCAGCTGTGCCAATAACAGTATTATAAAGCCTACAATAATTTGCATGAATGAGCGCATACAAATATTTTGGATCAGTCGATTCCAAATACTGAAACCAATATTTGTACACCCACACATAAAAACAAAATTGTGCTGTGGTACCGGCTCAGTGGCGTAGCCACGGGGGGGCGTGGGTGGGGGGGGGTCCCCTCCATAAAAGCGAATACCCCAGCATATTTAGTTCACAATGAGTGCAGTGGCTTTCTATGAATCCCTTTCTATAGGCTAGGCTAGTGTGTAGTGGATGCTAATATACATGTACATACTCATGCGCGCTGTTGTGACGATACTATAATCGATAGCGCAAAAAACTACGTTGTTCAACATTTAGGTGGATCACGGACCATTTACACATGTACAAGCTGTCGTTTAGTGCCACATGGGATGTGGAAAGAGTTTGAAAATGAAACCTCCAAATAATTGCTGTAGAAACGTCCATACTTGGGTAGTTATTTTGATTGTTCTGTTAGCAGGACTGCTGATTTATGTGTTACAGGATCGTCAGTTGACTGTCTTGAGCAACACTGGTCTTTTCCGCGACGAGGAAACGACGGGGCAGCAATGCCGACCGTCGCCGCACATCCAGGGGGCCACGGGGAGGGTTTATCAGCTCAGCAAAGCCAGGACTTATGAAGGGAGAAGGGAGTTGGCGCCGGCGACATCGACATCCTGTAAGCCGTACAGCGCCCGAGCAGGCCGGCGCTGCGATCGGTGGATCGTGGTAACGACCATCCACCCTTCCACGCCGATCCTCCGGAAAATCAGCTCCCTGTCCGGCTGGTGCATGGTCGTAGTGGCGGACAAGAAGGGACCGGTGTCCATGGACATCCCCAACGTGGATTACCTGGATGTAGTCCAACAGGAGAGCTGTGGCTACCAAATCTGCCGCCTGTTGCCCTGGAACCACTTCGGAAGGAAGAACATCGGGTACCTGTACGCCATCGAACACGGGGCCGAGATGATCTATGACACCGACGATGACAACCAGCCACTATTTGACGAATTGCCGGCGTTTGACAACGTCGGTTACTCCAAGCAGTTACATGTAGCGGGGCACCTCTGGAATCCTTACCCTCAGTTTGGTGCCAACACCAAGATGTGGCCCAGGGGGTTTCCCCTCAGTCGCATCACAGATCCCGCCACTAAGAGGGTGGATGTGATAAACGGGACGGTGGCCGCAAGACGAGCGGGCGTGGTTCAGTTTTTGGCCCAACATGATCCCGACATAGACGCTATCTACCGTTTGACCAACGAGCTCCCGTATGAGTTCGACCCCGCACCCCGCCGGCTCTTCGTACCCGAGCGAGTTATGTCCCCGTACAACGCCCAGGCCACCTTGCACGCACACCAGGCTTTCTGGGGGCTGCTCCTGCCAGTCTCGGTCCACGGCCGCGTTTCAGATATCTGGCGGAGCTACTTCACGCAGCGTCTGCTGTGGGACATCGGCATGCAGGTGGCTTTCCACTCGCCCTTCGTGGTGCAGTATCGCAACCCCCACAACTACATGGCCGACTTTGACAGCGAGATGGACTTGTATTACAAAGCCGAAACCCTCGTCAAATTCCTACAAGAATGGACACCGGAAAAGTCTTCCACCTCCCTGCAACAAAAACTGTTAGACTTGGCAATTCGACTGTATGAGTTTGATTTCTTCGGAGTACAGGATGTGACTTTGACGGAAGCTTGGATTCAAGACCTTCAGTGTCTTGGATACAAATTTCCACTTCATCCATCTCTCATCACACAAAAGTCATTGGTTGATGATGAGGCATTATCAGCAACGTATCTTCCCTTTTAGGTTATGATGGCTTTTCCAAAACCTCGAATTAGTCTGTGGCTTAGGCACTGCTTGTCTCGGACTCGAGGATAATTCAGGAGGCTTATAACACTCGGATCAAACGAAATAACACTTTTGGTGTCGTATAATATTCTGATTTGATGTTGCACTTCACGTGCTCTTCAACTAATTGGGTTTTTTTTGTCTTGTAACGAGTATTTTTTTTCTTCTATGTTTGTCGTCTGCAGCAGTATCAAGAAATTTTTATTTTGGGTTTGCTTTTGCGCCTGTAAGGCACTTAAGATCCCCTCTCCGGAAAAAGGGGCCTGGGTACTTGAAATTTCGTGAAGAGAAGATGAATTATTCATGTATATTTAATTGTTTATTTTTGTCGAGTTGATACACGATATATTGTTAAAAACCACTGTGCCGAAAAGCAGAGCCGCTTTGCAGTGTAGTAGGTCTTTGCGATGGCTTTTGCATTTCTCGGGACCCTGAAAAGACTATCTACAATGTACACCGTGACTGACATTCGAAACCATGGGCCCAATATCACGGCGCTGCTTAACAGTTAGCACAAAAGTTGTGTTTAGCATAGCAGAAAAATTTGCTAACCTTAAGCACTATTTCACGGCATGTGTGTGCTAACGGTCGCGTGTGCATGGAGATTTATCTTGTAATGTCACTAAGTTAAGCAAGTTTTTCCTCTGAAGTAAGCGTGCCTTTTGCTGTGCTTATGCTTACAGTCTCCATGAAATTGACGGAGGCTCTGTTAGCAAAAAATCGTGTGCTTATACTGAGCAGCGCCGTGAAATTGGGCCCTGTTCTCGTGTTGGTTGAATAAACACGAGAACCGAGTTTCGAACTAATGACAAGAACCAACGGTGTTCGCGAACAGGATTTTCAGGATTTTCCCCACTTATAGGGGAGTAGTCTGATGAGGAACGTCAAGAACAAAGATGGCGGATTACGGCCCCGGAATTTGCGTTAATTTTTGTGCATAAAATTGAAAGAGCTCATCATTCAGTGCAGAAGCAGTAGTGATAAAATAAAACATGACACAGGGAATGGGCTTTTTACTCAGCCTTGTCTCTGCCAATTTTTATAGCTGTTACGGGATTTCAATTTTCGTATTAACTCAATTTAATTGTCCCCTCTTATCATTCGGCGTTTTTATACGGCGGCTGCCATCTTGAATTCTGGCCAAGCTGCATGTACACACTTCGGTGTTCGGCGACCCTGTGGAGACATGATATAATAGGGAAAAAGGATTGTAGAAACCACAGGGCAGTTTCTAAAGGCCTAGGTGAATAAGGGCAACCTAATTGTCTCCACAAGGTTATCACGAAATACATGTAGATGTGTGGATTTTACTCAAAGCTAGGAGTTTCCAAGGTTGATCCGTCGGAAATTGAAGTATTTTATGTAAGGCCAAAAAAAAAAGTCTCCGGTTTCTGGTATGGAGCTTGCCCAAAAAGTGATGCGGCGACGCGGCTTTTTTTTTTTACCTATTTTTTTTTGCTTCAAATGTCGGCTGATGACTGCAAATGGTGCCCGACTAAACTTAGTGCAAATATATGGGAGTCCAGAGAGGCCACATAAAGCTTATTCTCGATCATAACCCCATCTAAAAACACGTTAAAATTGTGCAGCAGCAGGATTCCAGTCAAACCAGTGAGTTTGGTGGTTTTGAGACATCATCTTGTATCGAAAAAAAACTTTTTCATTTTGCCGACGCGCATGGCTACGGCGACGCGCGCGCATACCAGAAACCGGATACTTTTTTTTTTGCCTAGGAGCACTGCCGTACATTTTACCAACATCAAAGTCTTCCAACAGAGGGCGCGCTACACAAATACTGATCACCACACCGCAAAGACTTCAACGTGGATACGATCTGCACAAACGAAATTGGCACAAGTGATGGACTTTGTGGAGACGATAACTCAAGAACAACACAGTGCACTGAATTGAAATTTCGTTCAATAATTGTTTGAGATATAGGACACGAATGGTTTGAAAATCGACGGATACCATTCAAGAATAAATTTAATATGATTTAAGGAAATACAGTGTACTAATCGCGAAAAATTTAATTCGCATTCGAGTCACTTCTAATGAAACAAAAATAAAACACTCTTTTGTGGAGACGATAACTCAAGAAAAACACAGTACACATGATTGAAATTTCGTTCAATAATTGTTTGGGATATGGGAAACAAATGGTTTGAAAATCAAACGGGAACCATTCAAGAATAAATTTAATATGAAGTAAGGAAATACAGTGTACTAATCGCGAAAAATTCACTTTTAATGGAACAAAAATAAAGCACTCTTTGTGGAGACGATAACTCCAGAAAAACAAATTGCACGGATATGAAATTGCGTCCCATAATTGACTGTGATATACAAGACAATATATTTGAAATTCGACAGAAACCGTTGAAGACAAAAATGAATACAACAAAAACAAAAACGACAATGTGTAAGAGCGCTGCCGTACATTTTACTAACATCAAATTCTTCCAACAGAGGGCGCGCTACACAAATACTGGTCACCACACCCGGCCTCGTTTCCAATAGTAAGCCCTGGATAGGAAACTTTCTTCCTGCATCCGGTGTGGACGGTAATTCTGTCCCCCGTTAAAAGTGTCCGGGGGGACAGAATTACCTAGGTAAAAGTGTCCTCCCCGGCCCGTTAATTCTGTCCCCCTTCAGGTTTTATGTCCCCCTAGTTTTGCAACGCAGAAGGCCAGTTCTCTATATTGTTTTCATGAATTCACTTTACAAGGTATACATTTGTTACTCTTTAGTCTGCCCTGCATGAAGATGAAAAAAATTAACTTTTTGGTCTCTTTCTTAGATGTGAAATGTGAACACAATGTTTCGATCGATTCGGAGTACGGTGTAGCCATATTCTACGGTGGACGCCTCATTGATATAACGCCTACTTGGATTGGTCTGCGTTCCCATCGTAGCGCGTAACGAAATTTCCTATTGGAGGAATTTCCTTTGTGTAGGGGGATACACATTGTGTAGGAGGATACACATTATGTACACATATGCGATAAACGCTGCCACAAATCTTGCAGCATGTACTTGCGGCGATGCGCGCTCACGAACACGACTCGTATCATCGCATGGGTGATACTTGCACGGGGACACATTTACCAGGGGGACAGTTTCAACGTTGGGCAGGGGGACATATTTACCAGGGAGGGGGACAGATCTACCTAGGTAAATGTGTCCCCCCGGACAGATTTACCGGGTCAAGAGCCGGTAAATTTGTCCAGGGGGACACATTTACCAGGGGGGACAGAATTACCTGCCACACCGCCAAGCCATACATCCGCACGCCGTAGAATATTTTAAGTTTTGTTCAATAGAGGGCGCGCCAGATAAATAGTGGTCTCAACAACGCATCGACACGGACGCTGCACAACTGAACAAAAAGAACAAACTCGTTTCCGATGAACTACTCAGGAAATACAAAATGGATTAAATTGAAATTTCGTGCAATTAGTTTCACGATGTGTAGCATGAGTAGTTTGAATGGCATGAGAAACCGTGGAGCTATAAATATAATATGATCGTAACAATCTAGTGTTTTAAACGTTAAAAATCCATGTTGACTTCCATTAGGATTGTATTTGTTGCAAATAAAATCCTGTATTGTTACGGTCATAATAGCTTGATTAATTAACGTTTTTTTATGAAATGAAATCTTTTGATGCCAAACATCATGACAAATGAGTGTACGAAAATTCATTTTAATGAAACGTGTATTTTTTGAGTTGTTGGCCCGAAATCGGGTTTGGTGGTGGAGATCGAGACCACTGTAATAGAGGGCGCGCCACATAAATAGTGGTCTTAACAACGCATCAAACACGGATGCTGCACAAGTGAAGAAAAAGAACGTCCTCGTTTCCGATGAACTACTCAAAAAATACAAAATGGATTAAATTGAAATTTTGTGCAATTAGTTTTCACGATACGTAGCATAAGTAGTTTGAATGGCGTGAGAAACCGTGGAGCTATAAATACAATATGATCGTAACAATCTAGTGTTTTAAACGTTAAAAATCCATGTTGACTTACATTAGGATTGTATTTGTTGCAATTAAAATCCTGTATTGTTACGGTTATAATAGCCTTATAATTTGACGTTTTTATTATGAAATGAAATCTTTTGATGTCAAACATCGTGACAAATGAGTGTACGAAAATTCATTTGAATATAACGTGTATTCAGTGGTGTAGCCAGGAATTTTCAGTGGGGGGGGGGGGGGGGGGGGGGGCTGGGGGGGGGGGGGCTGGGACATTTCATGGGGGGGGGCGTCATGTAGATCAGTGATAATTATTCTAGAAACTCAAAATCTAAGTGGGGGGGGGGGCTACTGGGGGCGACAAGATTTCATGGGGGTGGGCTATCGCCCCCCACGCCCCCCGTGGCTACGCCACTGCGTGTATTTCTTGAGTTGTTGGCCCCAAATCGAGTTTGGTAGTGGAGATCGAGACCACTATAATAGAGGGCGCGCCACATAAATAGTGGTCTCAACAACCGTACGCATCAATACGGATGCTGCACAAGTGAAGAAAAAGAGCAACCCCGTTTCCGATGAACTACTCAAGAAATACAAAATGGATTAAATTGAAATTTCGTGCAATTAGTTTTCACGATGTGTAGCATAAGTAGTTTGAATGGCGTGAGAAACCGTGGAGCTATAATTACAATATGATCGTAACAATCTAGTGTTTTAAACGTTTAAAATCAATGTTGACTTCCATTAGGATTGTATTTGTTGCAAATAAAATCCGGTATTTGTTGCAAATAAAATCCGGTATTGTTACGGTCATGATAGCTTGATTAATTGACGTTTTTTGATGAAATGAAATCTTTTGATGCCAAACATCGTGAAAATGTATTTCTTGAGTTGTTGGCCCGAAATCGGGTTTGGTGGTGGAGATCGAGACCACTATAATAGAGGGCGCGCCACATAAATAGTGGTCTCAACAACCGTACGCATCAATACGGATGCTGCAAAAGTGAAGAAAAAGAGCAACCCCGTTTCCGATGAACTACCCAAGAAATACAAAATGGATTAAATTGAAATTTCGTGCAATTAGTTTTCACGATGTGTAGCATAAGTAGTTTGAATGGCGTGAGAAACCGTGGAGCTATAATTACAATATGATCGTAACAATCTGGTGTTTTAAACGTTAAAAATCCATGTTGACTTCCATTAGGATTGTATTTGTTGCAAATAAAATCCTGTATTGTTACGGTCATGATAGCTTGATTAATTGACGTTTTTTTATGAAATGAAATCTTTTGATGCCACACATCGTGAAAATGTATTTCTTGAGTTGTTGGCCCGAAATCGGGTTTGGTGGTGGAGATCGAGACCATATATAATAGAGGGCGCGCCACATAAATAGTGGTCTCAACAACGCATCAATTATACGGATGCTGCACAAGTGAAGAAAAAGAACAACCTCGTTTCCGATGAACTACTCAAGAAATACAAAATGGATTAAATTGAAATTTCGTGCAATTAGTTTCCACGATGTGTAGCATAAGTAGTTTGAATGGCGTGAGAAACCGTGGAGCTATAAATACAATATGATCGTAACAATCTAGTGTTTTAAACGTTAAAAATCCATGTTGACTTACATTAGGATTGTATTTGTTGCAATTAAAATCCTGTATTGTTACGGTCATAATAGCTTGATAATTTGACGTTTTTATTATGAAATAAAATCTTTTGATGTCAAACATCGTGACAAATGAGTGTACGAAAATTCATTTGAATATAACGTGTATTCAGTGGCGTAGCCAGGAATTTTTTTAGTGGGGGGGGGGGGGGGGGGGTGGAAGGTCATTCTGTCCCCCGGTAAAACTGTCCGGGGGGACATTACCTAGGTAAAAGTGTCCTCCCCGGCCCGTTAATTCTGTCCCCCTCCAGGTAATTCTTCCCCCAGGGTTTTTTGTCCCCCTCTTTTGAAACCCGGAAGGCCAGTTCTCTTTATTGTTTTGATGAATTCACTCTACAAGGTATACATTTTGGACTTTTAGTCTGCCCTTCATGAATATAAAAATATTTAATTTGGTCTAATACTAGATGATATGTGAACACAACGTTTCGATTTGGAGTACGGTGAAATCTATCGCGATTCTACGAAAGCCCTGTAGTGCCATCAAGTATATATTTTGTCCAAGTTCGTTTTTATGAGATATATTTTTCCCAAAGTTCGTTTTTACGAGATACATTTTGTCGAAGTTCGTTTTTATGAGATATATTTTCTCGAAGTTCGTTTTTATGAGATACATTTTGTCGAAGTTCGTTTTTATGAGATATATTTTCTCGAAGTTCGTTTTTATGAGATATATTTTTCCCAAAGTTCGTTTTTACAAGATACTAAAGGGACATCCAAAATTATTTTTTTATCTCGTGCGCACGACATAATATCTCGTGCGCACGACATATATCTCGTGCGCACGACATAATTATCTCGTGCGCACGACATAATATATCGTGCGCACGAGATAATTATCACGTGCGCACGAGATAAAAAAATAATTTTGGGGCTCCGTAAGATATCCTGTGTCGCCCGAAAAAAAATTATCTCTTAAAAACGAACTTGGGATAAATATATCTCGTAAAAACGAACTTCGACATAATATATCTCGTAAAAACGAACTTCGACAAAATGTATCTCGTAAAAACGAACTTCGAGAAAATATATCTCACAAAAACGAACTTCAACAAAATGTATCTCATAAAAACGAACTTCGAGAAAATATATCTCATAAAAACGAACTTCGACAAAATGTATCTCATAAAAACGAACTTCGAGAAAATATATCTCATAAAAACGAACTTCGACAAAATGTATCTCGTAAAAACGAACTTTGGGAAAAATATATCTCATAAAAACGAACTTCGAGAAAATATATCTCATAAAAACGAACTTCGACAAAATGTATCTCGTAAAAACGAACTTTGGAAAAAATATATCTCATAAACACGAACTTCGACAAAATATATACTTGATGGCACTACAGGGCTTTCGTACGATTCTACCGCGAAAGGTCAATACAGCGGCGATGCATGGCGATGGCCCTCGTCTCATTGATACAACGCCTACTTGGATTGGTCTGTGTTGCCATCATAGCGCGTAACGACATTTCCTATTGGATGAATTTCCATTGTAGAGGGAGACGCATATGTACACATGTGATATCACTGCCACATATCTTGCAGCATGTACTGGCGCGCGCGACACGCTGCTGCTCTCAGTATATACTGCATAGGGACACATTTACCAGGGGGACACTTTCACCGTTGGGCAGGGGGGACAATTTTACCTGGAGGAGGACAAATCTACGTAGGTAAAAGTGTCCCCCCGGACACATTTACCGGGTCACGAGCCGGTAAATATGTCCGGGGGGACACATTTACCAGGGGGACAGAATTACCTGTCACACCGGCCTGATTCGATACCGCAATTTGCAGGGTGAGAGAGCAGGTAGTGGTGGGCGCGTATTGCTCGACACCCTGGGGACGAGGTTGCTGCAAGGCCTAGTTTGTACCGCGAATAAAACCAGATCAGACATGTAAAAAACATGGGTGCAATTCATTTTGGGAATGAAATAAAACATCTGAGTCCTTGAATTAAAATTCGCCGGACGGGACGATCTACAATGTAAAACGTCAAAAACAAAACCCTTTGAGGGATGAGGATTGGCACAATCGAGTCAAAAAAAAAAGTTGGTGAGGATATCGAATACAAAGAATAGGGCGGATTCGGTCCTCCTGGCACTGGAAAGGTTCAGTCACACGTTTGTTAAAGAGAAAAAAAGTGTATGTGTTTTGTGGTGATTGGCTTGTAATGTATAAGTATGCACTTGTACATGTAATGGCTTGGGGACCTATTTGTAAACAGCGCCCTCATGCGGCTATCGATGTACGAACTCCAAACGCGATTCGCTCGACCCCCCCCCCCCCCCGCCCTGCAAAGGGGGTACGAGCGAACAAACGCGGGCGATCATGAGGAGCGTGGGGCTAGCTGCGCCACCCCCCCCCCCCCCAACCACCACCACACGGAGAAATGTTCCCATTGTCACGTCCGTTAAAGAACGGAAAGCAGTGAGAAATTCAGAACTGGGACCAGCATCCCAAGTATTTGACTTGGGTGATCGGGCACAATTAACCCGACCTCTGTTTGAAATCGTTCTGATAAATCTTCTTTGTTTGGGTCTTTTTTCAAGTTCTTTTTCTGGACAAAACCTCTTCACGGGTTTTCTCCTAAAACGGTTTATGGTATGAACTTGTAACCTTAACATATGTCGACCCTCATCCCCAGTGGTGATTATTATTATGACGTCACGATCAATGACGTAATTGGGTGTCAAATTACAAGCAATGAAAGATTTGTAGATTTAATCTTTTGAAGATCAATATTAAATCAAGCGTGAGAGACTTGAACTTGACTAAATTGCAGGCCGGATGCGGAATCGATAGAATAATCCAGGATCTTCATTTTATCTCGTGTGTGCCTAATCACGTGACTCTACCTTCTGGTCCGATTCCGGAAGTGCCTTATAATTTGAAAGTGGAAACAGATGTTAGTCTCTGGCTAAGTTGTTCTTCAGAAAAAAAAATTACCGGTGACGTCATACAATATTAGAGCGCCCTCTAGTGGCAGGTTGAAAAATGTTTAAAATGAATAATCATTTGATGGGTACGCGTGGCGAAATTTGCTCAAATCACTTTATAATTGATGTATATGATTAGCTTCATGCTAAGAACAAGTTTAGGGGGAGAAAGATTGATGACGTCACCAGACTGGAAGTTACAATAAAAAAACCTTAAACCAGTTAAAAAGTTGCTGAAAAATCAACCGCGAGAGATATAATTATAGTTTTTACAAATAAAATTATAGGCGTACATTGCATCTTGATTGAAAAATATATTTTTTTTAAACACCGATACTCTGCCATTAATCTTTAGGAATCAAAATTTACATAACTTAAAAACTCTGGGGTTTCCTCCTTGTGTTACGTACGCGATAAATACTTGTGCTTGGAGGTGATGATTCACTGAGTGGAAAATTTTGTACATAGTGGAATAATTCCAGGTATAAAGTAAACACTCCCTCATTGCAACCTATACGACGATGCACGGAGCGTCGCACCCTGCGTCACGTGATCAACAAATTAATCATTATTCCTACTTATGCTCTGGATCACATGCATTGATTTGATTGATTTAAGCCTAATTGATGTACAAATATTAATACTCACCATAGACAATTGATTGAAAGAAACAGTGGACAATTTTATTTGAGCTAAAACTCTGAAACATTATAGATTTTTTGTTGCTGGTGTATGCCCAAGAGAGCAGTAGGAAAAGAAATTAATTATATCACGTCGGCCATCTTGCTTGTTTTCCCATTGATAGTGTGTTGTGGAAAAATTCTGGGTGGTAACGTAACGCACGTAAACTGCATCGGTGCTTGAAGCACTCTGTATTTTCAGGTCTACATTTCTATCCGAAGTGATTTTTTGCCTCACAACACCATGGGTAACATTAATACCACTGGACCCAATGAAGCAATGGTTGTTTCAGGTAAGTTTTTCATTGAAAATTCGGCGATCGTGATGTGTAGGGCCCCTGTTTTGCTTTGATCAAATTAGAGTAAAAATGTTTACACTAGCCTACACGAATGATCGCCCATGTATTACCAGGTTGGGGGTCCCAGGTTGGAAGCCCTCTTCATGCCCGTGAAGAGGGCATGAAGAGCCCGTTGCTCTTATGCCAGAATTGGTTTCTTGCAACGTACACCTACAGATACAGATGCTTCATCAGTGACAATGTTCACTGCATTTACACTGACGTCCAGTTTCTAACTAAGTTCTACTCTAAGACCTCAGTGTAGCAAATAAAACGCAAAATATAAGAATTATTTTACTCTTCTCATGCTTGTTTTTAAATGGTGTAGGACTAGGACACCTCCCTTTTTTAGACCCGTGAACGTGGCGTAATAAACAACGCCACGGGCCGTCCTCGCGTAAATACACTCGAAATCATTTTAATTTTTGATCCGCGACATATAACCACGTATAATTCTGCCCTATAGGTTAATCACTTACTTGTTAGGCTTCCTGTGAATTTACGCAAGTGTTGGAATTGGATCTAGATCTGTCATTGCCAAGAAATTTGATGAAAAATATGGCACAACGAACGTGTTCAAAACGATCGGAAAATCAAAGACATGCATGATACTCTGCCTCTGGTACCCCGAGTTCCGCATACGCCAAACATTAGAAGTCCCACCACTGGTTACCGACTACCCGTCTTACATGGCAGGATGACCTGTAATACCATGTTAAAATTCTGCTAAATCCACTTCAAAAATCTGCCAAATCACCCAGTATTATATTGCTGGGAAAGATTTCCATATACGAAGTTCACTAATTTTCCTCTGTATTGACTAACAAGCCCCCAGATAGCAATTTCATGTCATCAAAGTCAATTTGAGCAGTGAGAAAATACAAGCATTTTCTTAGAAAACACTTAGAATTTTTCAGTCCAATCTCATAGGGTTTGTACACAGGGTGTTGAGTGAACTTCGTATATGGAAATCTTTCCAAATGTGCTATTTTTCTCTAATCTTTTTCTTTTTCCTTCAGAATTACCAATCTACATAATTCTGCTGAAAAAATGTTCTGCTGAATTTTCTGTGCAAATCATTTTGTATGCAAATATTCCGTCGAATTTAGCCCAAATTCGGCTAGAACGGTCACTGGATCACAGTAACTGTGGATCACAATAGAGTATTTTTTACTGTAGATCGAAGCGTGGCTATGTATATAGCCACGTTCACGGGTCTACTCCCTTTTTCACTTATTCCATTCAAAAATGGTGCCCATCAAAAAAATGGGTTAAATAATGATATAGGCCTAGACAGCTACGATATCTTGTTAAACATACATGTATTAGCAGCAACATTAGGTTTATGGTTTATTACGTATGGGCCATTGAAGACATCCTCAATTCCAGTCTTAAGCTACTTAAGACGTAATTTTGTTGTTTTTGGTTTTTCGTTTCAGGTGGCTGCTGTGGCAGTGGCGACAAGAAGTATATCATTGGAGGCTATGCATGGTCCTGGTGGCTGGTGTCGGATGTACAGAGGTGAGAAGGGATTGCCTTTGCAAGTTGTTCAATTAGGCCAAGGGCCGCCTCCACAGACTTTTCAGATTTTGTGTTTGTACACAAAAGGCACGAGGGACTAGCGTGTTTAGATGTCACCCGGAGGCGAGTCGAGTCAATCTTGACGTTTAAACCTGTCAGCCTTGGCTGTGAACCAGGTGTATAAACACAGTCAGTACGTGTTATCTCGTCCTCCGATGCAAACTGGCTAAAAGAATGTTTTTTGTGTGTGATAGTAAACTGCATGTTTGTCATGTAATGTCTGATGTACATGTACATGTATGATTGATGAATTACACATAGGAACATAGGAAAATGAATAAATATTCTGATTGTGATAAAATACAATTTGAATTGAATTGAATATTATGCAGGATAACCTTGGAGGTCATGACATTGAATCCTCGCTGCGAGAACGTGGAGACCTCCATGGGCGTGCCCCTGACGGTGACGGGCGTAGCCCAGGTCAAAGTCATGACGGAGGAAGGGCTGCTGGCCCAGGCCTGCGAGCAGTTCCTGGGACGGTCGACCGAAGAGATTAAGGAAGTCGTGCTGCAGACGCTGGAGGGCCACCTCAGGGCAATCTTGGGTAGGTTGCACAATAATAACCCTAACTCCCTAGGCCTTTTTGCTAGGATGTAACCTCAATCCTGCAAAATCCTCCAACTGGCCTCATGGAAAAATAGCATATAGCCTCAGTCCTGCAAATTCCTCCATTATTTCTTGAATATGGTCCGTGGAGGGGTGACCACTGCCTGAATCCTGCAAAATCCTGCGGCAGTGACTGTCAATATGTTGAGGCTTGGCCAGTGACATCCTGGAGCAGTACGGAGGATTTTAAGCATAATCCAGGCCGGTATTGATGCATGGCTGAGCAAAATCAACACAAGGTCCGGCCCAAGACCTCGACAAATTGCATCCTACGAAATCAGTAACACACTTTTGCCATGTAACCTCAATCCTCCAAATTCTTGCACTTTGGCAAAGAGGATTTTGAAGGATTCAGGGCGGTTAGGGTTAATATACTATACTAATCTTTGGCTTTAAAACCTTATAAACCTTCCTACTATTTAAACAGTCACAGACAGTCCAAATTTCCATCCACTTTCCCTGCTATACTTTTAACACAGGCTAAACAAACCCTTTTGAGTCAAGCTGGACTAGGCAAGCGCCATCTTGTTTGATAGATTAACCTTAATTCCCTTAGCATTTTTGGTATGATGCAACCTCAATCCTACAACATCCTCCAACTGCCTTCATCATGCACAAATTGCATCCTCAATCCTCCCAAATCCTCCGTTATTTCTTGAATGTGGCCCTTGGAGGGGTTACCACTGCCTAAATCCTGCAAAATCCTCCAGCAATACACTGTCAATATGTTGAGGCAGAGCCAGTGACATCCTGGCGCAGTGCGGAGGATTTCAAGTGTAATCTAGGCCTAAATTTATGCACGGCTGAGCATAAACAACACAAGGTCCGGCCTAAGACCTAGACGCAGTGCATCCTCCATTTTGCAAAGAGGATTTTGGAGGATTAGGAGAAGGAACCACAGAACTTATCGACTTCTTTCCATTCAAGGTACCCTGACCGTGGAGGCCATCTACCAGGACCGGGACCAGTTTGCCCAGCTGGTACGTGAAGTGGCTTCTCCCGACGTGGGCCGCATGGGTCTGGAGATCGAGAGTTTCACCATCAAGGACGTGTACGACAAGGTGGAGTACCTGGGCTCTCTGGGCAAGTCCCAGACAGCCGTGGTCAAGAGAGACGCGGACATCGGTGTCGCTGAGGCCAACAGGGATGCCGGAATCAGGGTAAGTGGTCATATTTTGTTGTCGCAAAACAGAACTCAACCCATCAAACCCCAAACGGCATGTTTTGTTGGAATCTGTCCAGTACAGGTACAGTACCCCTAAACTGACCCTCTTTTACATTGGGTTGGCACACCTCCAGAATCAAAGTCAAAAATAATGTGTGCAGTTTCCCATATGGTGTTGGAATTTGCCAGGATGGGTATGGTTTCTAGTAAATCATGCTAGGGAGTTAGGGTGAAGCTGACCAAATCAACCCTTTTGGCTAGGATACATACCTGATATCCCTTTTCGAAAAAAATGTCTGTTCTCCACTTTAAAAAATTTTAAATTCCGTTTCAACCTTGAAACTGTGCAAGAAAATCTGTTTCCTGCTTCCTCATGCATGCCGTTTTAGTGGACATTCACTGTTACACTGAAAACAATTGAGCACAGTTTCTGTCGATCAATTTTTTTTACAGTATTTAAATAAAACAGAAAATGCCCACAGTTGTACATAATATATAATACTCGAAAATGAAATATCCTTACAGAATTCATTTAATGTCTAAAGTTTTGTATCGCTTTATGTGTGTACACACAGCTGAAATCTGTTTCTAAAGGTATGTTTTTTTTTGGTTCTGTTTTTTTTTGGTAAAGAAAAGAACGTCAGTGGCCCTACATCCTCAATCCTGTATAATCTTCCAACTGCCTCTACATAAAAATGCTACTTCAAACCTCTAAAATCCCCCAATATTTCTTGATTTTGTTTAGTGGAAGGTAGCCAATGCTTCATTCTTTCGAAATCCCCCAACATTTTACAAATCATATCACAAGGTAGGAAAGCAGTCACATGAGTTAACAGGAAAAACACAAAGGAAACCAAAACCCGGAACATCAAAGGGAAGTTCAGGTTTACCAAGTACACAAACCATAGACAACTCAAGAGGGCTGATAATTTCCTGAATGAGGCCAAAGAATACAGAAGTTTCATTCCCCTCATTATCATACTGTACATTAAGTCTGCTGAAAACGAAGATGAAAGTTCCGTGTGTGTAGTCAAAACAACACTTTCACTACGTTTTTTTTTCCTTCGGCTTTTTAAAAGACAGTTTCAGTATCAATGGTTACTCCAGTTGTGCATATTTGTCACATTCGGCAAGGGAAGTTTTTTTTCTTCCAAACTTCCTTCTGAAATTGCATGTTTAGGAAAGAAAGATTGGTTAACTCCCAATCCTCAGGTATTTTTTCGAAGTCCTATATCTAGGGAACTGAATGTCTAATTGCATTGAAACTTTGTCTGTTTATAGATAGGGTTGTGTTATAGATGAAAATTGAGGTGACATCATGGTGACGTCATCATATGATTTTATATAGATTTCTGAAATTTTTAAGATTATCGCAACATGCTAAATTTGTAATAGGTTTGTTAGGTCAGATGTTTGCACAAAAATGTGAAAAATGTGTGACGTCATCATGACGTCTTCAAAATGCGATTAAAAAAACCCCACTAAAACATGTAAGGGTACATGTAGATGCGATTGACATGAGTTTTGGTGGGAAGGTAGATAATGTTGCTGGTATGCAAAAGTCGACATGATGTCAAGAGGCCGTTATAAACGGATTTTTGATAAATGTTTAAACTTTTACATTTCTTGGCTACTAGTAAAATGTTTACATTAAATGCACTTTGTACACGAAATTATCATTTACATGACTGCACATTGCCAAAAAAAGCAACAAAATCATAATGCGGAAAAACCCTATAAATATGTTCTGTTCTCAAACAGACAAGACCTCTAGTTTATAATAGTCATTGTTTAGGCATATTCACACTTGTGGAACCCTGCCAATCTTTAGGAACCCAATTAAATGTTATGAAATTTTGGCAAGAATTTGGGGGAGTATAGCCTAGTGGTTAGGGTTCGTGTCTCATGATCAGAAGGTCAGGGGTTCAAATCCAGCTGCTGGCCATGTGTTGTGTCCTTGGGCAAGCCACTTCACCCCCACTTGCCTCTCTCCACCCAGGAGTATAAATGGGTACCGGCATTAGCTGTGGAGTAACCTGTGATGGACTGGCATTCCTTCCAGAGGGAATAGAAATATTTTCATGCCACGGAAACCGGTGTCACCATCTCACTCGTGCTAGCTTCTCCGGGTGGATTCGGCGGATAATTGAGCACGTTACAGTTACATGAGCACGATTCATGCTCATGTGTCCGCTGTGCTTACTTTTCCTCAGGCTGTATTCTGAAGTCTACCAAGCCATTAATAACACAGTGAGGGACACCCAAGAATGTGTTATGTAACACTTGAGTGCGTCAAGTCATTCCATGGTCTTGCAAGCATTGTGATTTGTGTTCCCAGTGTCATGCATGTGTGTGTGTTCATGAAGGAATAATTAAGAACGAACTCCTTGGTCCGTGTTCCTTGCTCGTTCGTGGTCCATTTTGTCTTTATTTTTTACAACCACGGCTTAAAATAAATGTGCACTGCAAGTATTTTTGGTTATTGGGAGTTGTGCACGCCACAAAAATTCTGGATTGGACTGGTACTCTATAACCATGCATACAAATATCCTAAGATCTTACGTACACCAGTACAACCCCGAAGAACTCGGCACACTAATACAGTTGACGAAAATGTACATTACTGTGCAATTTTTTGCATGCCTGTTGAAGCGAAATTTCCCTTTCGAAGAAGCTAGCACGCCGGAGAAGTGAGTTCGTGACACCGGACATAAACTCGGGCCTGCCGGGCCGTACCGGTTGAAGACTGACTTTGTTTGACATGATAATTTTTTTCAAAAGTGACACTGTTTGAGAGTGTTGACACTTGTCTTTATTCACGACGTTCTGCAGGAAGCTGAATGCGAGAAGGTCATGATGGACACCAAGTTTGACGCCGACACCAAGATTGCCGACTCGGCCCGTATGTTTCAGATGAGCAAAGCCGGCTTCCAAGCTGAAGTGAACACCAAGGTGGGTCAAGTGACTTTTAGGGTGTAGTGGAACGTAAAGTCTTGGAGTAAATATTGCATTTCCGTCCGTTGCTGCATCCTGTGAATGATGCATGAGTACTCGGTATTAGTATTGGGCATGCAGAATAATCCTATTAGGCCAAAAAAAAAATAGTCGGTCTCTGGTCAGACCGATGTTCCGGAATTGATGCGGCGACAAGGTTTTTTTTGTGTGTGTGTGTTTTTTTTTTTTTTTTCAAGCTTGTATTGTACAGACAAGGTGGGTACTATTTTGCTTTTTTGTGTCCTCATTATACATTGGTGTCCTCCATAATTTGCCTTGGTGCCCTTTATCATTTGCCTTGGTGCAATTTTTCTATTCCCTGGTGTTCCTTGGTACAAAAATTTGAGGAGGCGCAGCAATAGAGGGCGCTGTTGTAGCATCCGTGTTAATTTGAAGAAAAAAAAGAAGGTTGACGCGCATGATTAAAATCGGCCTTAGTCGCCTGTATTGATCATATTGATAACTGGTATTCATCCCATTGATAACTTGTATTGATCCCATTGATCACTCAATTAATCCTGTGGTTAAATGTATTGATCCCATAGATCTCAGTTGTATTGGTAATATTGTGATTGATTACATATGTTTACTTATATTGATCTTTTAATCCCATTGATCACCCATATTGATCCTGTTGGTCACTTATATTTATCTATCTTACCACTTATATTGATTCCACTAATCACCGTAATCCAGACGCTCACTTGTATTGATCCCAATGATCAACTTTTGAGTCTCCACTATATCTTATGCTGTTCCCATCGATGAACAGTATATTTTCCATTGGTTGCCTGTACTGATCGCATAAATCAATGTATTGATCGCATTGATCTCCTTAATCCCATTATCACCTGTATTGACTGACTTTCAATCCAGAAAGCCGAGGCTGAGCTGGCCTATGAGCTTCAGGCCGCCAAGGTCAAACAGCTGATCCGTAGTGAGGAAATCGAAATCGAGGTCGTGGAACGGAGAAAACTCATCGACATCGAGGAGAAAGAGATCGAACGCAAGGAGCGTGAACTGGTGGCTACCATCAAGCGGCCAGCCGAGGCTGAGTCCTACAAGGTGGAGACCATCGCTCATGGTGAAAGGTGAGGGGTCGGAGGTGACATTGGGCAGAGTAGCCTCACTAGAGGGCGCTCTTGACATTTTTGTTACAAATTTTTACAATGGAATAGCACTCAGCACTCATGTTAAAGATAGAAGCAAGTACCCGGATCTCAGACAAACATGCTGTACGAGCTTCTTGCGTGAAGATTACGCGCACGCTTGCAGCACCGTTTCTATGCGAATGTATGCGGCCAGTGCGCGCGTGATTGTTCAAAAGTTTGTCTGAGTATGCGCGCGTACGGCGCGGAGCAAAATTGACGTCATTAGTGCGGAGTGCTATTGAAATTGTTAATGGAACTATTTAATTTGTATATGTTTTGTTTGTCTTTTTTTGCACACTTCATAGTGTTTCCCCAAAAGCTGAGTTCTGTTTCAAAATGTGAAATACATGTATGTCAATTCGGTTCCATTAACTGGTGAAGTGGCAAATCGGTGCCATGGGCGTAGCGAGGAGGGGGCAAGGTGGGGCACTTGCCCCCCACCCCCCCTGGAAAAGCAACCAAAAAAAAAAAAGAAGAAGAAGGAGAAAAAAGAAAACAAAAAGAGGCGCGAAGTCAAAGTTGTGCAAATTTAATGAGTTGGGGGGGGGGGGGCAAAATGTCCCTGCCCCCCTCTAAAACTGATAAATCGAGAATATGTTGAGAAATGCAAGCATTTTTGGCAAAACAATTTTTTGCCCCCCTCTAGAAAAAATCCTGGCGATGCCCATGATCGGTGCCCCCCCTCCCCAAAAAAAACCCCAAAGCGAAAAAATTCTGCTGTTCCCATTTGATTGAATAGTCCCCTCTTCTTCTTAATCCACTAGAACACGGACCGTGTTGGCAGCCAGAGGCGACGCCGAAAAGATCAAGAAAGTGGGTCATGCTGAGGCCACATCTATCGAAGCCATCGGCAAGGCTGAGGCTGAACGCATGAGGATGAAGGCAGCAGCCTACAAGCAGTATGGAGACGCTGCCAAGATGAGTCTGGTGCTGGAATCCCTGCCAAAGGTACTATTGACATTATGCATGACGAAGTCAGGGTTTCTTACCAGTTGTTTCCTTACTTGGCGGTCATTTTGGTCTGGTTCCTGGAAGACTGAGATCAAAAATGTTAACTAGAACAAGCCTGCCAAAAACAAAAACTTAGGTCTGATGGATGTAATGTGTCCCACTGTGTATGAGCCATCAACTCTGACCTTCCCAAATCCTCCAAAATCCTCTTTGCAAAATGGAGGATTTTGCAGGATTGAGACTATGTGGCAAAAATGTGTGGCTGATTTTGGAGGATGCACTGTGTGAAGGTCTTGGGCCGGACCTTGTGTTGTTTTTCTCTCATTCATGATTAAAAGATTAATGATTGAATCCATTTCTATCCTAGATTGCTGCTGAGATTGCCGCCCCACTGGCCAAGACTGATGAGGTCGTCCTCCTGGGTGATGACCGGACCACATCGGAGGTCACCAAGCTGCTGGGCTCTCTGCCAGTGGCTGTCCAGGCCTTGACCGGCACCGACTTGTCTAAGGTAAAAATAACAACAACAACAAAAACATTGGAGAGATTGACGAAACCTACATCTTTGGCTGGAGAATCCCTTAGAGCCATTTAAGTCCAAACTTTGGCAACTCTTTTATACAGGGGTGTGAAATCTCAGCTTTGAAGCTGATTTCAGCTCTTTTTTTTTAGTTTTGGATTCAGCTTTTTTTCAGCTTTTTCCCTCACTTGCTGTGCACAAAAGTATAGGAGATTTCCAAAGTTCAGCCTTTTTACACCTTTTTCAGATGTTTTCAGCTATTTTTATCAGTGGTCACTCACACACCTGTTTATAAGAATTTTAAATGTTGAAAAAAGAACATGATTGGAGCAGGGTTTGAACCCGTGACCTGTGGATTACCGTACCGGCACTCAACTAGGCATAGGGCTAGATAGCTCAGTCAGTAGAACACCGGAACAGCAATCGGAAGGTCACAGGTTCGAACCCCACTCCTAGTCAATGTCTTTGTTCAACATTAAAATAATTAAAATGCACCCAGTTTATAAGATGTTAAAGGGAATATTAAACAACATTTGCTTTTGCTGTAATTTTCAGAAGTGGATGGATTTGGGGGTTTAGTATTTTATAGCAAATATTGCTACACTGACTTGTTTGAAGATTTGTGTTTGTAGATGCTGGAAAAACCAAGAAAAACAATCATGTTCCTGTAGTCTGGTTCCCTGACCCCACTTTTCCAAACAAAATGCGGACTAACTAAATACAGTCGAAGCTGAAATTGAGGCTGAGAAAGTACTTGAAGTACGAGTGTGAAATTACTAGGTTCGTTTGGAACGTTTTGATTTTCCTATATTCATTCTGTCATGAGCTTCCTGATCAGTATAATTAATTTCCTTATCATATTCAACCTTTTTTTTGGTCTTTACCAGATGATGCAAAAGATTCCAGGAATCCAATAGTCGGTGCGACGACACCTGCTTCATCCAGAGTGCGGACAGTGCAACACCTTGTCAGCTGATCAAAGACGCAGGGTGAAGTAGCCACAGGACAAGGAACAAAAACAAGTCAAGTGCATTACTCTATTACAAACCAAACTTTCTTTAAATGTCCGACCCCCTCCAATTTGTTAATAGATAAATTCCATACCTCAGGTTTGACTGCCGAGGATGAGTAGTATGATTCCCAATGGACTCCGCGTGCACAAGTACCCCCTCAACGGTGAAAATGAGAGAGGCTTGAAGGACCACTTGGGTGCCATCTTGGATATAATGCATAAGTATACGGTTCAGATGCAATCAATCTGTTTGGTTAGTGTTCACACATCATTTCCACTGGTTCCCATCTCCATAGCGGGTTCCCGCCTCCATAGCTGGCTCCTGCTTCCATAACTGGTTCCCACCTCCGTAACTGGTTCCCACCTTCATTACTGGTTCCCACCTCCATAATTATTCAGCAACAATAACACAGAAGCTGGGAACCAGGGAACCAGTCATCCACCCTTCCTTAGTATATTGTTAAAGATAGCAAATGGTACCCAACTAAGTGCAAGTTTCCTTCCTACAGGATAATGGTACTTGTTGAAAGAGCGCCCTCTCTTGTTTGCAAGTGGAGTCAATATCACTATGCTGCCTTTTATTCTGTAGTATTTCTGACCCTTCAACCCAGAGTGTTGTGCAAACATAATGATTCAAGAGAAATTGTTTTCTTTTGGTTTGTAAGTAGTGAAGTTAGTACTGAGTGAGACCAATTGTGGACCGATAGTTTTCTGGTTGTCTATTTGCCAGGCTGTCAGAAGAGGTGAAAAAATGAACCTTATACATTTCTGAATTTGAAAGTAAATAAAATTTTAGCGTTAAAAAATCAATTAAAAAATAAGGATTGATGGTTGTAAAATTTTTAAAATTTAGAGTGAAAATTGTATTTTGATAGGTAATTTTTTAAAATTGTGAAGATTTGTTGTTCACTTTTGCAGAGTAAAAAAAAATACAAAATGCAAACGTTCAATATCAGGGGCGTATTTTTCCGGGGCTACTAATAGTAGGAATCTGCTAAGCCAAGAACATGTTTGCTTAGCACAACTAGGTTACCAGTCAAGATGTCATGCAGTTACTAACAGATGTAACTGGTTTCCTGCAGATTTGTATTAAGCAAGAACATTTGCTAAGCACCGTTTTCTGCTTTGAGGCAGCGTGAAAGTTGGCCCTGGTCCTCCAAATCATGAATTATTGAATTTATGAGAAAATTGGACAATGACATGCCTGGCAAATAGACATCCTCATTTTATATTATTTTAACCACTTGTATATATACAATATGTTACTGTGACAATTGATATATCGTAATATGTATAAAACAATCACTTATTATTGAGTGTTTAGCCGTATCTAAAAAGTTAAAACCTAAATTCAAGTTTTCTTTCTATCCAAATCTCGGGTAAACAAGGATTTTATTCGTCGGGCCTTAATTATGTACATAGGTGCAATCTTCATTTTTAGCAAGCAGTTCCATTATAAGTGCCGATGTGCACCTGAGATACTTTCAGCTTTTTTGGTCGCTTAAAAAAAAATTCCACAGTACATGCACTTTATTTCCATTTCATTTCTAAACCGATTTTCAATGTGTTGCTGAAGTTGTTCCGTGTAGTGACAGTATGTGTTGGCCAATTTTGATGGAGCACTGGGCCCATTTTCATTGCTATAGTAACCATAGAATTCCGCGCTTACGATCACCATTATGTGCTAACAGCGCCAGCAGAGAATTTCTGTGCTAACTTTGTAAGCAGCGAATCCTTAGTTCACAACATGCGCAAAAGCCAAAATTTCTCACTTAACCGGTGAAATATGCTTAAATACTGTAAGCTACCGTAACCGTAAGCAGGGATTTTTCCGCTTACGGTTAGCAGAGCCATGAAGCCCTGCTAAGAACAGAAACAGTTCGCTAAACAGACTAGCGTTACTAGCCAAAACGTCACAAGGGTTGTGCATTTATGAACAATTCAGTATCTGATGAATTGAAATTGGATTCTATCGAATATTCAAATATTCAAAACACACCAGACAAAGTTTTACATGTGCAAGCCAAAACGGCATGCACCACTCGGAAATTGCACGACCTGGTTGAAATTTGCGTGCATTGATCGGGAATTAAATAGGCCACTGATCAGGATATATGTGAACGGTGAACTTAAGAAATATTAAGGACATCATGCATGTATCAATATGTTGTTGATGTACATGTAGCTGACTAGCGGATTTAGAATATAAGATTTCAAATATGCAACCTTCTACGATTAAAATGAGATCAGGAGGCATTTCTCTTCATCTTTTCGAGACCTGCTCACATTTTTTTTGAGAATTCATATCGGAAAAAAAAAAGCACATGGAAATCCGGTGGGATGATTGAATATTTGGTGATGATTAAATTTTCGAGTATTTGGTACAAGATTACCTGTGTTTGATTCTAAATTGATTTCGGCTCAGCTCAGGACTTTGCTAAGCAGTAAGTCCCTTCTGCTTAGCGGTTCCATGAATCTGGGCCTTGATCTGGCATTCTGATCAAAGCGAGCTTTCTATTACTACAATAGATGTAAATGTGAGTAACGTAATGAATGTTGGTTGTAAAATTAAGTACTTGTAATTTGTGAATAACTAAGCATGCGTATCTGTCACTGTTTTGACATTTGTTAAAAAGACAGTATGATTCACAACTAATCATATCGGTGGAAAAATGTTTTGCTTGTAACTTGTAAACCTTTGAACACAAAGTCTCAACATCGTTGACTAATCTGGTGACAGCCATTTTCTGAGGTGGCACCATGCTTGCGCGAGTCGCGCTCAGGCAGTACACACGCACTCAGTTCTCCTACCCCCAATTGGGTTACCAAAATGCGCGCGCGCCTTGCATTTTAGAATGCGTGCGACTTGAGCGCGAACCTGGTGCTTCTGATTTTGTTCTCCGGATTTGTCTATGGACGTCCATTCCAAGCACACTGGCACTATACTTTCACGGAGGCCCCCTTCAATGGCGACAGCATTGTGCATACTATTGTACAAAGCAACTTGACCTGTGACGGATTATCTGAACAATAGCTAGCACAATGCATTCCCCATTGAAGGGGGCCTTCGTGATAGAGTTGACAGCGTGCCTGGATAGTTCTCTCTCAGATGACGTCATTTCCTACAGACCAGCCACGCGCATCGGCATTTTGAGCGTCAACTTGCATAACGCGCATCGGCTGTGTCGTATTTTGAACACATTTCGAGCAACAGGCATGCATGTTTGGAACATTTTCAACACTGCGCAATGCGTGCTTGATTGCGTAAAATACTCAGTCGCAGTTCTACGGCGGAAATGGCCGTCTCTGAGAGACCTTTTAGTCTGGATACTGATTCCTGTCTACCCTGGGCAGGGACAAACAAGTTACTATCATGTAGCTTGCCCAGGGACATCACATCTACCCGGCTTGTTTGATACCGTCGTGTAAGCACACCTGTTTGCACTCTGGTCACGGAAACCACAATTCTGACGGCGGTAGGTTGTTTTCGTGCTGTATCTTTAAATGCTGTACAAAATGCAAATATGTGTTCCAAGCATGTAAAAATGCCAAAAGTGTTTTTTTAATACAGTGTCCACCACGTCATGCATTAGTAGATAATTTCAGTGTCGGTAATGATTGTGATGCATGTATTTGTAAATGGTCTTAATTAAACAATAATACGTAGAAAATGTGGCATAAAATGAATCTGTACACAAACCTGTTTTTATGTACGTTCATGTGTTAGGCTCATAGATAAAGTTTATGTTCATGTATGCACGCATTAACCTTTTGCCCATGTCCCGTGTGTATGAGGAAGTGGCGCTTACAGGAGACTTGTACACAAAACAAGTTTGTTTGGTCGGGGAACAAGACTTGGGTATTCAAACCAACTTAAGAATACTTCAAGCACACATCAATAGATTGTACAAGGGGTCTTGCATTCATAACACTTTCAAAAATTACTTTTATTTATTAACAGGGTATGTTACGTTTCGACAAATATTTGAAGGTCATGATAGTCATATTATACAACATCGATACTGTGGTAGACATTCGAATTGTAATAATTGTATTTGTTTCGTGTTCATTTCTTCCATTGACTTAATTTATCGCCGAGTACTGCTTCCTTGATTTCAGTTACAGTGATTTCAGTTGCTGTACCATCACAATAATTTTAGCGGCCTAACTGTATTTTGTAGAGTAGTTAACTCTCATATATGATGATTTAATCTTATTTGTGCTTTATCAGTATTAATTTTGTATTGTTTTATGTGCCGTATATAGACTGACGATTAGACTTCAGGACAAGTCGCTAGACAGTTGTGTTTTGTCTGTCGGCACTCCCAATATTTACTAGCACGGCGCCATGTATCGTGTGTATCCTTTGCTGGCCACAACATGTCTCATTGGTATCTACCTACGCGCTTATTGGGGCAGAGGATGCACAAAGCGTCCCTGCAAGTAAGTGCCATGCTGCGCGCTGCCTGTATAGCCCAGGACGGTATGTTGTATCTATCCACATCTGTGTGCGGTGGCCGAACTGAACCCGTCCAATTAACGACTTGATTTCAAGTCTAGCAGATGATTCGTTAGAGTACAATTATGGATGTCATCTAAAATATTGTTCCCCAAAATGTTCAATTCGTAGTTGTTTCTTGCATTGAATAGGCTCAATAGACCTAAAATCTAATGGTGTAATAGCTTTGTTTACATATGGCTTTCCTATGGGAGCGAAGTCGGGACGCCAGACGAAGTAGGGACCGTCTACCATTTTTTGGAAAGCGCACATGTAAACAAAGCATGACGTCATTAGGTCTCAGGCCTATTGTAACCACCTATCAAACTTTGGTTTTTATTCTATTTGTACATAGTGCAGGGAAAAGCAGTCAATTGTTGTTGGCACACTTTTTTCTTGATGGATTATGTTCACAAAATTCTGAATCACAATATTATTATTAAAAAAAATGCTTACATGCTTACTGCCAGCCACTGTATAGTCAATCATGTCAAATGGTTTGTTTGCATATCAAATGGTGGTTTAAATATTAAAATGACAGTGTGGTATTCATGGTTTTTTTTTTCAGGGATTGATAAATTGAAAACTGAGAACAAGTTCATTCGTCGAAAATGTGCCATGATAAACGCTTGTTCACAGAAATATCTTGTGCTATCCTTCTAGATGATTTTTATTAATCAGTTAATTCTTTGTAAATGAAATCTGTTTCTATAGCTGCAGCTTTTTTGTTTTAAATAAGAAAATAGTCTTTTTGTCGTATCATTGAAATCTGTCTTTTGCTTAATAATTAATAATCACGTGATGGGCTTGTTTGCTGAAATTGCTTTATTGTGGAATCTTTTATCTAAATCAGTTTCAATTTCGTAGTACTTTTGCTTTAGGGAGAGAAACTCTTGTACCGATGGTTTGTTGAATTAAAATTGCCACATATTGGAAATGTTGATTTCTGTACATGTAACATCGACAATGCAATGATATTATCGTTTTTTTTCTTAACATCACATTGTTGTTCGTTTGGATGAATGCTGCTTATGTAAGAAATTAAGCTAAAACCTGGGCCAAATTACATGGAACTGCTAAGCACTGAAAATTTGTGCATAACAAAACTGGCTACCAATAAATATGCCATGCAGTGTCTATTACTTCTCGCTGCACACAAATTTGCCGGGCAATATTTTTTTGCTGCACAAAAATTTGCCATGCAATATTTTTTGCTTTACAAAATTTGCCATGCAATATTTTTTTGCAGCACAAAATTTTGCCATGCAATATTTTTTGCTGCACACAATTTTGCCATGCAATATATGTTGCTGTACACAAATTTGCCATGCAATATTTTTGGCAGCACAAAAATTTGCCATGCGGTATTTTTGGCTGCACAAACATTTGTCATGCAATATTTTCGGTTTTAGTGGGTCCATGAAATTGGTAAGAGCTCTTTTTTACAATCGTACATATTTTTGAGGACTTTTTGGTCTCAAACTTATATTTTCATTCACAATATACATGGCTTTTTGTCCCAGGTGCATTATTAAAATGAACAAAAACTTGAAGTATTTTCTCGTCATCTGACAGTACCCCATCACATAATGAAATTTCTTGAAGGTTTTAAATGTCTCAAAAAATAGATATGAATTTTTATGAAAGAAATGTCAAGTTGGAATTGTTGATGATTGTGGTCTTTTATACATTTCTTGTATTATGTATCCAATAGATTTCATTTAGCTAGCTCCAATTGATGTGTTTATATATACTTCCGAGATTTTAGTAATTTTATGCACATTGTAGTGCAATAATAAAAAAAAAAAAAAAAAATTGTGAGGACTGATTTTGTGTGATTTTTTTTTTTAATTTTAAATTTTAGTCCCCCCCCCCTCTAATTTTGTTTGAACTTTTGAAAAGTCAATTCTCCAAAATGTTTTTACAGGGTGTAGATCCTGAGTTTTAAATTTAAATTTTTAGAAAAAGGCCAGGACATCCTCTATCAAATATTACATTTATTACGTCATTGTCATGGATGACTGAGCAAACATTACCAAAGACATCACTTTTAAATCATTATTTTATTGTAAAATACGAAAGGAATGAACGCATATCTTAAATATGTGCAATTTGTACATGGGAATACAATGAACAGCGCCACCACATGATATATGGTGTGAAGACATTTTATTAATTAATAAGCACCTTTGCACTTGGTCATAACCACCACAAACATGGGCACACATTTGTCATTCGTGTTTTACTATACTCTCGAGGACAACGCTTTGTGTTTCCCTTTGTCCCTGTAATATAACACTCTCCCACAGACTAAGCACATAACCGTGCGATAGAGGACCGTTTTCAACAAAGGACCCAACTCCTGAGGACTGAAAGGATCTGTTGTTCTCCCTTTATGTGTCGGTCCTCGGAGGTTATGTAAAACACGTACAGGCAATGCATGTGCTTCGACCATGGTAGCGGGTTTCCCACAATGCTGTCTGTTTCCTTCAGAAAATGTGGGTAAGATTATTTGCTGCCAGTGCCACCAACACTCTTGGATAGGGGCAGTGGGTTTTAGCAAAAATGCACCCACCCCTTCCCCAAGCTCAAACACAATTCCTGAACATGCTCGTGTGCTATCGTGAAATTACATTACTCGCAATTACCGCTTTCGATTAATCCCCTCGCGCTTACCCGTACTTTCGTCTTGGGTATAGATGCACATGCGCAACCGGACTGGGTCAAGAGGTCATGTGGTGATTAAATCCCCTTTGCAAGATGGATTCGAGCTATCGGAAGCAACCATGGTGGCCACTGTACATGCTCTTCCATACAGAACAAGAAATGCCGAGTATGTTTAAAATTAACTCAACTTTCCTCCCGTCGTCTAGTACTAGTGTGAAGTGAAGCTGAGACACTTTTCAATCCCCCACCGCCGCAGCGTTATAGACTTAGCCGACACGTTATCACATTGTATTGTGGGATACTTACCCAAGTAACGGGCTCAGCGGGACGGTTACTGGGGCCAGGCTGGAGTAAGCGCCAGAAGTCACGCGAGAGTTAAATTGAACGCAGCTGCTTGCACGAGTAAGCGTGGGGGTAGTAATCGAACGCGCTGAATAAACATGCTTTTTCATACTACTAATACAATGTCTAAGAGTTGTAAAAAACTAAATCAATGTTATATCTAAGATCTTTATGAAATGATAAACATTTTATATAAAATATCTACATTTAGACTGGCTCTTTTGCTTTTGTACAAGTATTTACAAAGTCTACATATGACAGGACTTTTGGTCACAAACATGCCATTTCTTCTCTTTGTATTGTGCATAATTTGTGAATGTTTCTCATCTGTAAAGCCCTTCAATTTGCTAAGCCCAGAATTAATTTTCTTTGGGCAAAAACAAGATTGTAACCATAACATCTTGTGAGGTACAAAATTAGATTCCTGGCTGAATAGATTACAAAATCTTCCTTTTCTGTTTTTGTTTTAAATTTTTTATTTTTTATAAATCTTTTTAACCCTATTAGCTTCCGCAGTTTTTTTTCAACAAGAATCTAGTTTGGAGAATGCATGACTTTTAACTTAAAAAATGCACAAGTATTCTGTGACAAAACCTGTGATTTTCCTGTGAACATTTCCATTTCAAAAGGCATGAATTTTCCTTAACAAAATACAGCTCGATTTGAACCCTTAAGTCACTGTAGCGCCCAAAACCGCCCTGCCTATTACTCACTGTAGCATTCGAAACCCCTTGAGCACTCTATGGTTTCACTGATTCTTTAGTGAGTAAACACAATGTATAATATAAGTCTTTACAATCTGAAGATGTTCCACTAGGAAGGAAAATGTTAAAACCCGTACATAAACTAAGTGCTTAGGCACAAAAAAAAAGTCTCCGGTTTCTGGTATGGAGCTTGCCCCAAAAGTGGTGCGGCGACGCGGCTTTTTTTTTTTTTTTAACCTGTTTTTTTTTTTTTTTTTGGCTTCAAATGTCGGCTGATGACTGCAAATGGTGCCCGACTAAACTTAGTGCAAATATATGGGAGTCCAGAGAGGCCACATAAAGCTTATTCTCGATCATAACCCCATCTAAAAACACGTTAAAATTGTGCAGCAGCAGAATTCCAGTCAAATCAGTGAGTTTGGCGGTTTTGAGACATCATCTTGTATTGAAAAAAAACTTTTTCATTTTGCCGACGCGCATGGCTGCGGCGACGCGCGCGCATACCAGAAACCGGAGACTTTTTTTTTTTGGCCTTAGCTGACTTTCCCCTATGACCTGATGCTAATAATCATGAATTTAACAAAACTCAAGAAACTCACAATATGAATGCCGGTAGATACATTCCAACTTACCTTCTATTTACAACTTAAAATGATGCATAGCGTTTCATATGTTTTTATTATATTTCCTCCCTGACTTTTTCAAAGTATCAAACTTACTACATGTACTCTAATTAAACATACTAATGAATGCATAGATCATTTTACCTGAGACTGCCAGATCTACAATGCATTATGTGATGAAGTCGAGGCCCGCCCTTTTTGCCCTACCTAATAAAACTGTCTATTTTAATTATGCAAATATGCTAATGAATAGCATGCATGCTGCATAAGTGAATGCATGCTGCACTGCCTGCTTTGCTCCACCCTTACTAAACATTTTCTATTTTTGATTAAATATGCTAATAACTTGATAGAAATAATTACCTGAGCATGTCAAATCAATTTGGATAAAAATGCCCCGCCCACTTTAACCTGCCCTACCTCACCCTATCAAACTTTGCATTCTAATTAAATATCCTAATGAATGAAAGATTTAAATCCGCTGCATGTCAATTCAGTTTGGTTGAATATGACCCGCCCATTTTGTCCCCCCCTATCTCGTCATTCCAAACTTTCTTTATCAATTAACTTTGCTAGTGACTGAATTGATATAATTACCAGAACATGTCAAACCAATTTTGGTGAATATGCTCTGCCCCGCCCACGTTGGCCTGCCCCGCCCTAACCCACCTCATAGGCTACATGAATATGGCATCGATTGTGTTTGTATCCTCCTCGAAATCCAGCGATGTGGGTGTGTCCATTGGCCTGATGACATCACCGTCAAAGGTGAATTTGATTCTATGCAGGGGTTGGCCACAGAATGTGCTATACTCCTCCATTAGCGTCTGCAAGCTGTCATTCTGGAAGGGAAAACATCAGATTGGTTTATGTCAAAGTTGTAAGCGAGTCATCACATGTCAGTAACTAGTCACCAGATGTCAAATCAAAAGTTATCACGAGTTATCACAAGTCAATCGCGAGTTATCACAAGTCAATCACAAGTTATTTACAAGTCAAACACAAGTCATCAAAAGTTATCACAATTCAAATTCATGTACATGTCATCACAAGTCAAATACAAGTCATCACAAGTCATCACTAGTCAATCAAAAGTTATCACAAGTCAATCACAAGTTATCACAAGTTATCACAAGTCGATTACAACTCATCACAAGTTAATCACAGGTCAATCACAAGTTATCACAAGTCAATCACAAGTTCACAAGTCAATCACAAGTCAATCACAAGCTATCACAAGTCAATCACAAGTTATCACAAGTCAATTACAACTCATCACAAGTTAATCACAGGTCAATCACAAGTTATCACAAGTCAATCACAAGTGTACAAGTCAATCACAAGTCAATCACAAGCTATCACAAGTCAATCACAAGTTATCACAAGTCATTCACAAGCTATCACAAGTCAACCCCAAGTTATCGCAAGCCAATCACAGGTCAACGATCACAAGCTTGCCGAGAATTCACAAGCAATTCCAACTGCATTCTATTGTAAGATTATACATGCCATGGAACTTTCTGTGCGTAACAGTTTGAGGTTCCTCAGCCAATTTGGAATTCCTAAAATTTGAACAGTTATTTTCTGTTTGCAGAAATCTTGCAATATTTACTGAGCTTGAGTAGCTTACTTACCCTGCGTATTGTGGTGGTCCTTGTGGATTTCTTCTCCATTCCTTGAATAGTCACTTCCACAATTTGTTCTGGAGCTGTGACCACACTTTCCGGCTCGACAATCAGACAGTCTGCATTTGAAGAAAAGCATAAGATGCACTGTTTAAAATACATGTCTAAACACGGAAAAATCTTCAGGCAGGTTGACAGAAATTCGCATTAAATACATGTACATCATATTCATTCATGTGATGACTACAGCACAGGTGCAAGACTAGAACGGGGAAGCTGCCATGGTTGCTGTCGAAGGCTGGAAGGAGGCTGAAGGCAGGGTTGGGCATGGGCATGATGGAAGGGGATCAGGATTCAGAATGATGTACCAAGGTGTAGGGGTTGGTGTTTTATATGCCAACAATAAAAGTCAAAGTGTGTACATGTGCGTGTTTATGGTGCAAATCGAGGACACACACGTGCAACATCATCGATGAATCGAGGACAGAAACCGAATCGAGGACTCCTCAGTTGGACAAACGTGTACAAAACCAATGAGAGCTGTTGCGAACAAGTTAAAGTACAAACAAAGGAAAAGGGAAGAGGAACAAATGAAAATCCTCGATTTACACCATAAACAAACGTGTCTGTACATGTACCACATCACCACACTTCCCCCCACTTACCCCACCCCAACTTTCTTCACGGAAGCCCTGTTGGCTTCGCATTTACAAAAATGTGAAACAGCAAGATGAATTATTATGGAGAAAAAAAAACTGTAGCTGCTCAATGACATTGAAAGGGTGCCAAAAAGTGTGCTGCAAGGAATTGTGCACTTGCCCATCTACGTCACTCACCGATGATGTCAGCGATGTGCAAGTCCATGGAGCGTGGCGTGTCAAACTCACTGACATCCTGTCCGTGTCGGGTCAGCCGGACACAAGCTCTCCTGACTCCTTCCCTGCTGGCTATCTCATCAAAGACTTTACTGAAGGCATCTGACTGAGAAATTCAAAAACACAAAACACAGGATAGCTCTGAGGCTTTGCAATGTGGAGTATCAGTATCGTTTCGGTTTGCGGTAGAGCTGCTTAGAAGATATTTAGTTCTGAAAAGATCTTGTCCTGCTTATTATCAACTTTCGCTTAGTAGTTTTTGTTCTGATAAGAACAGTCCTGCTTTAAGTTCTAAGACAAGTTCTGTTAGAACTTAAAGCAGGACTGTTCTTATCAGAACAAAAACTACTTAGCGAAAGTTGATAATAAGCAGGACAAGTTCTTTTCAGAACTAAATATCTTCTAAGCAGTAGTTATTACCACATGGTGTTACCGCAAAATGAAATGATACAGGATAGCTCCTTTAACACCGGATGCGTGCATTACTAATATTCCCAGTGTCCATTACTATGGGTTCCATGCACAGGTAGTCTTTCAATGGCCAGAAAAGGAGAGTTTGGGGGGAGACCTAGACTGGTTCCCGGTCCATCCATCCTGAACTTCGAATGTATCCGTAGTAATAAGAGACGGGGATAGGTCGGGGAGACCATCAAAATGTATCTATGAATGCATTCGCGCACCGATGAAGCCTGATGCTCACGCGAAGACGCCTCGGCTTAGCTTTGGCACATTCAGGATAAATAAGTCATCCGTACCTCGCAGGCGAAATGAGTACAGTATGCACACGTTGTGTGTCCCGTACATGGGGCTCTCAAAAGTGGTACAAAAGCACCCTCTTTTGTTGGCGCACGGAGCCCATAGTTTTGTATTTTAAAGCCACAGATTTTGGAGTGTGAAAAATTACTTTCCAAAATTGATTACATTCCATAAGTATGAAGCACGTGTTGTAGAGTTGTTAATATCGGCAGATCTGCCCAATTTGGATCACAGGTTGGCTGTGTTCTCTAAATTTTGTTTTTGTAAATTTCTTTTCTTTGGTCGTTTGTTATTGTTTCAGTAAATGACAGTCAGCCAATGAGCAAACTTTTCTCAAAAATGTTTTCACTGAGCAAATAGTGTTTAAAGGGAATATACATCATTTGCTTTTGCTGTAATTTTCAGAAATGGATGGAATTGGGGGGTTGGAAATATATAGCAAATATAGTTACACTGACTTTTTTTAGGTTTTGGGTTCGAAAATGCTATAAAAATCAAGAAAAACAATCATTTTCCTGTAGTCTGGTTCCCTGACTCCATATAAGAAGAAACAGAGCAGTTTACATACATTGGGGAATTGTAAGGTCAGGGAACCAGTCTAGCTGGCTCGTACCCGTTCATAGGTGTGTAATCGATTGCAAACAAGTGCGATGGTCAATTGGGGCCAGTATTTGAAAAAAAGCCAGTTTTTTCCCAACGCTGGTCGGCCGACCAGCGTTGGAAATTAATACAAAATACCACTTTTCTTGAAAATGACAGTATACCAGGTGCCATGATTTTACAGGATGCTTTACACTGTCATTCACTAACAGTCCAGCAAGGTATTTCAAAATGATTTGGTAGTTTTATTTTTTGATGTTTGCAAATGTTGTATTTTCCCTTTCAGTTCATCTGCTGTGGACAGCGTTCCTTAGATGGTGTCCATTCCCCCCCCCCCTTCCCCTGCCAACATCCATGAAACTGAGCCTCATACCATCTGTAGCGGGAACCTTTGGATCCCGTTCCGGGACCGGACTTTGACAGTGATAGAGTTACGGACACGGCGAGTTGGCGGCGAGGAGTCCACGTCAATGATGGCGATGGATCCACCGGGGGTCCTAGAGGCAGGGGAGAAGGCATCATCAGACTGGGAAGAGACCTCGCTCTGGATGCAGCGCACGTTGGTTAAGGCTACGTTGATGCTCCTGGTTTGAACAAAAAAAAATTGAAATCTTCAAGTAACAAATGATCTTTACTTGTTCGATGGAATTTTTGCATAAGGGAGATGGACATCATATTAATACAAACTCCCTAGGCATTTTTGCTAGGATGTAACCTCAATCCTGCAAAATCCTTCAACTGCCTCCATGTAAAAATTGTATACAGCCTCAATCCTGCAAAATCTTCTGTTATTTCTTGAATGTGGCCCTTGGAGGGGTGACCACTGCCTCAATCCTGCAAAATCCTCCAGCAATCACTGTCAATATGTCGAGGCAGAGCCAGTGACATCCTGCAGCAGTGCGGAGGATTTCAAGTATAATCTAGGCCTAAATTTACGCACGGCTGAGCATAAACAGCAAAGAGTCCGGCCTAAGACCTTGACACAGTGCATCCTCTAAAATCAGCCTCATATTTTTGCCATATAGCCTCAATTCAGTGAAATCCTCCATTTTGCAAAGAGAGTTTGGGAAGGTTAGGGTTAATAGGTTTTGACTTTGACTGACGTAGTTGTACAAGCGCTGTTCAATCTCCAAGAACTTGCTTGTAAAAAGTCACGAGCTTGCTTCGGTGAGATTTCAACCGACGACATCCTGCTTTATATCAATGAGGTATTGACCACTTGCGACAGAATTTCAACTTGTACCATCAACAATATTTACCTGAGGACCATGGAGGTTTCCCGATCAGGAACGGGCAGCCTCTGGGCCACGCTAGCCGGGTCAAAGGGCGGTGGAGGGGAGCAGGGGGAATCAACCGACCCGATATGGGTACTCGTCTTTGGGGTCCTGGAGTAGAAATTTCAATTGAAAGAGGAACATACAAAAGTATGAGCTCCGTGCGCTAATAAAAGAGGGCGCCCTTTTACCTAACAACGACGTCCCATGGGCGGGACATTTAGCTGGTTGACGTGCACCGTGCCTTGTGTGTGACGCACGTACACCAGGGGATTTGTACTATGTACACACAGTGGTACATATACGGCCGCGTGTCGCGGTAAAATTGCAGTCAGGCAAGATGGCGTCGGTCCGTCACCCCTAACTGTGCTTCCTTTGCCGGTGAGGGGGTACTTGTGAACGGAGCGGATAGGATCCATTTATAAGCACCCCCTCAACAATGATAAAAAGAAGAATATGACAGACACTTAAATGCCATTGCTGTGGTGTGTCTTGGAAACGCTGTGGATCTATGCACACAAAGCTGGAAATCGGTTGTGCGTACGTTGCGCCATACACATGCAAACAAATCTGCGCACGTGATTTCTCACGAAGGGTCACACAGAAAAATCAACTTGAGCAAATTATTACTTCACTGGTCTAGAGTTGTAAATAAATCAAGTCAATCACAAGTCTATTACAAGGGCAATTCCACGGTAACTCACGTTACACTTGCAGCAGATTTTCTGTTAACTCTGCGCTGTTATTCTATAAAGTCAAGGGTGAATTTTTCTTACAGAAGATCCCTTGAAGTTCAGTGACTAAACTACAACCCAAAAAATGAACGTCTACTGGTTTGGCATTGTTTTATCATTTTTTTAATGGTTTTCTCTTCCTTAACCCTAACTCCCCAGCATAATTTACTAGGAACCATACCCATTCAGGCAAATTACAACACTCACATGGGAAATCGTACACACACACTGTTGGACTTAGTTTCTGGAGGTATGCCAAACCCAATGTAAAAGACCATCAGTTTAGGGCTACTGTACTTATCCCAACAGATTTAAACAAAACCTGCTGTTGAACTTTGATGGGTTGAGTTCGGTTAGGGTTAAAAACAAAAACCCACAATGACACCTGATTTTGCATGTAAAAACAAGGTGCCAAAATGACTGCCTAAAATCCATATTAGGCTAAAAAAACCAGGTTTTTTTTTACCAAAACGAATACACTTCTCACTGGCATGTCATTCAAATGAAAGGTCTTGTTGTCCCCTTTAGTTTGATACCACATTGGGATTATGGCGCTTGAAAAGTTGAGAATTTCACAAATTTTTCCAGCCATTTCCACATTCTCATGGAAATATCCACAAGTCAGTTTCAAGTCAAATCTCAAGTCAGGAATGCATTTTCACATTTCATTTGAATTTTTTATTGCTTGACTTGAGACTGGAGAAACTGGCATTGAAGTGAATAAAAAGTCTAATACATGTTTACAGAATTCAATTTAATTCCTTTTTTACCCAGGATAATTCAAGCTTTCCTCATCGTCAGAGTCCAGGTAGATAGGCCTGCTTGGTTTTTTGTTCCGGGCGCTTCTCTTTTTGACGTGTCTTTTCTTCTTGTTGATTGGCTGTATGTGTAATTCCTCATCGTCCACGTCATCTGTAGACAACGATTGAAAAAAAAGAAAAAAGATGTCAAAGATTTTCATGAATTTCTCTGTTATAGTCATGTTGGTGCAGTGGTGCATTTCTTCACCTTTCACCTCTATGGCCCGGGTTCGATTCCTGCCTGGTCCACATGTGGATTGGGTTTTCAGTCCCTACCTGATTCCGTGGGTTTTCCCCAGAATATTCTTCTGGGGTTTTCCTCCCACCTCTAAAACTGTAATTTCTTCATTGTCTTCTCTCTACAGGTTTTCTTCAGGCTTGCGAGCTACAGAGCCTAGGGAGCTTTTGAGGAATCCTTGGTATTATACCAGAAATAAATAATGAAAATTGAAGAACATAAATGCTGTTCTCGTAGTCTGGCTCCCTGACTCTACTTCAGACAAAACAATTTATAGACGTCGGAGAATTGTCAGGTCAGGGAACCAGATTAGCTGGCTTGCAAACAAAATATGGATTAACTAAATTTTGGTAAATTGGGGGCAGCATTTGGAAAAAGTCGTCGGCCGACCATCGTTGGAAACTGATACAAATGTTTCACTTTTCTTTAAAATGACAGCACACCAGATGCCATGATTTCACAGCATGCTTGAGAGTATTATTCACTTATATAGTCAAGTAAGGTATTTCATCATAATTTGGTAGGTTTTTTAAAAAGTTTGCAAATGTTGTATATTACCTTTAACCATTGTTGCACATTCATTGCTGGATGAGTACGTATGTACAGGTATGGTACCCATATCAATCTAAATGCATCCAAACTTATTTTAATACCTGAATCAGCGATGTTCTCGTTGATTTCTGGGAGTTTCAAGCTCTCGGCAGCATGGGAGTAGATGTTGCATTTGACCTCCCCGACCGGCCGAATGTAATGCCTCTTCTTTGTCACAGCACGTCTCAATTTCGGAGTAATCTCCTCCTGAATCAATAAATAATACCGACTGCATGATTTTATGTACTTTTGAGAATTAAAAAAACAAACTTTATCCATAAGTTCATACCAAATTAGAAAAAGGACTGAATACAATGTAAGTGCTATAATTTATTTGGAATAACGCTAGCTTTTACTCTGATACACTCACACTCACAGATAACGTGTGCAATAATTAAAATGAGTCACACTTTCCCTTTCTCAAGGAGTATTTGTTATTACGCAAGTTTACTTTTTTTCTAGGTAAAATTATTGGAGGATAGACGTATGATTCTATATCAATAACTTCTTTCCAGTTTGCCAAAGTTGGGGTATTAAAGTCAGATCTGAAAGATTTTTCATTCAGATGCCTTTCTTGCAATTCGATCAAAATTCAATAATAAATTGATTCCCTGATCACAAACTCATGCAATGCAACACCATTTTGAACCACCCTCCCTCCCCCCAAAAAACCCTAAAATTAACTAAAAAAAACAAACAAACAAACAAACACAAAAACAAAAAGCCATCCCGTTCCCCTCCAAACAAAAAATAATATTAATATAATAATATAAAATAACACCACAGTTTTGTAAGTTTCTTTCATTTTTGTTTGCTTTGCATTAAGTTTTTATCGTCAAATCTGATCTTTTTACCGATCTGTAAAAGAAAGCCAGCATGGCTGATATGAATTATAAAGGCCTATTACTATTAGCAATTTAGAGAAAGCCTCCCTGAAAATGAAAGTTTTAGGCCTAAAGTTACTCAATTAAAACCGGCACCCGCCCAAATATCCGCTGCCTTAAACTGTTAAAATTAAGTTGATATTGTACTAAAAAGTTGTAGGCCTAGGCCTCTTCAGCGCAAATTTGGACCTCGCGCAAATTTATTGTCCTTATTTATAAAGCATGAGCAGTTCAAATGAGGGTCCAAGACTGCGTTGAACAGGCCTACAAAAGTTTAGCACGTCTAACAACATTAGGCCCCTACAAAAAAAACCAAAAATATTTAATCATGTTGTTTACTTTTGTTTTACATGATTTAGCCTATCAAATTAATCACACGTAAATAAATATTTTGTCTGGCGTTAAATGCAAATTATACTTAATTCACAATATTCTATAATACAGCCCGGTCTGTCTATAATCAATCACAACATTTGTTGGAATCACGAATTTAAAACTGACCTGTTGAAGCCCATCGTCGCATTTTGACAAGTTTGAAGAATCCGCCATGTTTACCGTGAATTTCCGCAGTCTGGTGTCCATATTCGCAGCGATGACATGTCCTAGCCACTCCGTTTACAGCGGGGAAAATGATTAGTCTAGGTACCAGTCTTCCTGTCTGTAGTGCAGGTCACGTGGGTATTAGTGAGCAAGATGTCGGACGGTGAGTATTTACTGCGCAATAGCCGTAGCCTTGTTGCCGTTTTGTGATTGGACAATAACGACGTTGTGTTCAATGGATGTACGTATCATGTACATTACGTACGGGCGTGTACATACTTATACAAGACCAGATCTTGCAGGATTTTTTTGTGACATATACGCGCAGGAACAACTTTATCATTTCACAAAACCCATACGTGTGAAGATCTTGACAGTTCGATGTAAAATGGAAATGGCATGATCTTATCCAAACACATCGCAATGATTCGTTGGACAATTGTGCATAAAGCAGTTGGGAATGGAAGAATAACTTCTTTCTTTTAGATTTTTTTATACATCTAAATTTATTAATTTTATATAGGCCTATACACATACATACTTTCTTTAGAACAAAAAAACCTTATTTTATGCATCTAAATTTATTAATTTATACATATACACGTTTGCGTATAAAATTTGATCCCTGGTTTCTTTTTAAGTATTGTTTTAATTTTAAAATAAATCAACCCCTTTCTTCATTCATTCATTCATTCATTTTTATTTTGCCAATATAAAAACCAATACATGAAACGCACGTCGTACTCGCGTACGTTGGAGTTATTCAACTGCGAACAAACGAACGTCGTTAATCGTCCAATCACAAAATGGCAACAAGGCTACGGCTATTGCGCAGTGAGTATTTGGGTGTGAGTTAAATGACCGCAGAATTGCCCCGAAAATCTGACTTTTTCTTTATTTTTCTGTCCTCAAAATTTATACAATAAGACTTGATGTTACTATGATATTATTGTTGGTTTTTCGATTTAATTGGCAAACGGAGCGACTCCCAATTTTGTCATTGAAAACGGACTCTGTACAAAATCTACTCATACTATTGGGTCTTTATTATAGTCACAAGAGGGCGCTCTACCGAATCAAAACAGTTACAGAAAAAGTAGGCTTTTGTCTTAATATTATTTATTAAGGCGTCGAATGCAGCTGTCAATAGATCTTTGAATTGTTGATAAACTGTACGGGATAACGAAATGGATTAACTTTTAGTATTGCTAAATTATCATGATTATTTCAGAAATTGATCATATGTTTTGACTTTTTTTTGGCAGTGGATATTTAGCCGGAAACCGGCTTTCTTTAGTATAAAATAGTAAACGATATTTTGTTGGATAGGCACTGAACATGCGCAGTGACCCTTTTTCTGGGGGACTTAGAAATTTTTAGTTTACCGTGGCAAATCTTAGTCTGGTTTTGCCCCAACATTGTTGTTTTGACTTTGTATCCACAAGATGGGAATCGGACCATTTTTACAATTTCAACCTTTATTTGCCTTTAAAAAAAAATCCTCCAGAGCCATGAATCAGAAAAACAAAATGTGATTTCTCTGCTATTAAATGTTGGAGTCAATTTAAAATAATAAATATTCTTAATTTTTTGGATGAAAATAGTTGAACCAGGGATCTCTCACTCATGAGCTATACGCGCTATCCGCTCAGCCACAGGTGCTGCTCAACTGATGGTAATTTAACCCTTACTCTCTGAGGGTAGTTTACTGCATGTCAGTTGGTTATGCCAATGCCCTCCAGCTGCAGTTTATTGGAGGATACTTTGATGTAGCAGTGAAGGCTCCAATTGGCAGGAGTTGGAGGCCCTGGAGGGTGCCTGATACTGACCAGCTGGGGGCACTTGATTGTTATCAGAGGACTCTCATTGTTCTCTGTGGCATGTATTGGAGTGCCTGTCCAGTTACCCTTGAAATGACATGGCAGATATTGGAGGGCCATGCAAAAAACATAGGAGATTTTCTTGAGGCACACATTGGCATGCGTTGGAGGGTCTAGTAGGGTAAGGGTTAATACCTTCTATAATGTAGGCTACTCGTGTACTCGTCAAAGAGGGCAGGTACAATCTAGTGGGCTTAATATCCAGCTAAGCATCCACTATTCTGTTTTTTTTAATCCCGATTTCTTCCCACAGCTGAGGTGGAGAAGTTGCAGCGTCATTTGGACCTGCTGCGGCAGGAGTACGTCAAGCTGCAGAACCGCCTCGTCGAGGTCGAGCAGAAGTACAATGTTGCCACGGCGACGGCCCAAGGTGGCAGGGCCGGAGGCGCTGACAATGAGGAAAACTTTGTCTCCCGGCTGCTGGGGACCATTGCTGACCTTTTCGACAAGGAGCTCTACAGGTAGGAAATAGTCCAAAAACAGGGTGACCGTAAGGTCAGAGCCAAATTCTGCTAAATGCACATCAAAATTCTGTCAGATTTATCAGAAATCTGCCAAATTCCTCAGAATCACTCGAAATACACTTTACACACTTAAAATCACATGCAGATTGGTAGTATTGCCTTAATTAATGTTCAAATTACATTATAAACAATCTATATTCACATAAAGATGTTATGAAATTATCACGTAATTTCGGGCAAAACGCGGATCTGGCCATGACGAAGTCTGTTTTTCCAGTGAGCCTCAGCACCTAGACCAGCCAACCTGTCCCATCCCCATTATGCAAGGGCTTGTTTGAAAAGGATTGAAGCTTTTTTAAACAAATGTACCATTTTTGTTATCAAATTTGCTGTTTTTCTGTCAAAAAAACATTTTTGCAGAATTCTGCCAGAAATCTACCAAAAAAATCCATTCTGTCAAATTTTCTGTCAAACTCGTTTTTAACAAAAATTCTGTCAAAGTTCAATGGTCACCCTGTCCAAAAATTAAGGTCTCTATGTGTAAATGTTGAGCGGGGTTGGTGGATCTGCGATATCAGTCAGTTGCTCAGAAATGCACTTGCGCGTTCGGTCGATCTTGTAGGAAAGCTCAGACTTTACTTCCCTTTTTCGAAACAATCCTCCAGAGCCCTGGATTAGAAATAAAAGGTATAAATCGACTGATGGCTGCGCTATCGACCGATCGGGCACATCAACTGATCGCACACAACACAAATATAGAAGAGAACAGGGTTCGACCTAAACTTTTTGTTCACTAACCAGCCGGACTACTGAAACAGACTCTTAACTAGCCCGCGGGCATTTTCACTAGTCCGCATGCTTTTCTTTTATAGAGTGTCTCATAACAACAATGTGCAGACATGTAAAAAGGTGTATCCTGAGGCAATCTTGTCAGTGTTTTTAATAAACACATCTAATAATTTAACCCTAAACATTTAATAAAATTAGACACAAAGTGATACAGGTTTTGCTTTCTGAATTTAATGATTTATTTGTTCCTGTCCTTTCATCTTTGCCGTTGCCCTATAGTTTTTGTCTAGCCAGCCAGGCTACTTAAGGAATAGTTTGATTAGCCCGCCGCTGTTTTGACTAGTACCGGTATTTGGCTAGCTGAAGCTGAAGTCTAACCCTGGAGAACTAATAGAAAAACTTGTAGAAAGGTATAAAAGCACGCAGAAAAATTTGTAATGGAAATGTGCCTACCCAGAAATGTACCTACCAATTTAAAGGGAATATACAACATTTGCAAACATCGAAAAATAAAAGTACCAAGTTTTTGCGAAATACCTTAATAGGATGTTGGTAAATGACAGTCTAAAGCATCCTGTAAAATTATGGCACCTGGTATACTGTCATTTTCAAGAAAAGTGGTATTTTTGTATCAATTTCCAACGCTGATCGTTTGCTATATATTTCTAACCCCCCAATTCCATCCATTTCTGAAAATTACAGCAAAAGCAAATGATGTATATTCCCTTTAACAACAAAATCCTTGCTCAAAGTGAAGATATGACTGGTACCAAATACCTTGTGAAATTATTCCGCCTGAAATGGTATCATTTGGAAGAAAACAATCATTGGAGGTGGTTTAAGAAAGTGTGCCCTCGGGCACGGTGTTTTTACGTGTGTTTAATAGCAATGGAATCCAGTTACAACAGCTCAGTACGTCTTCTCATTTTTTTTTCAACTGTTTAGTTTCAACTGAGCTGAAGCGTGAACAAGTTAATTGTTATTAACCCTTCTTAAGATGTTGAGCGATGTTGTTGCTTCAAACGAAAAAGAAATGCACAAAACGTAAACGATCGTATGTACCTTTAATTGCATATTTGTTCCTTTAACTGTTTAAAAGGTCACAAACAGTCAAAGTTTTGTTCCGCTTCCCCTGATATACTTTTAATACACCAATGGTCACTTGACCAATGTTGACCCAAGTAACAGCATGGCTCAGAATGCATGTTTGCATAGGAGGGTTAACTGCATACATGCATACTTTAATATTCCAGCCTTTGTATTTGGGGAATTTCATCATTTTAACAAACTTAATTGCATAACCAAAATTGTAGGGTATACTGAACACCGCTTTACCGAACATTCGGCTATACTGAACATCATCCGTGGCACCCAGTTTTACTGTTCAAAAGGAACCGAACATTGTTGTTGAAAAAAGTCAACAGGTTAACAAAAAATCTTTCGGATATATTAAATGCTTTTGAGTCACTTTTAATTCCTGAACATCAAATAAAATAAAAGGGAAAACTACCCGTTGCTAAAGTTTCGTGACGACTCCTCGTGTAGCCTTGGGATGTGAGAAATGCCAGTTCACTATTGGTCAAAAGAGCTCACTGGCGATTCAAAATCGCTATACTGAAACGATCGTTATTACGAACACTTTCTGTGGATCCCACGATATTTGTTATAGCGGCGTTCCACTGTATTTTGAAAATATTTTTATTTCCCTTTCATTTTGTGTCCTTCAGTGACTTGGTGGTGTATCTGGACGGCAAGGAGATCAAGGCTCACCGCTTTGTCCTGGCGGCCCGCAGCACCCACTGGGGCGTACCTAACCTGTCGGAGGTCAACACGCTGGACTTCACAGGTCAGTGGTTACAAGGGGTCAGAGGTCAACACACTTTGGGTGAGTTCGAGTAGCTAACCCGCATCGACTTGGGTAAAAGCAGACGGGTTAGCCACTACAGCTAAACTGCGGGCAGCATCAATCACGATCCTCACATGATGTCCATAGCAACGGCTGTAGCCACTAGGTTTTAGTTTCAGATTAACTGCTTTTCCGTCAATTGAAAAAAAATAACAAAGTTGGGCTGGAATTATAGCCTCTAAAGTCGCAATGAACTCAATAAATGATTACCTTTAGACTTCAATAAAGTACATTTTCGAGTCCACTTGAGATTTCCGTCATCCGGCTGCCATATTTGTCCGTTTTTTGGAATGAACAATGCATGTGTGTGATGTATTTCCACCACTGACTCTGCTCCATGAGCAGGGTCTGTGGTGGCTGACCCGGGTGAGCCCCAAGAATGACGGCAGAGCTAAGCGAATGGCACAGGGCTGACCCGAGTTGATCCGGGTGAGCTACACGAACGCACCCTTTGTAGGTCAGTGGGTGGGAGGGTCAGAGGTCATCACACTTTACAGGTCAGTGGGTTGTTAACCTCATACTGCAGTGTTACAGCCTAGTTACCCCTTAAAGGTACATATTTGTCAGGAGATCGTCTGTCCTAGATTCACCAGGGCCCAGAAATCTGAAATACCTACTGAACTACCATGACTACTGGATTGAGTACAGTGACTTAAGTACAAGTCAATTGCTTTCTGTGACCAGACTAGACCAGTGATCTGGTGTTTTTAAACACTTCTGATCAACATGTATTTCTACCTTTGAAGTTTCTTTTGACAAAGTCAGATATGAATCTCTTCACCTTCATTTCATATTTTCATCTCCATTGCTCTGGCAGGAGCTTGTACGTGTCTCTTGGTGGTCGGTTGGTCTGTCTGTCTGTCTGTCTGTTCCCGAAAAATGGACCAAAAGTATGGTGTTCCATATGTGCCATCGACGTCGCCTTTTTCACCAGGGCTTATTGTGCACTCGCACTTGTTAACAATAAATGAGAATGGCCTTACACATAAGTCGGCATTAACTAAATGTTTCTTGGTACCCTGCTCTACAAATTTGAATTTATATTTGAAAGGCTAAAGTCAGTGATGTAGTGCCTTGATGCTGGGCCTTGGCCTTAAGGCTGCCTTAAGGCTGGATTTTAGGGCCTTGGCCTTGGCCTCGAGGCTTGAGGGCAAAAGCCTTGGCCTTGGCCTTGGCCTTGAGGGTTCAGGGCCTTGCAATTTTGAGTCAAGGCTCTTCAAGGCCCATAGATATTTGCATTTTCCAGATAAATCTGTTCGAAATTTGCTGTTACCATTTTAATTGTATTACCATGGAGGAGGGAAGCACCCTGTAGATTTGTGTGTTGGGCACACTTCCACTTTTGTAGCATCACATTTTGTTACCATTGTATTAGATTTGCTGCAAAAATATTCCGTTCACTTGTGGGGCTAATGAGATGATCACTTTAATTGCATATAACTATGGAATAGATCTGATTGGTTGTATACATGTATGTCTCCCTGATAAGTGCTAAAGATTTGCATGTATCTGTTTTAGATAGTGCTGATATTTCTGACCATGTTAGGCCAGCAAATAAAAAATTCCCAAATCAGTTTCTTGGATCCCCCTTTTGTTACACTTGGGAGAATTGTGTGTCAATAAGTAAATCATTATTTTGTTTAGTTAAACCATATTGAAGACCTGAACTTATACTTTAATAGATACAGTGCAGTCATAAAATGGTGTAGGCCTATGCGAGCATGTTGATTGCAATTAAAGAAATGTTGTTCTTCGTAACAAGCAATTCGTGATGATAAGGGCGGATCCAGGGGGGCCAAAAGGGGCCACCCCCCCCAAAAAAAACGAAACCATTTTTTTTTATGTGACGTCGTAATAAAGGCAGGCAATGAGTACACCACCATCTTTTCCTCACAAAACATCGGTTAAAATGGTCAGAAATTGCCTCAAATCGCACCACAGAGCATCTCGAATCCAAATTTTTTTGGGGGCCCTTAAGCGGGCCCCGAAGCCCAAGCCGTCATATTTTGACCCACTTTTTTGGGGGAGACCAAAATTTCTTTGCCCCCCCCCCCCCCAAATTGTGTTCTGGATCCGCCCTTGCGTGATGATGTGTCACTCATGTGACTATAATTAGTTCTATATCAGTGGTCATTTCATAAAACAGGGCCTTTGCCTTGGCCTTGGCCTTGAGGGTTAAGCCTTGGCCTTGGCCTCGAGGCTTGAGGGTCAAAGCCTTGGCCTTGGCCTTGAGGGTCAAAGCCTTGGCCTTGGCCTTGAGGGTCAAAGCCTTTGCTCCAACACTGGCTAAAGTTGATTTTCACTTTCTATACACCCTCAGGTATACCCTACGATATCGGCATGGCGTTGCTCAAGTGGGTGTACACAGACAAGCTGGATATGAAACCAGAGGACAGTTATGTGCTGGGGCTCATGAAAGCTGCCAGCAAATTCAAGCTGGCCGTGCTGCGTGATAGGTGAGTTGTGAAAACATCCGACCAATCAGAGAAAGCCTTATAGACTCTGTTCACAGACAGTAGATGACGCTTTCTTACCACTTTCAAAAGCTCCAGTACTTAACCCTATTCCACCCCCAACCCTTCAAAATCAAACTGCATGTTTTGTTGGAATCTGTTGGAGTGAGTACTGCACTAGTCAACTGATTTTGTTTTACATGGGGTGAGGCATATCATCATAATCAGAGTCCAACAGTTTGGGTGTTGAGTTGCCATATGGTGTTGGAATTTGCAGGAGTGAGGAAGGTTCCTAGTAAATCACTCAAGGGGGTTAGGGTTAAAAGTATATAGGGCTTACTTAGAGTCATTCTTAAAAAAAACAAGCCCTTTCAACTCAAAACCTTTAACTGTTACATTTCTTTTAAAACCCTCCCTCTCAAGTGACAGGTTTTAACAGTTTTGTGAATTGGGCTCATATTGCTACAATTGACAAGCTGTGGCAATTTTGTCAACTGAAGGTACCATGCCTTGACTGACAGTAATAGATCTCTCTCATAGGACGCCATCTTCGTAGGAAAATTACAACTGCATATTCAAGGCCATCGGGTGCGTGTCCGCGCAGTGTGCAAAATGTTCTAAACACACACACGTTCAAAATTTCTTCAAATACAGCGCAGCTGAGGCGCGTCACGACAATTTGACGCACAAAATGCCAATGCTCTTTGCAATCTGTAGGAAGTGAAGTCATTTGAGAGAGACCTATAGATATGGCGGGATTAAGTACTGCTGAGAGTGCCTGGCAATGATTGATTTAATTCAGTTACAATGAAGGCACAAAGGTTCACTCATGCATCCCAGCATAACAAAGGCATTGCCCCCAGTTAGAGGGCAATGGCTGCTAAGCAAAAGGTCTATAGAATTACAGTAAAAGTTGTACCAGTATTCAAGGAAATCCTATCCATCAAACCCCTTCAACAGGTTTTGACAGTCATGTGGTTTAATCCACAGGGTTCTGGCAGTTGATGACCAGCCTGTACAAAAGCTGGAAGTGGGTTGGTTTTTGGCAGTTTGTGACAGTTCTATCAGTAGGAGGGTTAATTCATATACATTCTTAATGACAAGGGAGAAATATTGGGGAAGTGCGAGGAAATGGCAACTATGCCAACCCGACTATTAACTTAGCATTCAACAAGCTTTGTGTTTTGTTTCTATTGAAAGATGTGAGAAAGCCCTGATGTCTTCAGTCAACGTAAGGAACTGCATCCGCTACTACCAGACAGCTGAGGAGATTGGTGCTACGTCACTCAAAGCTCACTGCTCAGAACTCATCTCCACTCACTGGGTGAGTCACTTGAGGGAGTAGCTCTACATCCTTTATCCTTCAACATCTGTCATATTCCAACACAATTTTATGGTTAGGATTTTGGAAGATTTAGTATTGCGGGGCCCAGGCACCATTACTTTACATTGGGATTGCTGAAACAGATCTGTGATGTACAAAGGATGTGTTGTAGGTTTTACTGTACATTTTTTGGGTTTTGACCAATTCTGAAAAGATTCTTGGAAAAATTGCTTGTGAAGTAAGGGTTAAATGAGAGCGGTTTCAGTAAATCACAAGTCAATCACAAGTCAATCACAAGTCATCACAAGTCAATCACAAGTCAATCACAAGTCAATCACAAGTCAATCGCAAGTCAGTCACAAGTCAATCACAAGTCAATCACAAGTCAATCACTAGTCAATCACAAGTCAATCACAAGTCAATCACAAGTCATTCACAAGTCAATCACAAGTCAATCACAAGTCATTCACAAGTCAATCACTAGTCAATCACAAGTCAATCACAAGTCAATCACAAGTCATTCACAAGTCAATCACAAGGCAACCACAAGTCAATCACAAGTCAGTCACAAGTCTGTCACAAGTCAGTCACAAGTCAGTCACAAGTCGGTCACAAGTCAATCACAAGTCAATCACAAGTCGGTCACAAGTCAATCACAAGTCAATCACAAGTCAATCACAAGTCAATCGCAAGTCAATCGCAAGTCAATCACAGGTCAATCACAAGTCAATCACAAGTCCATCACAAGTCCATCACAAGTCCATCACAAGTCAATCACAAGTCAATCACAAGTCAATCACCAGTCAATCACAAGTCAGTCACAAGTCTATCATAAGTTAGCTTACAAGTAACAGGGGATGAACAATGCCAAAGGAACGCCTTTGTCACGGTTTACTAAAATACCACGTTACATGAATCGACACTGGATGACTTGAGATGGACTTGTGATTGACTTGATACCAACTCTGGTATTTCCATTTATAAATTTCTTGGGGCATTTCTGTAAAATGCAACGTACGTCCGACCACATGATGTTCATGTACAGGGTCGTTAAGGTGTGGTACCTTAGGCCAAAAAAACCACAAGTCAATCACAAGTCAGTCACAAGTCTGTCACAAGTCAGTCACAAGTCAGTCACAAGTCGGTCACAAGTCAATCACAAGTCAATCACAAGTCGGTCACAAGTCAATCACAAGTCAATCACAAGTCAATCACAAGTCAATCGCAAGTCAATCGCAAGTCAATCACAGGTCAATCACAAGTCAATCACAAGTCCATCACAAGTCCATCACAAGTCCATCACAAGTCAATCACAAGTCAATCACAAGTCAATCACAAGTCAATCACAAGTCAATCACAAGTCAATCACAAGTCAATCACCAGTCAATCACAAGTCAGTCACAAGTCTATCATAAGTTAGCTTACAAGTAACAGGGGATGAACAATGCCAAAGGAACGCCTTCGTCACGGTTTACTAAAATACCACGTTACATGAATCGACACTGGATGACTTGAGATGGACTTGTGATTGACTTGATACCAACTCTGGTATTTCCATTTATAAATTTCTTGGGGCATTTCTGTAAAATGCAACGTACGTCCGACCACATGATGTTCATGTACAGGGTCGTTAAGGTGTGGTACCTTAGGCCAAAAAAAAAAAGTCTCCGGTTTCTGGTATGGAGCTTGCCCCCAAAGTGGCTGATGACTGCAAATGGTGCCCAAATACATTTTAGTGCAAACTATATGGGAGCCCAGAGAGGCCACACAAAGCTTATACTTGATCATAATTCCATCTAAAAACATGTTAAAATTGTGCAGCAGCAGGATTCCAGTCAAACTAGTGAGTTTGGCAGTTTTAAGACATTATCTTACATTGAACAAAAACCTTTTTAATTTTGCCGACGCGCATGGCTACGGCTACGCGCATACCAGAAACCGGAGACTTTTTTTTTTGGCCTTAGTTTGGTCTGTAATTGTTTTCTACTCATTAGATGTCACATTATTAGTGATGTATCACATTCACTTTTCCAACAGCAACTCATTCAAGTGTCTGACATGTCTGTCACAATTTACGGAATTGCCCCTTGACCGTAATATATTTTTACAAGAAAAGTCAAAAATTAGTTTACATCGTTATTTATCAGTTGTAGTTTGCTAGCGAGAGTATGTTAAAGCTACAGTCCATCATTTGTAATTTGTGCATTTTGTTCGTTTGAAGCAACAAAAGAGTTCAAAATCTAATGAAGGATACTAAGCAACTAACCTGATGAAGTTTCAGCTAACCTTCAGCTGTACATTCCGAGAAAAACAGCATTCTAAGATCTCAATTTCAAATCAAAAGTTACTGAATCATGTTTTGAATTGTTTTGAATTGCAGCTATACGCGACGTCGCGCACTGATCCGACGAAATTATAACAACCACGCGCACGTGTGCGTCGTTCCAATACTTGTGCGCGCTGCGCTGAATAACAAAACGAACTACTAATTTAAATTTTCCTACGGTGCTTCTTAAGAATCACCGTTGGAAATGCCTTCTTTCGTTGATTACTTCAAAATGACAGCTTCCTGGAAAGAAAAATTTCACATGGAGTTTAGTTCCCTTACTATCTTTCATCCAAATTTGTTTTTCAACAATAATTACGACAGTTACTTTTCGGATGGCTGCAAATGATGGACTATAGCTTTAATTACGAAATGTACATTGGTTTTTCAGAACGATTTCACCAGCAACGACTTTGTCAACATGACGGCACCGTTGCTGTACAAGATGTTCAAGGCTAAGACACCGTTCCCCTTACACCATGCCATCAGGAACCGACGGGAAGACATCGTGTTCCTGTACCTCATGGAGTTTGATGCTTTGGTACGTAGGACGATTATAATATATGGGTATTAGTCCCCTAACATTTTGCTATTCAAGTTTTCTGAACTAATGCCAAACTTCTTTCTTGATGAGCTTGAGCATCAAATGAGTTCAGAAAGGTTTTGGTACTGTAACCTTAACCCTAACTCCCTAGGCCTTTTTGCTAGGGTGTAGCCTCAATCCTGCAAAATCCAATTGGCCTCATGGGAAAATAGCATATTGCCTCAATCCTGCAAATTCCTCCATTATTTCTTGAATATGGTCCGTGGAGGGGTGACCACTGCCTGAATCCTGCAAAAACTTGCGGCAGTAACTGTCAATATGTTGAGGCTTGGCCAGTGACATCCTGGAGCAGTACGGAGGATTTCAAGCATAATCCAGGCCTATATTTGTGCATGGCTGAGCAAAAACAACACAAGGTCCGGCCCAAGACCTTAACAAAGTGCATCCTACGAAATCAGTAACGCACTTTTGCGTGTAACCTCAATCCCCCAAATTCCTCCGCTTTGGTAAAGAGGATTTTGAAGGATTCAGGACGGTTAGGGTTAATCAAATTTGCAATGGAAGCCTTGTGAATTACTGTAAATTTAGTGTCTGAGATGAATTTAGAACTGAGATGTGTAGCAAACAGTTTTGTAGTGGGATACCAAAATGTTCATTGCATTGTGTTTAGTTTTGTTTTCATATGCTGTTTCCACAAACTTATACTTATTCATGATACGTGCCATGAAATGTATCATATCATGACCTCTGCGTCATGATATGTATCATATTGTGAAAATCTTGACATATGTTGTTTATCCTGAACCGCAAATACTTATCATAAAAAAATTGCAAGGTATGGTAAAACAACCTTGTTGAATTGCAGTGGATATTTTAAGACTTACATAATATATAGTGCCGTGGCCTCGTGGTCTGGAGTATTGAATTTGTGGTCTGTGGGTAATTCTGCAGGTCGTGGGTTCGAAGCCAGCCTGGGGTTGTGGTGCGTGTGCCCTTGGGCAAGGCACTTTGTCACTCATTGCTTCTCCCCACCCAGGAGTAAATTGGGTACCAGTGAGGGCAGAGATGGTTATTATGATTGATGATAGCTGCTTTGCGCCAAAATGGCTGCATCGAGCTGTATACTCCCCAGGGAGCTGAGATGGTCTTTGGAATGTTTCATTGGCCCAATGAGCAGGGTAATAATGATGTAGCACCTTGAGCACCAATACTGGTGGATATGCGCACTTTATAAATACACATTATCATTTTAAGACTTTCTTTGTGATGTTTCCTTTCAGCTTCCAGACAAACTAGATGAGATTGACGAGCGCGGTGACCTGCCGCTTGACCTAGCCCTGTCCACCCAGCAGGAAGGCATCGCCAACGAGCTGGTCAAGCACAAAGTGGACATTGACCGGGCCGACTCCATGGGCCGGAGCCTGCTGCACAAAGCGGTCAAGAGAGGTCAGTGTATGAACCCAGGCTCTTTTTTAATTTCCAAATGTCAAACAATGGCTAACCAACTGAAAGCCTCAACTTGCCTGCCGAGTTGACATTCATTCATCGGCCCCAGGTTTTATCCCGACTCCTTACCACTCCCTGATCATTTCCTCCCGCAGGGGACAAGTTCTCAGCTTTCTTCCTGATCCAAGCCGATGCTAAAGTCAACGCTGCCACCTTACAGGATAAAGAGACAGCCTTACACATGGCGGCCTCCTACAGCCCCTTAGCCTCCCCACCGGAGCTGGTAGCCGACATGACGGAGGTTGCTACTAAGCTGTTGCAGCACGGCGCTAACCCTGATCAACAGGACTCGCGCGGAAAGTGAGTTAATATGGCATATGTATTTTACAGACTACTTAAAACAGGAATTTTGGACCCCGCTTTTCATAACCCAGGCTTCCTTGTTAAGCATGAGGAAGTTTAACATGGATTGGGGAAGTCTTTGGACCAGATGCGAAATGGCATCACGAGATAATGATGGGTTTTGTTTGTTTGCTGGAAAAAAAATCAAAGTAGGTATGCTCCTGTACGCTTGGCTCAACTTGAGTTTTAAGAATTGATAATAAATTGAAAAATACAAATCTGATATTAACTTGGATATTATTTGCAGAGATGAAACTGCATGAAAAAGATTGTATGGTAGATGTACGTAAGTAAGCCCGGATTGGAGTAGTTTACAGCTGGAAGAAGTTTAAGCATTAACCTATGACATGTCTGAAACTATTTACAGAGCATGTGGAGTTGGGCTGCAGTAAAATTCATGTGGTGTGTGATTTTTGGAGGGTTTCAGATTTAGTTGTACAAAAATGCAATGATCTTGAGGATGACGAAGAGAGCCTAAAAGATACATTTCACTGGCCAACTTTTTTTCTATGCACGTTGGTGGAGTTGTTTGGGTGAATGGTGCACTTGTCTTGAACTTTTTCTTTGACTTCCTCAAGTAAGAAGTGAACTTCTTTGTTCATGAGTCCGTTACTCTAACCTAAATTCAGGTTTTAAAACTTTTAACATCGAACATTTTTCAAATCGTAAAATTTTGTTTGGATCTAAAATAAAACAGGAGACGGTGTCTGGAAATGGGCATGAAGTGTGTTTTACATACGTACATATGTAAGTGTGGCGCGGCCCAGATTTTGGAAACAGATTTTTGTTCGGCGTCTTTTCCGATCCCCCCCCCCCCCCACCCGTACGCTGATTTCATCTCTGTATTGTAGTTGTAAAGGGATACAAAGAATTTGGGTTGGGACAAATAATTCAATAATTCGTATAAAAAAAAAAATTGAAAAATTCAACTTTGGTATTCAGTCAAGAGATTTAAATTCCTTTGTTTTTCATTTGACAGTTCTGCACTTCATCGAGCAGTTGCCAGTCGCAACCAGGAAATCTTTGATCTTCTGTTATCCCAGAAATCGTAAGTGATGACACAAAGTCGATCAGTCCGCAAATTTATGAAGTAATTTAGTTCTTTTTTGTTTTGTTTTCATGATTGAACTCTTCAACCACTTAGAATGAGGGTTTTGTCTACTTCTCCAGTGTGGTTGGAATTAGACAAATGGCATTAAAGAGCAGCGTAACTTATGATAATGTAGTAGTGTCACAAATGATGCAATTCCCAGACTCTCTGTTATTCCGAAGGCAACTTCAATATTTTAGTTTGATATGGAGTCAGTAAACAGCCTTGGCATTATTGTCCTTATGACCTCTGACGCGGTGTCAACTTCAATATTTCCATGCCTACAATTGCCACCGCATTCCACCTGTATGTGTACTTGACAAACTAAGCCAATCAGACTACACAGTACAATTGTCAAGGTGCGTAGTGAACACTACAATGTTAGAAGCTTTGAGGGTACTTCCTATCTTCGTATACATGCACAAGGGATGGTCGCCAGTCTAATTCCCTACTCCGTTTCTTGTCCGTTGTTGTCTTAGTTTGAACCTTGACCTCCAGAATGGCGACGGGGACAGCAGCCTGTGGCTTGCCCTGGACCCGACGCTAAGCAGCCAGGGTTACGGGGAAGATAGCTTTGCCGCTAAGCTGATAAGGAGAGGGTGTAGCGCTGACTCGGTCAACCTGCATACAGGTACATAATTGCTCAGCAGCAATTGAATGCTGGACCCTAATTCTCTTAGCGTTTTTGCAAGAATCTTCTTGAATCCTCCAAAATCCACCACTGTGCAGGAACCAATGCCACATTCTTTGTAATGTTGGCTGGGCTTGTCTGCCTCAATCCTGTTGAATCTTCCAAAAACCTACATCTACCGTCTGATTTTTGGAGGATCTGGGTCAGTCAAGGTTAACCTAAACTAACTGAAATATCCAAAAGCCAACCGCTAGTTTTGCAGTTTGTGATTTATTTTGGAGTGTAGTGGGCAGCTAACAGGAGTGGGTAGTTTAAGGAGCTTGCTGAGCTTTAATCTGGTAGATTCTAAAAGCTTCCCTTAATAATGTAAAGACTGAAGCAAATACGCCACCTAAATCCAACATTCGAGGAACCCACCCCCACTCCCAAAAATAATCAACAAAGACAAACACAAAACGAACAAACCAACAGATAAGCAAATTGAAAACCAGTAGACAGACCACCTGACCTCCTGACTGACCCTCTGACCGACCGAGAGACCGAATAAAGACCGCCTGACTGACCGACTGACAGACATTATAATGGTCTCTCGAAGCCAATGTTATCAAGTCCACCACAAGTCCAGTCACAGATAAATCACATGTATATTCACAAGTCCAGTCACAAGTAACATGAGATGAGCTATAATAGCAAAGGAATGACTTTGTCATCGTTCATTTGAATAGCTAGTGACTTGACTTTGGACTGTATGACTTGCTAAATTTGTGATTGCCTTGTAAGGACTTTTGATGGACTCGACTACAACACTGCCTGAAACTGCGCAAAAATAACATTCCAATCCATGAAATAGTCTAACTAGTCAGTGAACAATGTGAACTCTGAGAATTGGTAACATATTTGTAAAAGAATTGTTCTGTAAATGTGACTGCAGGGGACAGCCTCCTCCATCGGGCTTGCCGGCTGGGCCTCCCAAATGAAGATGCCGCTTTGTTTCTTGCCACCAGCGGAGCATCCACAAATCTTGCCAATTTCAAGGTACCAGTCATTTTGTATTTGTTTTAACCTCGAAATACTTCTTCTATTTCTTAAAAAAAAAACTCTGTATAAGGCCAAAAAAAAAAGTCTCCGGTTTCTGGTATGCGCGTGCGTCGCCGTAGCCATGCGCGTCAGCAAAATGAAAAAGTTTTTTTTTCAATACAAGATGATGTTTCAAAACCGCCAAACTCACTGGTTTGACTGGAATTCTGCTGCTGCACAATTTTAACATGTTTTTAGATGGGGTTATGATCGAGAATAAGATTTATGTGGCCTCTCTGGACTCCCATATATTTGCACTAAGTTTAGTCGGGCACCATTTGCAGTCATCAGCCGACATTTGAAGCCAAAAAAAAAAAAAAAAAAAAACAGGTAAAAAAAAAAAAAAAGCCGCGTCGCCGCACCACTTTTGGGGCAAGCTCCATACCAGAAACCGGAGACTTTTTTTTTTGGCCTAAAGGCACTCTAATTTGTAAGATTTTAGCCAAGTAATACTTGGTTAATGCTAAAAAATGAATCGGTTTTGCTGTGAAAATGCCTGAGATTTGCACAGGGTTCACATTTGATTTGCGCATTAACCTTAACTCCATAAGCTTTCTCAAAATCAGCCAGAACCTCAATCCTCCAATTTCATCCCGCCTCAATTGGGGCCTGCTAAACCTAGATCCTCCATTATCCTCTAGAAGCAAAATCCTGTTATGCCCTTAATCCTGCAAAATCCTTCAGTGCTTTGATTTTCAAGGCCTTCAATCATTCAAACTCCTCCATGATGCAAACAGATTTTGGAGGAATTGGGAAGGTTTAAGGTTTAATGCTTTTCAGTGATCAAAAACTGCAGACAAGGCCGAGATATAAAACTCATCTTTGTTTTTGTTATCAGGGGGAAGCCCCGCTACACAGCGCCTCCATGAACGGCCTGGCCCTCCTGGTCTCCCTGCTCCTGCAGAAGGGAGCCAATCCCAATGCCCAGACCAAGGAAGACGTCTTGGGCAAGCTGGAGCAGCTGACGACACAGGAGGACGGCCCGTCCAGCCTGATGCATGCATCCAAGCAGACACCTCTGCACATGGCCATTGCTAACCAGCACTCCGAGGTCGTCAGCGTTTTCCTGGAACACAGAAGTAAGCTAACTTATTAAGATTCATTCATTTCATTTCATTTCATCAACATTTATTTCCAATTCCATCAATCAATAGGAATACAATGTATATAAATAAATAGAAGAGGAGGATTTGGAGCACAGCCAAAAAAGCACAGCTTGTATTAGGAAGTGCCCATACAATTACAAACACCACAGTACAGACTAAATTGACAAAACACAAACAGTACATATCAAATATACGTAACAAATACACTCACGATTCCAGTGGTTGATCCAACTGTAAAAAATGAAAGAAAAATATTTAGTAAGGATAGATATAATAGTAGAAATTTAAAAAAAAATGTAAGTCAGCTCACAATATTTGCTGTTAATGGGCAGATGTGTAAGCCAAACTTTGCACAAACACCCCCCAACCCCACTCCACCACCCCCGCTTCCATCACCTTTGGTGTTCATACCGAATCATAAATACATCCATGTATGGCAGTGACCTTAAAAATGGAATGAAACAGTATTGCTAATGTGGCCAGCATTTTGACTCTGTCAGGGTTCCCACAGTCATGGAAAAAAAATGGAAAATCCTGCTATTTAAATCTTTCATGGAAAGTCGTGAAAAAGTCACAGAAATTGTTGTTCTAGGAGTCATGACTTTTCCATGGGCTTTAAATTCCAGGATATATCAATTTTTTTTCCCGTGTCTTGGGGAACCCTGACAGAGTCGCAATGCTTGATATTCCATAAAAAAAAAAGTATTGGAATTTCATTTTAAGCTTTTTGAGGGAATCTTGCTGTATGTGCAAGAGACCTGGACACATGCATATCCAGATTTAACAGCTTCAGACGAGCACTCTGTGAACAAAATAATTCGTGGATTGGGAGAAAACCAGCACAGAGCTGGGTACCTTAGTATGCAGTATTCTTGAAGCCGGAGGTTCCCATCCTGTTCCATTCAATTTTCTCCATTTCAAACTTATATTTATTGTGGAAGTTTTTTTGGTGTCTGCAAGTACCAAGTGCGTTATTGTTTCCTGCTCTCACAGCCAACGCCATGCAGAGTCAAGATGGCGTGCTGATCATCCCCGACTTCAATATGAAGGACAGCAATGACCAGACGGTGCTGGGCCTGGCTCTGTGGACGGGTCTGCATAACTTTGCCGCTCAGCTGCTGCACGGTGGAGCTAACATCAACTGTATGACTCTAGATGGCCTGACGCTGCTTCACATGGCTATCTCAAAACAAGACACACAGAGCGCCCTGTTCCTGCTGGAACACCAGGCTGATATTAATATTAGGTGAGATTTACTCTCGGAAAATGTGGTCAAGATTTTGGAAAAATTTGTTTCATTTGAAGGAGGTGTTACTGAGGGTAGGGATGTAAGGGCAGGTGTTGTTATACCACGGTAATAGAATGTGATTTTTAATTGGTCGAGAACCGAGCACGTGATGTGCCAAGGTACCCCACCTTGATCGTCCCCACTGTATGATAGAAATAGCCCGGGTAAGAGGCTTTAGATCAAACAGCGCACACACGCGCGTACGCATGTTGAATAATCGCGCGCGAAATCCCTCTCCAATCCCTCTCCAATCCATCGCCAATCCCTCTCCAATCCCTCTTCAATCAATCGCCAATCCCTCTGCAATCCTTCTGCGATCCATCTCCAATCCCTCTCCAATCCCTCTCCAATCCCTCTCCAATCCATCTCCAATCCATCTCCAATCCATCTCCAATCCCTCTGCAATCCTTCTGCAATCCATCTCCAATCCCTCTCCAATCCCTCTCCAATCCCTCTCCAATCCATCTCCAATCCCTCTGCAATCCCTCTGCAATCCATCTCCAATCCCTCTCCAATCCCTCTCCAATCCCTCTCCAATCCCTCTGCAATCCCTCTGCAATCCATCTCCAATCCATCTCCAATCCATCTCCAATCCCTCTCCAATCCATCGCCAATCCCTCTCCAATCCCTCTTCAATCAATCGCCAATCCCTCTGCAATCCTTCTGCAGTCCATCTCCAATCCCTCTCCAATCCCTCTCCAATCCCTCTCCAATCCATCTCCAATCCCTCTCCAATCCATCTCCAATCCCTCTGCAATCCCTCTTCAATCAATCGCCAATCCCTCTGCAATCAATCGCCAATCCCTCTGCAATCCCTCTGCAATCCTTCTGCAATCCCTCTCCAATCAATCGCCAATCCCTCTGCAATCCTTCTGCAATCCCTCTCCAATCCTTCTGCAATCCATCTCCAATCCATCTCCAATCCCTCTCCAATCCCTCTCCAATCCATCTCCAATCCCTCTCCAATCCTTCTGCAATCCATCTCCAATCCATCTCCAATCCATCTCCAATCCCTCTCCAATCCATCTCCAATCCCTCTCCAATCCTTCTGCAATCCATCTCCAATCCATCTCCAATCCCTCTCCAATCCCTCTTCAATCAATCGCCAATCCCTCTGCAATCCCTCTCCAATCTATCTCCAATCCCTCTGCAATCCCTCTGCAATCCCTCTTCAATCAATCGCCAATCCCTCTGCAATCCTTCTGCAATCCATCTCCAATCCATCTCCAATCCCTCTTCAATCAATCGCCAATCCCTCTGCAATCCATCTTCAATTTGTGTTCCCGTGCAGTGAAAAAAAATTATATGCGAATATTCCCGGTGCAATAATCGCGGATTTTTCCAAAATAATACTTCAGCGATTACTGCACAGAAACTGGATCGGAGAAAACCCACAATTTCAGATGGTTGCAATCTAGGCTATTACCTTGGGTGCCATTTGCACCCTCAGGTGTACAATACACCATGGACCCCATCACAACAGGCAACAATTGTATATTGTTACATTGTTGACATTTTCAGCAACATCATTGTTCTTTTTAAAATGCATACAGTCGTTAACACAACAAACTTTCAACAGAACCGTATAGGTTCAGGCATGGGACCTAACAAGTTTTGTTGACTTCTGTGGGTTAAAAAGCTGATGTCCCATTTCACATGTTTTGTTATATTGTGTCAGAATAACGAAAGTTGCAACTTGGCCTGCAAGAAATGAGTTCAATCATTTCAGTGTCACCTTGAACTGGTCGATCTGTAATTTGCTTGCGCCACGACGAAACTAGCCTTGGTCAAGGCGTTCGTAGATAGTGTCCGTGATGGTATCTGGCCGCTAAAAACATAAACACTAGCCGCTCTCTATGCACTGTACGAAATGCAAACAGTCACCTCACGCTGCTACAATATACAAATCAGTTGGCGAAGAACGAATGTTTGTTGGTTAGTTCGTTCTTCGCCAGCAACGGACGAATGCCTTGACCAAGTTTATTCCTTTGCAGCACAAGCAAATCACAAGTCGACGTGAGGCTGGCTTTAGTTTCCTTTGAGCTTTTTATTCCCGACATGAAATTATTTCCTTGGACATTACTCTTTGTATTTCATTATCTTATTGTGGTTTTTTCTCGTGTGTCCTAGATCGTATTTGGGCCCAATTATTTGGGTTTATCCGGAGAAAAAAAAAAAAAAAAAAAATGTTTACAGACTCAGGGGGTGTGCCTTACACACAAATTACACATCTGACATGCAAATTATATGCAAAATTATAATATGCAAATTATATGCAAGAAAATGATGTCACAATTTTGAACTTGACATGTGACAGTTCTAGACCAATGAAATCAGATCATCCAAGACAAAATGTTACACTGAAGTTATCTAGATATAATTGGAAGTAGTAGAATAATTTGCTTCTTCCCGCTATTTCAGGTCTCGCGACGGTGAGACCCCCTTACAGCTTGCCATCAAGCGTCATCTTCCCGTGGTCGTTGACGCTCTCTGCGTCCGCGGTGCCAACATGAACACCCCTGACGAGAGTGGCAACCCACCCCTCTGGGTAGCACTGGAGAGCGGGCAGGAAGACGTGGCCTCGACGCTGGTAAAGGAATCTCCCAAATCGTAGAGCAAACCTTGAGTTCATCCTTTCAGGAAATATTTTTTGGCTTCCTTAACTTTTCGTATACATGAAAAACAATTTAACTCCAGACTATTCTGATGATTGCCATTACTGAGGTGTCACCTTGCTCATGCATATTTCATTCACATGTGCTTAATCCTAACTTCCTAGGCATTTTTGCTAGGATGCAACCTTGATCCTGCAAAATCTTCCAACTGCCTCCTGGAAAAAATTGCATACAGCCTCAGTCCAGCAAAATCCTCCGTTATTTCTTGCATATGGTCCATGGAGGGGTGATGACTGCCTCAATCCTGCAAAATCCTCCAGCAGTCATTGTTAATAAGTTGAGGCAGAGGCAGTGACAACCTGGAGCAGTGCAGAGGATTTCAAGTATAATCTAGGCCTAAATTTATGCACGGCTGAGCATAAACAGCACAAGGTCCGGCCCAACACCTTGACACAGTGCATCCTGCAAAATCTGCCACACAATTTTGCCATGTAGCCTCAATCCTGCAAAATCCGCCATTTTGCAAAGAGGATTTTGGAGGATTTGGGAACGTTAAGGCAAAGTTGGCGTGCGTCTATTTCTGAAAATCCTACTGTGGAATGGAACACCATGTTCAAAAGTGCAATTAAATGAAGTTTGGTTGTCAGATTGGTCTGTAGAAGACTATGCCCTATTTGTCATTGTTGTCTATGGCAATGGCTGTTCGGACCAGAGTGCTAGTGTTCATGAATTTGCCATTGGTGTAACCCCACACCCCCACAGGTCTTTCGGATTTTCGTTGTTGAGGGTGGGGGAGGGGATTGGGGAAGGTGTTGACCCTAATTATGAGCCTTACATCTTTGCTTGGGTTTTGTCCTAGGTCCGGCACGGCTGTGACACCACGGCCTGGGGTCCTGGCTTTGAGGGCTGCCAACAGACGCTGCTACACAAGGCCATCGATGAGAACAATGAAGCTGTGGCCTGCTTCCTCATCAGAAGGTGAGACAATTTGCTTTCTGATTCCCAAGAACATTCGATTTAACTAGTGGAGATGAAGGATTCTTGGAGTTGTGGTTGCTGATAACAACAGCATTAACTTGACAAAATATGGACAGACTCCAAGTCATATTGGTGATTTGCCCAGCATGGCCCGTTTATCTTCAAGAAAGAGTAATTTCTTTCCAAAAGCTTGAATGTCGTCAGTGGTTTTCATGGTTAGAATTTATAAACACACCCCCCTCCGAAAAAAAGAGTATTGATTTGAATGGCAGCTTGATTGAAATGATTTTCTTTGAGTTTATCTTAAAGACCAAATTCATTTCTTTTGCCGTAATAACTCCAAACACCTTAGGACTAGTAATATGCATTATTTCCTAACCCCCTAGGCCCTCTGGCTAGGATGCAACCTCAATCCAGCAAAATCCTCCAATTGCCACCAAGAAAAAATTGGATTCAGCCTCAATCCTCCCAAATCATCCGTAATTTCTTGAATTCAGTCTGTGGAGGGTCACCACTGCCTCAAACCTCAAAAATCCTCTGCCAATTACTGCTATGGTTTGAGGCAGTGCGAATAGCATTTAAAAGCAGTGTGGATGAAATACGAGAAAAACACAGGGCTGATTTATGCATGGCTGAACGTAACCAATGCAGGATATGGCCTACTGGCTTGACGTTATGCACCCTCCACAAAAAGAGCCATACATATCTTTGCCAGTCATCCTCAATCCTCTAAAATCATCCAAAACTGGCAGGAGGATTTTGGAGGATTGAGGAGGGTTAGGGTTAAACACCTCCTTGTCTGGAATGTAAAACCCCCACGATATTGGGGAGGGGCCCTTGAGGCTACACAAGGTTTAATACCGTAATTTCCTGCGGATAAGGCGCGCGGCGGATAAGGCGCAGGTCCCTAAAATCACCCCAAAAAAATTCAAACGCCAACAGATAAGGCGCACCGCCGCATAAGACGCATGTTTGACCGCACACAGAAGAACACCAGGCGTCACCCGGTGTCGGTACATCGCCACAAAGGGGCCATTGTGTTGCCTTAGAACGATCACACTATTCGGAGGATGAATTAAGCCGTGTCCGCACTGGACTTTTTTTTTGGAAGGTTTTACCGAGACGATAGTAAAATGAGAAATGGTCAAATGTGACCACTGTCCGCACTTGGACTTTCGACACGGGAAAATTTACCCAGACCGCGTGGGAGAAGTAACCGAGCTGTCACAGTGTCAGTATAATTACTCACCGTACACAGAAAACAAATCGCCGATCACATTTTCAGCCGCCGATACGCACAGTAATATTACACACGCCATTTGCATGCACAACATAATCGTTTACACGATATTATTTCATCTTGACACGCTAAATCTTGACGAAAAGGCCTGTAATTCTGACGCATTTGTGATGCACGTCGTCGAAGCCATGCCGCTGTACGATATTCCGTGCGGCAGCAGTGCCATCAGTATTCATTGGTTCCCATCGCATGCTTACAGAATCGAAGCTATGATGTGGGCCAGGAACCAGTGACTACGGCCTACATACGGTACCGGACCATGATGTTCCGTGCATGACTACAGTAGCGTATCAGGACGAATTTGGATCGTAGAAAATAACATACATCGGTGGAGAAAGAGAATTTCCGCAAATTAATTCTCAGAACGTGATCTCTCTTCTCTGTGTATGTATTTGTCCGTTGAAATATATATTTTAACGAGATTTTACCGCTCGGACTTGATGATACACCGCAGCGTGTTTCTACAAAATGTTCGGCCACACGTGCACTGAGGTTCGCGCGGTCTCTGTATGCATAACATGGCGCTCGGCCGGAAGTACGCTTTCCTGAGCCGCTTTTACCGACTCGCACTGTTTTCATCTTGATCTTCAGGCTTGCAGACTTCGAAGATATCCTGTACAATAAACACCCTCAACGTTCACACAATAGAACTTGAGTGAATGCGATTTCCAAACGTTTAAGTAATTCTGATTGCAGCATTTTCGGAATGAAAAAACGGCCACAAAGAAAAACGTTTGTATGACGGCATTGTTGGAACGAAAGCACGATCACTAAGGGGGATCAACGCATTGCGGCATTGTTGGAAGGAAAGCACGATCATGGGGGATCAACACATCGCGGCATTGTTGGAATGAAAATATGGTCACAATGTCTGGAGAGTTGAGCCTCGGTTGACCGCATTATTGATTGCGGCATTGAAAGAATTCTTCACACAAAGACCGTCACTTTGAACTCAAGCGACACCAGATAAGGCGCACCTGTAGATAAGGCGCAGCGATGTTTTTGTGGTCTAGAAAGTCAGATAAGACGCGTCTTATCCGCAGGAAATTACGGTAAGTGCCTTTTGTCCTCTTATCGTTGTGCAGCATGTGTGACGTGAACAGTCCCCGCAGGCCGGGGCCCCACGGTGAGGGTGGCATGGAGGCAAAGGACGGGCAGGGCCCCTTACACAGAGCCTGTGAGTGGGGCCAGGAGCTGGTAGTACAGTGCCTTGTGGAACAACAAGCTGACGTCAATGCTAAGGTCAGTGGATTAGCTAGGATTCGCAATAACCTTGGACGCATCTGTTCCAATCTCCATCTTCCAAATTTGGCAAATTTGAGCACTTGGTTTTGTAGTATTTTGGAGTAATGCGTCCATACTTTACAGTAAACTGTAAACAGGCGATAATAAACATTGTTGTGGAACAACAAGCTGACGTCAATGCTAAGGTCAGTGGAACTGCTAGGATTCGCAATAACCTTGGACCCATCTGTTCCAATCTCCATCTTCCAAATTTGGCAAATTTGAGCACTTGGTTTTGTAGTATTTTGGAGTAATGCGTCCATACTTTACAGTAAACTGTAAACAGGCGATGATAAACATTGTTGTGAAACAACAAGCTGACGTCAATGCTAAGGTCAGTGGAACAGCTAGGATTCGCAATAACCTTGGACCCATCTGTTCCAATCTCCATCTCCCAAATTTGGCAAATTTGAACACCTGGTTTTCCAGTATTTTGAAGTAATCCGTCCGTACTTAACAACTTAAATAGCACAACTTGTGTTGGTTACTTTGACATAACAAAATATCTTTACTATGTTGTGTCAATCTTCACCTCACAAATTTACCTCATTTCAACATTGGCGCTTAATTTCATTGAGCTACTAATTGAGGAAAATACTTCCCAGCTAATTTACATGTAAATGAAAATCAGTTGAAAATTAGTCACAAGTACATGTGTTTCAATGATATTTTGGTTGTTAACCTATATTTGCTGAACAAATTTGTTTGTACGTAGCAGCGCTCTGGAAATGTCTTTAAATTTATGGAAATGTCTTTTTATTTTTAAAAATGTCTTTACAGTCACTGTTCTACTCTAGTCTGATATAATAATGAGTTAAACAGAAGTGTTTTAGATCTGGAAACCAACTTATAGAGATAGTAGACTGAATTATCTTGGTAGTCTTTTTTTTGTGGTAATTAAATTTTTTTCTGACCTAGGATGCTGAGGGTAAGACACCGTTACACATTGCCATCAGCAACCAGCATCCCGCCATCATCAGCCTACTGATGTCTCACCCCTTACTGGACCTGACGCTGAGAGACCGTGGCGGACTCACCCCCTTCGCTGCTGCCATGACCTTCAAGAACAACAAGGCTGCTCAGGCGATACTGGACCGGGAGCCCAGGGCCGCTGAACAGGTAAGGAAAGGGGAGGATAGAGGGGATGGACCAGGGTAAGGGGGAGGAACACTGTTATAATCCAGGTAGTTGTTATGGATCACATGTACATCACAAGTAAATGGGTCATTCTATAAATTTGGGGCCCACTTCTTCCTGTCCCTATAACATCTTCATTCTGATGCATTTCTTAATGCGGCCGTCCTCCAAGATTGATTATCAATAGCAAACTACAGATGTGTATTCGAGTCACGAAACATGGAGTCCAAGTAGGATTCTCCTTTCCCGAGTCTGAATCCTGAGTCATGCAGTTGAGTCCGAGTCCGAGTCCAATTCACAAGTCAAATTTAAGTACTGTATATTGGAAATAAATTTTGAGGTACTGCTAAAACCTCACATTGATTTCCCAAATCAATCTATCGAAAACAAGCCAGCCGCAAGCGCTGTTTATGTGCTTAAATTAGATGCATTACTTCGGCACCGCACAGACTGTATCACTTGCTCAGGAGAGGATCGTCTTCATCGTGTTATTATATTGTTGGGGAAAAAATGGTCCAATTGTCATTGTGACTCGAGTCCAACTCCGAGTCATGGAAAATGGGACTCAAGTCGGACTCGAGTCAGAGTCACAAGTCGTACAACTCTGGCAAGCTACCTACCCAACAAACAAAAAATAATTTGAAGTCATTCTTAATTATACTTGAATGGCAAATTACAAAGTACCAAAAATGTCACACTTTGGACCCTAAATTTATAGAATGACCCAAATCACAAGTCCCGTCACATGGGGACAAACATTAACAAAAGAATGCCTTTGTCTCCGTCCATTAAAACTGCTAATGAGTTGACTTGGGACTCGGCAGTGTTTTGTAATTATTGCCAAAATACTTCACCTTACAATTCATGCATGAGTAATTTTAACTTTTATTGTTAGTTGAAAAAACAAAAATGTTAACAACCTTTAACCAAAGATTAGACATTTTCTGAGAGTTGGTAACTAAAGCCACAAAGTACAAGGGCAGGTAATATTAACAACAATCTTCCAAATGTGAAGGAAAATATACAACCGTTAACAATTCAAAGGAAGCTGTTATTATTTTGGCTGCAGCTTGACAACAAGGGCAGGAACTTCCTGCACATCGCCATCCAGAAGTCGGATATCGAGAGCGTCCTGTTCCTGATCAGTGTTCACGCCAACGTCAATTCCAGCGTTCAGGATTCCACCAAACTCACACCGCTGCACCTGGCCGTCCAAGCAGGCTCAGAAATCATCGTCAGAAACCTGGTAAGAAACGTTCCCGTTTGCATGTGTGTTAAAGGGAATAAACATGATTGGCTTTTGCTGTAATTTTCAGAAATGAACTATTTGAGGGGTTAGTATAATAGATCAAATATTGTTAGACTGACATGTTTGAAGGTTTGTGTTTGAAAATGCTGGAAAAAAACAAGAAAAACAAAAATGTTCAAGTAGTCTGGTTCCCTGACTCCACTAAATATAAAATGGATCAATTTACAGATGCCGGAAACTTGTAAGGTAATGGAACCATTGTTTAACCAATGGTTTATTTGGAGCAGTAGTTGAAAAATAGTTAGGTTTTTCCAACGGTGGTCGGCCGACCACTGTTGGAAATTTTTACAAAAAATACTATTTTCTTGAAAATGACTTCATACCAGGTGCCATAATTTTACAGGATGCTTTAGACTGTCATTTACCAACATCCTAGTAAGGTATTTCGTAGAAACTAGGTAGTTTTATTTTTCGATGTTTGACAATGTTGTATATTCCCTTTAAGTGGACCTCCAAGTCAGAGGACATCAGGAAATACACATTAACAGGTCTGAAGTATTTTCTTGTACCTACAGCTCTATCTGTGGCATCCGGCAACTGTTTATCACTTGCATGACATAATACAAAGGAAATATAAAGTCAATAATAGGTTTTTGCCCTTCACCGACGAAATACAAAGCATTGTGGTACTTCGACACGATATTCTCTTTGTAACTTGCGACAGATTGGACAGACCTCAACAGTTAGCGAACAGTTTTGTTAAGACAAAGTGCATATTATTTGCATGTTAAACAGATGCCACAACAATGGCCGGATTTGCATATCATTTATATGATAAACTTTTTGTTACCACCAATCAGCTCTTAGCTGTGGCAGACATGCAGGATGTGGATGCTCATAAGCAGACAACATTCTCAGTTTCGGCACTCTAGATTTGCATATCATTTGCATACTATACTAATGTCATCATGACTACCAGTTTTACATATTGAATAATAATCTCTTTGTTTCCACCAATCAGCTGTTAGCTGGGGCCGCTGTGCAGGATGCAGATGCTCGTAAGCAGACAGCGCTCCACCACGCCGCTGCAGTGGATCAACCATCCATCATCAGCGTGCTGATAGAGAATGGCATCTTGGTGGATGCTGTTGATGACAACAGTAACAATGGTTAGTCACAGTTTGACACTGAAACCTCTCCAACCCCTCCAGCACCCCTCCACCCCCTCCCCCATCCCTTCTCCAAAGCATACCCCTTCCCCTCGCCCCACCCATACCAATCCCCACCCCTCCCCCACCAATCCCTACCCCTCCCCTAAGAATCACCATCCCTTCCTTATCAATCCCCACACCTTGCCCTCCCATCCCCACCCCTCGCCCTCCCATCCCCACCCCTCGCCCTCCAATCCCCACCCCTTGCCCTCCAATCCCCACCCCTCGCCCTCCAATCCCCACCCCTCGCCCTCCAATCCCCACCCCTCGCCCTCCAATCCCCACCCCTCGCCCTCCCATCCCCACCCCTCGCCCTCCAATCCCCACCCCTTGCCCTCCAATCCCCACCCCTCGCCCTCCAATCCCCACCCCTTGCCCTCCAATCCCCATCCCGTTCTCCCTCCCCACCCCATCTCCAATCCCTCCCAAACTAGCCAAATAAACCCCACACAGATCCCGTTTTATCCCCTGGCTTTCAAGCCAGACAGGGGGATATTGCAATCACGTATTCCTTCTGGGTGTGTAAGGGTGCTTGTACAAACACTGCCTTGTGGGGTACCGGAACAATGGGAGGTACCCCACAAGGAATACCCACCGACTTGCAGGGTACCGTTTTGGGCCCCCCACAAGTTTTTCACGAAATAGATATATGGATTTTACTCAAATACTAAGAATTTCCAAGGTGGGTTGATCTGTCGCAAATGGAAGAGTTTTAGAAAAGGGATATTAAGTCCGAATTTCAGCCCAGGAAATTAACTATGGTTAAAATAAGAACATTTTGACATAAGTGTGCGATGTTGCAAAATTTTAGTACACGAGAACAAAGGAAGTACCCCACTTCTATGCCTATGTAAGCGTGTGTGTGTGTGTGTGTGTGTGTTCCATTTCACTGTAAAGTTCAGTCATCAATCCTAACCAAACTTGACAGGTGGTCTGTGGAAATCAAACAAATCCTTTCCAATATGTATATTTACGAGGTCTCTGGATAGATACTAATGACTCTAACATATGTTAGTCTGGTGTCTCACCAAAACTCTCCATTCAACCCAAGCTCCCCATTCAACTGAGAACTGGTACCTGCCGGGTGGACAACCAAGGCCGTCACTGAAAATTATCCTTACTAACTGCCTGTACATGTACATGTATACAAACTGGTTAAGTTTGACTAATCATAGTTGGACTACTCTTATCTATTTGACTACTTGAAAACTAGACCATCGCATAGCTGGTTCTCAGTAGTTTATGTAATAATTAAAGGGAAAATACAACATTTGCAAACATCAAAAAATAAAACTACCGTATCGTTTTGAAATACCTTGCTGGACTGTTAGTGAATGACAGTTTAAAGCATCCTGTAAAATCATGGCACCTGGTATACTGTCATTTTCAAGAAAAGTGCTATTTTTGTACCAATTTCCAACGCTGATCGGCCAATCAGCGTTGGAAAAAACTGGCTTTTTTTCAAATACTGGCCCCAATTGACCATCGCACTTGTTTGCAATCGATTACACACCTATGAATGGGTACAAGCCAGCTAGACTGGTTCCCTGACCTTACAATTCCCCAATGTATGTAAACTGCTCTGTTTCTTCTTCAATGGAGTCAGGGAACCAGACTACAGGAAAATGATTGTTTTTCTTGGTTTTTATAGCATTTTTGAACCCAAAACCTCAAAAAAGTCAGTGTAACTATATTTGCTATATATTTCCAACCCCCCAATTCCATCCATTTCTGAAAATTACAGCAAAAGCAAATGATGTATATTCCCTTTAAGTAAAGAGCGAACCATTTAAATTTAAAACGATGGTGCAAAACTGCAGCATCAAACAAGGGAAGTTAGAAATGCAACCAAGGGCAGTTTGTCTGCAATGGTGTTTTTTGGTTCAATGAATGAATGAATGAATGACATAAGTAAATCTATGTTCACTTTCTTGATATTTTTCAGCGTTACACATTGCAGTGCAGCATGGGAACCTCGGCAGTAGCAGGACGTTACTGACGGAATCTCAGATTAACGCCGAGAGCTACAATGCCAAGTAAGTACCATTTTGACGTTAATAGACCCACCAACCTTAGACGATTAGACCATTTTAAGTGACATTAAAACAACACAAATATCATTCTAAACATCTCATGAGTTACAAGTTTTTCTAATTTTAGTATTTTCTAAATAATTTACTCAATGGCATTTGACGGGATGGCTTAATATATTTCAAATCTAATTGATTATTTTCTAACACGGTTCAATTTATGAGCTTTCAGATGAAACATTTAACAAAAAATTAATTTCCCACCATTACCGAATTATTTAGTTTCAAAAGATTCATTTGAGGGTTCCTGTGCGTATTCCAACAGTATTACCATGTTTACATGTATGGATACAATGATTTTTTGAAAATCAATTAGAGTTCAGTAATATTTTTCCTTCAAAAAATTGTCTGTAATAATTGATCACGACAATTCCATCACATAGATCTTTCAGGAGAACTTTCGTAATTGCCTTGAAGATGTGTTATTGTAATAACTGTGGAAATACAAAACCATTTTTTTTTTTTGCAAATAATTTTGATTTTCTGCGAAATGGTACTGTACCAACTGCAATGATTTCAATTTTTTGACAACTCAATTCCTTTTAACTCCTTAGCCCTTGTGCTGCCCCAAACCACCCTGCCTGTTACTCCTTATACCGCCCCAAACTGCCCCAGCACTCTATGGTTTATGGATTCATGGAGGAGTAAATACAATGTACAGTAAACTTCGGCTAAACCGACATCATGCAACTCGTCAAATCGCTCACATTGGCCGTCTGACTAAAGTCCCGATTGTCCGTAATGCATTTCCATTGGATTTTTTTATTTCTCAAGTCGGCTTTTATAACTTGCCATTTCGCTCAAGTCGTCTTGTTACTCTCGGTCCCTTTTCCATAAAAAGCATTACAAAATCCTTTGTGTAAGTCGGCATTCAAAAAATCACGCATTGGCATCGACTTCCTGTACTGCGGTTGGCAAGAAGTGTTGAGTGAAAAGTGGTTTGGCACGGCCCGTGATCGCTGCATACATCGGTGTCGCAAAAGGGTGTCCTACTGCATACATCACGTATGCATCGTGAGCATATCAATACCAGTACCCCCTCTAGTCTGTATGCATGCGCTCTGTCCATTTTGGGGGTTGTCTTATTGAATGACTAGTGCTGCAGTTAATGCGTGCGTGGTATACCGGACCACGCACGCATTTAATTCGTTACTGTGCACATACATATGTATACACGTGGTCTCTACTATCAATACCCCAAACGTGTTGATACAATTCAAGGATTAATTTGCTGGATTCAACTCGAGCATTAAGGAGATAAACCAGGGTAAATCGAAGCCAATTAGTGCAATGAATCATGTTTGCAAAAGGCCACTCATGACCCATGTAAGTCGGCAAAATGTGACTAACAGCAGATGTCGGCATTCGCGTAAGTCGTCACAAATTCTCGGGTCCCGAGAGTGCCAACTTAGCCGGAGTTTACTGTAATACAATTTACATGTGCTAAAGGGTTAGACTCAGTTGGCTTTCCATCAACCACTTGCTTTCTGTAAATTTGGAATGGTTTTAATGGCCTTTCATGAATGGCTTCTTGCAGGGGCAAGACTCCCATGCATATCCTTGGGGATTGCGGGAGAGACAACGCGGCGGCCATCTTTGAACTGTTCAAGGAGTGTATGCCCAACTACCCAGTCGACAAACAGGACGCTGACGGCAATACTGGTAAAGATTGGTTCTTGGTTCTTGGTTGGTTCTTCTCCTAAATACCCCGCGTGGGAGTTTATACAGGAGGCCAAAAACACCGGGGCAAACCCCTTCTCTTAGCGATAAGTGTCACTGGGTTCTTTTACATGCATTGCAATACACAACATACGGGACCTATGGCTTTACATCCCATCCGAAGGACGAAGCAATAATGGTAAAGTGCCTTGCTTAAGGGCAGAAGTGTCCGCCCGGGCTCGAACCACACCATTGTTGCCTCTGAAACACCAGAGCATGAGTCCGGTGCTCTTAACAGCTAGGCCATGAAACGCAAGATTGTTCCTTTCACAGTCAACCTTTAGCGCAGTTTCAATAATCTGTTGAAATATGGACAAAATCATGGTCATACTAGAAAATGATAGAATTGAATAAATATAGTTGTAAACATGTGGTGCCCAATTCAAGTTAACGAAGAAACAATGAATAGTAAATTTTAAAGCTAAGAATGATATGATAGTTTATTTTAATATTTACACAGATCTTATATCCCAATTTGTGTTTGTTTTGTTGGAATACAAAGAACACGTGTCATTGGGTTATTCCACAGTTTTAGAATTTTGCATGTCCAAAAAGTTTTATAGCTAAAAAGGTTATTTTTGATAAAATTATTATCTAAAATGCTAGTACGGATGAGGGTCAATTAACATATTTCTTCAGGCGAAAAAAATCTGGATTCTACCATGTTTTGCTAAACAAGCCATTTATGAAATGTCAAACTTTGTCTACTCTAAGTTTTCAAAATGAACCAGCATGTCAGTATTTTACATTAATTTTCAATTGAAATTATAAATGATATTGTAATCATTGTTGCAAGCTGTCGTTTTTGTTTCTGCACAGTCCTCTTGCTAGCCTATCAGAAGGGAAATGGCGCCCTCTGTCGGGCCATCGTCAGGAGCGGGGCCAGCCTGGGCATACTCAATAAAAATGGCACCTCCATCTTCAACGCCCAAGTGGCTACAAAACAACTCCTCTTCAGACTTCTTGGTAAGTGGGGTCGAAGCATTTAGTCGGTTGTTTTCAAGAGTCTTTGCAACATTTAGCAGCGACAGTTCGCAACAAGTTTCTGCCAAGTTAACTAGTACAAAAAACAATTCTGATAGAACACAGTAATTACCATCTTAAGTTAGTTTATGGGATGTGCAGATGCGCACGAGCCAAAATATAATAATAATAATAATATCGGAGTCTTATAAAGCACACGTATCTACCAACTATTAGGTACTCAAGGCGCTGGAGATTTGTCTATTATTAAAGAAAGGTAAATAAAGTTTATGAGAAATATGAGACCCATTATGTAGCACCTTATAAGGGTTTACAAGGTGCTGCGGCACATATTGCAGCCACTGCCAGAAACACCGGGGCAAACCCCTTCACTTAGCGATAAGTGTTACTGGGTTCTTTAATGTGCATATTCACAACACACGGGACCTACGGCTTTACGTCCCATCCGAAGGACGAAGCAATAATAGTAAAGTGCCTTGCTCAAGAGCACAAGCACCATGTTCCCACGGTCAGGATTCGAACCCATGTACCACGGCACACGAGTCGAACATCGTAACCATTGGACCACAGCACCCCACTATTCCTTGCTACACCGTGAAACATGCTTAACACCAGCACAGATTTTTCTGCCACAGGGATTTTTTTTGATTGAGATGCATAAAAGAAAATCTTGCTTTGCAATTTTGTCCGTCAAGCGAAAGAGGCCGAGAACCAGTCATAAACAGTATACTTTACATGACAGTTTGGCTGGTAACCCATTACGCTTAGCAAATATTTTTTTCACGTTTGACGTTGCGTTTCTCCCAGGATATTTTTTGAGTTTCATTCTGACAAATAGATTCCTCTTCTATTAAAGTCGCTATTTTTCTAGCAATACAATAAGTTATTTACTTTTGAATGAGACATCGACCAAAACTAAATCAGCCCATGTTTAGATATCAAATGATTACTTCACAATTTCATAATTATTGACTGCCAGACCGTATTTCCTGTGCTCACAGGGTAGGCTGGTTCCTGTCCCACACTCAGTATCAATAATGTACGGACTGGGAGCCAGTCTGCTTGCAAAGCCGATCCCCTTGGTCACAGGCTGTATTTGTAACTGTGTGTATTTTCTTGGTTGCTTCAGATATGTTGTCGTCTGAGCCGGCCTGGTCAGAGAGCGAGATTTGCCAGGAATGCCAGGTCAAATTCACCATCAAGACAAGGAAACATCACTGGTAAGGCAAAAATGTTGAGTCCAAAACAAAAATCTGTAGATGATATCTAAAGCCGGCCTCAGGTCGACCTGCGATATGCTTGCTTCGCAACAGAACTTGCCTTGGTCAAGGCATTTGTCGATTGTGTCCAAAGAACGAACATTCGGTCTTTGCCAACTGATTTGCATACTGTTCGCGCTTCGTACAGTGCATAGTGTGCGGCCAGTGTATATGTTTTTAGCAGCCAAATACCATCACGAACACTATCTACGAGCGCCTTGACCAAGGCTGGTTCTGTCGGGGCGCAACCAAAATCGCAGGTCGACCTGAGGCAGGCTTTAGAAATTTGTGGACTTGAAATGAAAACTCCAGGCTTATGTAACGTGACTGTTGTTTGAAGGAATTATCTGTTAAAATTATTTGTTAACAGCTTCATTGGGTCTTTATCCCAAGTGGACATTTTCCAAGACTTTGTTTTGGGTCACTATAGGCAAAGCCTAATTATACTTTGAAAAAAAAGGTTAAAAAACAATGATTGAGATGCATAGAGAAAAAGCGAAATTGTTTTATGGTTATTAAGGAATATATTTACTGAAAACATAAAACATGCATTAAAGGTGTTTTTTTCCCCCTGCATTTGCCTTTTGCATTTTCTGCATCATTTAAAAATGAAATGCTCTGTTGCCACTGAAGATTCAAACATCAAACTTTTCTAATTGTCACCCTCAGCATTTATTTATTTAGTTTATTCCAACTGTTCCTGAATTCAATTCAATCAAGTGATTTTTAGTTCTCAAATTACTGAGCATTCATTCAAGCCAGAAGAAAAATTGTTTAAAAAGTATCTCAAGGCAGATTTGAAATAAACTTGAAATCAAATTGGTCATGATTTTCTTTTCCATTCCTCACCCCCAAGCCGTCATTGTGGCCGGATCTTGTGCAACAAATGCTCCTCCAAGATGGTCCCCATCATCAAGTATGATCAAACCAAGCCAGTCCGTACCTGCGACGTCTGCTTTGATGTCTTATCCCTTGGTGGTCAGTCCTAAAGAAGTAGAGACGTCGTGCCGGTGCTGGGTAATAGCCGTAAGAAATAGTGGCAAAGCCATGCGCTTATTTTGAAGAAAAAAAATGGAAGTGATACTTTTTTGAAAAGTGGAAATTTTTTTCTGTTGAAATGCCGCATTAGAATTATTCAAATTAGTACCGATTAATTAGCTCTTGCCATGGTGTGTTGACCAATCACAGCCGTGATTTAGTGTCCGAAGCGTGTCCAGAAAAGTCTGACATGTGTGTATGACGCACAGTGCAGTGTGATGCTGGACAGTGCAGTGTGGCATGTAGTGTGGCATTCTTTTTTCAACCTTATGTTGATTAAACTTTAAAAGTGAATCTCCGATAGTGTTTATTTGATTAAAATATATAAAATTGTGCAATTTTTTACGTTCCTCTCTTTACGTTTGTAAAGACTAGGGTTGAACGTTGGTAATCAAGAATTTTTTTTGTTGGCATGAATTGGAGTTATCTGCAAGAATAAAACTTTTGTGAACTCTTAACTATAAGCATGATACTTTTTTTCCCACCCATTAAAGCCATCATCAGTATATGTGATGCGATCAAGCTAAACGAGTCGTTTGTCAGGAACTTCCATTTGGAGATTCAGGCCAAAATAGGGCCACTTCATCACATCACTTCATCACATCTCTTGGTGTTCCGACATCCATAATTTTGGAACTAAAGATGGTACCAGCATGTGGGTTTCACATCAGTAATGCTGAGATTGTGCTCTTTTCAAATCTGTAAAAAAAAATTGACCAGAGTCGACAACTCGTTTAGCTTAATCGCATCACATATGTTGTTTTTGGGGGTGGGGGTGGGGTGGGGATTTAAAAAAAAGAAAAAGATTTGGGAGTTGGGTAGTGTAGGGATAACTTTTTTTCTAAAATTTTGTCATCATGTGACCAAGGAGCAGTAGCTGGTAATAAGTAGTTGTCCTTGTGTCGTCATGCGAGCCCATAGTACATTCAATTTTGTTCGCGTGTGCTTGCCTTGTAAAACCTTCTTCGCTTCAACAAGCAGATTCCAATTGCAGTCAGGAATCGCTATTCATTCAGAAGCTCCATCTAGAGACCGCACTTGCTCCATCTAGAGGCCGCACTTGCTCCATCTAGAGGCCGCACTTGCCCCATCTAGAGGCCGCACTTGCTCCATCTAGAGGCCGCACTTGCTCCATCTAGAGGCCGCCCTTGCTCCATCTAGAGGCCGCACTTGCTCCATCTAGAGGCCGCACTTGCTCCATCTAGAGGCCGCACTTGCTCCATCTAGAGGCCGCACTTGCTCCATCTAGAGGCCGCACTTGCTCCATCTAGAGGCCGCACTTGCTCCATCTAGAGGCCGCACTTGCTCCATCTAGAGGCCGCACTTGCTCCATCTAGAGGCCGCACTTGCTCCATCTAGAAGCCGCACTTGCTCCATCTAGAGGCCGCACTTGCTCCATCTAGAGGCCGCACTTGCTCCATCTAGAGGCCAAAAATGCTGCATACTGTCATGCCAATAAATTGTCTTGAACCTGCATGGTTTAAAATCTGCACTCAAACTATCAAAGAGTGAATGAACCTAATTTTCAGGTACAAGTTTTTCAAACTACTAAACCTGTTTGTATTCAGTGGTACTTCTTTGTACTTAAGGCCATGCTCAAATGAACAAGAAATAGAGAGTACAACCTGAAATCCTCAAATTATTTAATCATATCATAACTTTTAGAGCAGATTTAGGAAAGGTTAATGGTGATCAAAAAACAAAGTCGGAACCAGATTTCCAAAAATTTGTTAATTTTTTTGTCTAAACATGTATGACTTCCTTTGATAACTCAGTATTTATTTTTTATTTACATAAATATATATGTGCATATAAGTACACGTATATGTATTAAAAACTATAGAATCAAACAAATTAATGATGAATGAAAGAATGCCTGTAAATGTTTTGTCATGTATAATGTTGACATGTTAAATTTGTTCCTCCTTTTTTTGGAGGGGGGGGGGGTAAAAGTTGAAAAAGGGGTCTTTTTTAAAAGTTGAAAAAGTGTCTTTTTTTTTCAAAAATTGAATCCTTTATCGTACAGTGTATATCCTCTTTGAAGTTAATGACCAAATACCATCTTTCTTTATCTAATGAAGTTCTGGAAGACAATGTGGAAGACCATCAATTTTGGGAAAATTTTTGAGCTGGTGTGGTCAACCCTGTCATCATACGACATGTAGGGTTTTGACATGGGGGTCAGCAAAGTTTGGACACATAACGGCACTTCACACAACAGTTCTTATAGAAATCAACAAAGGCCGTTACTCAAACCACGACTTCATTGCCAGCATCGGCGTTGTCTCGCGCTTGGTAACCGTGTGTAAGCAGCTAAATTTTCACACCAATGAAAAGGCTCCAAAATAAGGGAATAAATGTGTCACTCTGTTTAAGACCACTTAGAGTCTGGGTGCTGATAATTACCCGAGCCGGAGGCGAGGGTAATTATCAGCACTCAGACTCTAAGTGGTCTTAAACAGAGTGATAAATACCGACTGAGCACATATTTATTCCCATTCATAAATACCTTTTTGGTAAAAAATATCAAATAATTCGTTCAAAAAATACCGATTTGTTCAACAAGTTCACTTCATGCTTTTTTAAACATCCCTCTAGCAAAATAATGGAGTGTTCAGCTGGCGAGTAAGATGTAAACAGCCCTTTTATGGAGATTGACGCGCGCGTGGCATGTTCTGAGCGATGTCGCGCAGAACGCACCTGGCGCGTTGCGTTTTGAATTTAGAACTATAAAATTCTGACTCGCTGGTAGTGTTGCGCATGCAACACTAAACGGTAAGAGGCACTGGATTTTTAGGGGTCTACACTTTATTGCGACGCTGGAAAAGTGTTTAAGACCAGCTAGCCATGTCTTTATCATCCGTTTAAGACCGGCCACGTGACGGGCTCTCGACCAATAGGAATGGCTAAACTGTCTGAGGTATTTATGAATTGTGGTTTATATCATAGTATTCGATAATGTTCTTGTAACAAAACAAAATAAGGCCAAACCTGGAGATGAAGTCGAGATTTGAGAAATGGCCCATAGTGTGCATACATGTATGAAGTTTTTTTTCTGCTATTTTTTTAGTCAAGTTTAATCTTTTGTGTAATGTGTACATAAGCCCAACGCATGCACCTTGAAATGTGAATGATTGCTTTGCATGCCTTGGTTGTGAAAAAAAGTCTCAACTTGTTTTTTGTAAAATTGCAATATTCTGTACAATTAGTTCCTCATTGTCAAGATGTACACTGTATTTATAGTGCTAGATAGCTGTTGTTTCTAATGCTATTTCTATAAATACATTTTTCTACATCTGTTAGTAGTTTTCCTTTGTGTAAAAAAAGTATGAAACCCAGCCATTAAAAGGTTTGTTTATGAAACCTGATAAATAGAAACCCTTTGGTTTACAAATTGTGGTCTGTTTAAAATAATCACAATCGCGTCCAGGCACAAATTGAAGGACGAGTCAGCCATATTTAATCGAAAGCGAGGTAAAATCTTCATATTTGGAACTTGCAAATAGAAATGAAAGCAATGAAGAAAAGTTAATTACAAATTAATACCAGTCTACTCTAATGAAAAATGTAAGATGTGTGATTAAACATGCCCTAATGTTTTAAGCCACATTAAAAAAAGAAAAAAAAGTGAGGCTTGGAACACATAAATAGTCTGGCACCATCCCATTCCACAGTTCACAATTTATAAAATATATTCAGGGAACATGATCAGAAATGGCTTCCTCTTGAATAAGGTCTATAGAAGGGAGCCATACACTTATGTAATTGACAGGAATTTCCTTTTTCAGAAGAAATTCAGAAAGTGACGTTTCAATTTCACATTTTTCTAGTGTTGCCAAATGGTAAGTCTTTCAGCGTTTATCCATTTTAAGGTTACACTTGTCAAATTTGATGGACATTAGTAATTTTGGAAGAGTACGGAGTGTACTCAAGAGTTTTAAAAATTTGTGATCATTCACATATACAGCAGTTGTTCATAAAATAGATAAATGGCTAACATTAGAGTAAGTAAATAAAATGCCATACATATTTGACTTCAGATAAGTTGTCCAAAATTTTGCCTTGAGTAACTTGAAAAAATGTGAAAACAGACAATTGTTTTTCCAACTTTATGTGGAATAAGTCTTAAACAAATATTGTAGATGCTGCAAGTGCTCCTTTGACAGAGAAAATATGCAGCATAATTTTTCACCAGACGTTTAACTTCAAAAACATTATTCATAAAAACATTTTAAATGCTGAGATATGATATGTGTTATTGCTAGACGGCTATATTTAGACATTCTTCTCTCATGCCAGTGTGATATCACTTTTCTAAGATAATCCCGAAGAAGATGAGTGCAGTAATTGGCTGTGCGATTCCCTTCCAGAGAGCAGGTAACGAAACACGAGACATAGTGCAAAAATCGCACAAGAATGTGGCTCTATTCACCACGATTTGAGAAGGGTCTGGACATTTCTAGCACATAGTCTCCATTCATGTCGTATTGACATGATACGTGCACATGCTTTTTATTTTCTCCCATTGGAATATAGTCCCAACATTTAGTTTGATTTAGTTCGTCCCATTTTTGATACTGAAGCATTTCTTTTATATTGACACCTTTCTATGAGCACTGGCTGGTTTCAAAAGTGACCGAATGAACAGTTATTTCAAATTGTGTAACTTATGGATTCTAATTTTGGGGCGTTGCTTAGCAGCCAGCATAAAAGTAGTGCTCATTACTTAGAACAGAAAAGGTTTTTCTAACTGTTAGGTTTTTCTGTTGGTGGTGTATGTCGACAAGCTAACACTTGCATAGAGATTGCCAGAGTTGCCCAACTAATTTTTAAACAAACACTATCTCTTAAGTAAGCATACTGTTTGCTGTGCACTGCTTATGGTTACCTGAAAATTGATGTAATGCTTATTAGCAGAGAAATGTGTGCCTAGCAGTGTCATGACATTAGGACCAGACAATCGTCTTTAACCATGCAGCAATACAGGTGTATATCTATGATGTATATGTCAACCTCTGTTGATGAATAAAGTTGCATGTACAAGTATTAAATACTGATGACATCTCGAAACAAGACTACAGGCTTGTACACCAAACTGAAGATTGACTTCAAAGAAAAATCCCCGAGATGGCTGCCTTGCAAAAAGTAGTATTTTATTTAAAAAAAAAAAAAAAAGGGGGGGGGGGCACCTTAAATTATGTACTTGATCTTGATGAAAATTATTTGCTGGATAATCTTTTTTATGCTATCAAGTCCATGTCCACCAATTTGTCTTTCTGGCAAAGTGCCAAAGATTCTCAGAAGTCATGGAAACTGAGCTGTTTAAGGTGTTGCCTGTTTGCCTAAAAATTCTGGATAAAGGCATATAAAAAGGGAAAGCCAGTTTAAGCTTCTTTCCGATTAGAGGAAACAAGTTTAAACAGTATTTAGTATTGGCCAGTATCTGATATTTAC